AAACCCCATCAGATTAAAAGATAAGTAGATAAAATATAGGATAAAATCTCATCGAACAAAAAGATAAGAACTTAGACTAAAAAAAAATAAGAAGCACTGTATCAAATTAAAAGATAAAAAAACTAAATCTGACTAAAGGATAAGAAGAACTATCAAGTTACTGTACAGATTAACAGATAAGAAGAATTATTGTATCAAAGTAATAGAGAGGAGCTCTATATACTGAAAAATTAGATCTGTACCAAATTAAAAGATAAGAAGTAAATCAGAGTAAAAGCTAAGAAGAACTATCAGATTAACAGATAAGAAATCTATCAAGAGGTGGGATGTCGGTAAATTATTATATTGATAAGGTGCAGTGGCGTAGCGAGGTCGGGTGTCACCCGGTGCGGCACTTAATGGTGTCACCCCCCAGAGGCGTAGCGACCGTTGCCGGGAACAAACTTTCAAGTTTTCGACTTGCACCCCCCCCCCCTCAAACTTTCGATTTACACCCTCCCTCAAGTTTTCGATTTTCACCCCCCCCTCAAACTTTTGATTTGCACCCCCCCCCCCCCCCATGTTTTTCTCTATATATTTTGCTATTTCTTGCATTGGTGTCACCCCCCTCCCTAAATGGTGTCACCCGGTGCGGTCCGCACCCCGCGCCCCCCCTCGCTACGCCCCTGATAAGGTGCCTCCATAAACCATGTGTGACGACGGGGAGGGAGGGGGTCCAGAAAGTTCGACACTTTTGCATTGTGAGAAATAATGTTTGAAATCCTATTCTAGCCTTTGCTTCTCGTTTTTAAAAGACTTTCTTTAATTGTAATAAAACTGGATCAATATACTCATTTTTTGATCGAGCGCATTAAACAGTTAAGAAAGTAACAGCTATTTTTTATTGCAATTTTTGGAGGAGGGAGAGGTAGTGGGTTGAAGTGTAACGTCATTTTAAGGGTGGGGGGTCTGGGATTTTTTTCTATGACGATGTGTGACGACAGAGAGGCGGAGATAAAAATCGTTTGATACTGGGGTGGTATCCATGGGTGGAAGGCCAGAGTTTCTTCCAGGCATCTCTTCGTAAGAAGGGGGGGGGGAGATAGGAGCCTCTAACCAAAGAAAGTATACAGCCCCCCCCCCACCCGAACTAAATGAATATATATAGAAGACATACTTTTACCATAATAAATGCATATTTTTGGAGCAAGCAGTAATGTTTTTAAAATTAAAAAGAATAGGCTGTACAGTGGGCTCGGTTAGAAGGCTATTTACTCACCCCAGTGGCGTAGGCAAGGGGGGTTAGGGGGGTCATATGACCCCCCCCCCTTAGACCCCTCGGTATATATATATAAAGTATGAGGGGGAGGGGGTGCAAATCGTAAGTTTGAGGGGGGGGGTGTGCAAATCGAAAGTTGAGGGGGTGTGCAATTTGCAAATCAAAAGTTTGAGGGGGGTGCAAATCGAAAGTTTGAGGGGGGGGGTACAAATCGAAAGTTTGTCCGCGGGTAAAAATTGGACCCCCCCCCCCCCCTTGAGACGATCCTGGCTACGCCACTCACCCATCCCCACTCCTTCCAAAAATTTCCGTTTTTAAATTATTGCTGGAAATACCAATCGCTTTTGAGTAATCCAACTTTTTGGGAGAGGGAACTGTATTTGCACGAATGCACTGTTAACGGTTTCAACTGATAATTTTAGACTATTTCTCAAGACGACCAATCTTTACCAAACTCTTTCGGCGATATATCATCCTGCCTATGAAAAATCTAAATTATATATACAGATATATATATATATATATATATATATATATATATATATATATATATATATATATATATATATATATATATATATATATATATATATATATATATATATATATATACACTTACACATAGGCGTAGCTAGGGTGGAGTGGGTGGTGCGGACCACACAGGGTGACACCATTTAGGGGGGTTGACACCAAGGCGAAAAATTGCAAAATGTACAGAGTTCCATTAATGGTTAATTAAAGTTAAATAGTTTTCTAAGTTAAAATCGACAACTTTTAAAAGAGTGTGGGGATGACACCATGGCGTAAAAGTTCTAACCTTAGAGAAAACAATGCTACATTCAACTATATTATTAACAGACTACAGATAAACATCGCTATTATTAAGTCTGCAGTGATTAAAGCTTATACACATACATGTACGCTTATGCGGCATATATTTAAATTATAAGCCTATGTAGGCCGACACACACACACACACGTACATGTATATATATATATATATATATATATATATATATATATATATATATATATATATATATATATATATATATATATATATATATATATACATGCGTTGTTTCTTGGGGGGGGGGGGCGGCACCTCGAAGTGCCACACCACCTGACACTCGACCTAGCGACGCCACTGCACATACATACATATATAGCCTATACATATTATATATATATATATATATATATATATATATATATATATATATATATATATATATAGCTTCACTAGATATAGACTGTTTAAACACCATTTTCCTTAATTTTACTTTCTCGTAGAATCTACATACGAAGTATAGAGAAAGCATTGTAATCGTGCACAAAAATAACATGAAATTTTGAGTTTTCACCGTTTTACTCCTCAGTCCTTCATCACATCTGGAGTATAGAGGACTTATTTTAATCAGGCAAAAATTATAAATACAAATATATAAACATTTTGGCGTTTTATGCATTATCGAGTCGTAAAAACTGGACTTTGCAATTCTGTCCGTATGTCCGTATGTCCGTATGTCCGTATGTCTGTGTGTCTGTGTGTCTGTGTGTAAACACGATAACTTGAGTACCGTTACAGCTAAGTTGATGAAATTTCATAAATAAGTATTTTATCAAAATCGTAGATCCTGATCAACTTTTGAGCGATTTCCGATAACCGGAAGTGGCACTTTTTCTATTTTGAATTTTTCAAAAGCCTATAACTTGAGTACTATTTCAGATAGATAAATGAAATTTCATATGTAAGTAAAAGATCTAATTCTCTACCTTCTTTCAAATTTTGAGTAAGTTCTGTTGATTGAAAGTACGAATTTACGCTATTTCCGATTTCTCAAAAAACGAATGTAAATTTATAAAGTACTAATAATATTACGCACTATTATGCACGTTTTATTTGGCGTTCACGTGTGTGCAATTCTTTTTTCTACGAGATTTTATTCTATTTTAAAAAGTTTAAGTATTTAAAATTGATTAAAATTCATGTCTATATCCCGAGCTCCCATCCCCTGTTTTCTTATAAAAGAATATTCGAGAAAGTTTAGGGGAGATCGCTCCCGGTTTATTTATTCGATATTTATACACCGCTATGTTCCACATTTACCAAGACATTATAGCTGCTAACAAAGTTTGTGGCCATATCCCTCACCAATGCTTACATTTTCCCATTCAACTTAATTAAGTTTCAAAAACGTTTTGTTACAGTATCACTAGATATAGACTGTTCAAGCACTATTTTCCTTTATTTTTTATTTGATATTTATACACCGCTATGTTCCACATTTACCAAAACATTATAGCTGCTCACAAAGTTCGTGGTCATATCCCTCACTAATGCTTACATTTTCCCATTCAACTGAATTAAGTTTCAAAAACGTTTTGCCACAAATACAGAAAATAACTTTTTTTAAATACTTGTGGTGTTTTTTTTTTTAAAACTAGATTCGTAAATCCAGACTGTCAGATTAGTATATTTATATCATTTTTAATCATTAGTTAACCCATTTAGCATCATGTATGACTGTATTCATTAAATTCAATGAGGTCTGTATTCCAGCGCTTCCTTTTTTTAATAGGGAAAGGGGGGGGGGGGGTAGTCATGCCGCTTACTTTTGGAACCACTGCTCTAAGTTTATTATACTTTTTAAGTTTAATACTTACTACCATTTAAGTTATCGTTCATCTATATATGATGCCCCAAAATAAATTGAATTGTATAGGGGCTACAGCAAGACTACCCTCGCTCCGCCCACACGTTGAAACAGGTCGATTTTGGAACTTCACCCACCGTTACACACATGGGACTACACATATAACAGTTATCTTAAATATTTCTCAATATATGCCTACTATTACAGTAACGAGTAGGTGTGTGTGTGTGTGTGTGTGTGTGTGTATTACAATGCTAATTTGATTGATTATTTTCTGTAGCTAGGCTAATATCTAGAATAAGTTGAGAAAAGGCGTTTACAAAGAATATTGTGATTAGCGCTTGATTTAAGTTAATGATTTTTTTTAAAACGAACCAAAGTAGAATGTTGTATGTGGCCTGAATATAGGCTGCGTTTATATGTCTTCTATAGGTCCAAGACACATTAGAGTACTGTTTCCTCTGCTCAGCACAGACGTTTGGACGTATAAGCCAACCTCAGGTGTTTTAAACACCGCTCTGACGTTTAAATCATTAAATGTAATATGCCTAATGCTCTTTTGTATACAATGTGTTTAGTGTTTGTTGTAGCGTGTAGATTTAAGAAGCATTTTGCATATTGATATTAAATTGAACATATTGAACCCCTTCCCCAATCAATGCACACCAAAAAAAAGTCCAGTTTTCAACAGCCCCACCCTACCCCCTCCACACACACAGACACGCACTACCCCACCAAACCCTCATCTTTGGATGACTGCTAGATTCTAGTTAGCACTCGATATGCCCTATGGCCTAGCGTAGCACTTGGGCAAACAAAATAACAGCTTTTCTTTCCGTTTAAAATATTTATGATTGTTAGCTGGAAGTATTATGTTATTGATGTTAGTGTATTGAATCAATGAGAATATGCATTGCTAACGAGTAAGACATTTCGCAATATTTCGGAATAATTAATAACACAGAAAATCTAGAAATCTAGAAAAATCAAAATGAGTTTGCAAAATTTGAATGAAAATGGGTACGGTATACGAGCGAATGGAAGAAAGGCATTTCTTGCGCATGCGCATTAATCTTTCAAAAGACCGCACCAACGGAAGGTTGATATTCTACATTTTTGGACCAATGTTATGTTTATCACGTTTACGGAATCTCATGCTTAAATTGCCACTGATATAAAATATTAAATCTGAAATTTTAGAAAAGGCCGTTTGGCGGCATTATGAGTGAGCCGGTTGCAATGAAGATTGGGGTAAATGTTGACATTCAAAGAACTGATGGTAAGAAAATGATTGATTTTGACTCATTTTTGAGAAATCATAAAAATCAGTTCAATGAAGAATGTTTCATTTCATGGTTCATTGTTTGACTAATGACTAAGCCAAGAATAGATCCAAATCTACATTATTTTTATTGAGTTCAGCGTCTAGATTATCTAGATCTAGTGTTAGATATTGATTTAGATCTAAGTAGTAGAGTCTAGATTCCTAGATCTAGTAAGTTAAGTAAGTAGTCTAGTCTAGATCTAGGCCAGGCCTAAGGAAAGAAAAGAGGTAAAATCTTAGTTTAGCGTCGTAAATTCCAACGTAGCTAGTAATGTGCGATGAAGGTAACTAATGAATATTTCTTTCATTTGGCCATATTTATGTCATATTTTACATAATATAACAGATAATTGAATATCAAATCACAATCCAAGACCAAACCAGTCATAAATATCCTGGAATAAACTTTAAACTACCCCGTTCGAGACAACAATGAGTAAATACAAGCAGCGGCCATGTTTCAAAAACAATAATAGTGTAGTTTCCCTTGAAAAATTGTCTATTCGCATGTCATTTGTGTTGATTTTGTGGTTTAATATGATTGTTTTGTATTGTTTTAATATATGCCTGGGGGTCGTCCATAAATGACGTCACACTCGTAGCGGGGTCCGTAATTTTGTGACGGTGTGTGATGAGGGGGAGGGGGGTTCAGATGGTGCGACGTCACACTTTTGCATTATAAAAAAGTAATGTTAGAAAACTAATTTTAGACGTTATTTTGCGTTTTAGAAAACTGTTTTAATACATTGTAGTAACAATTGATTAAAATACTCTATTTTGACAGAGTTCAGACAAGATTTTGGAAAAATATAGCTATTTAAAAAAAAATCAACTGCAATTATTTTGAGGGAGGTTATAGGCTGAGGTGTGACGTCATTTTAGGGGGGGGGTCTCGCTTGTTGTGACGACGTGTGACGGAGGGGAGGGGGGAGGTAAAAATCGTCAAAAAAAGCGTGACGTCATTTATGGATGACCCCCTGTATAGTAATTTTTCTTTTTTTCAATATAGTTGACATGAATAACTATGGTAATAGTAATAGACCTTTTCAGACTTAATAGTGTGCATCCAAGACCACAACAATTGTTGGGAGGTCGAACTTTTGAACACTTTATTTGCAGTAATCAAATCAATATTAGATCGCTCATAAATGACATCGCTCTTAAGATAGTAATGACAGCGTGCATTATTACAGAACAAACATATGAACATATTGTTTCAGATAGAAATTGTGATTTGTGGTGGGGAGAGGTTGAGTAGAACTCAGCGATGTGATTTTGGAGACGGGTCAGGTTTTTTTTTTTCGTGAAAACGGGATGGTTGTGGGAGAAAGACCAGCTGTAGAAGTATGACGCGTCATTCATTGGTGATCCATTTTCTCAGTGGGGACGATAGAACTGTTAAGAAGGATCAAGAATTGTAAAAAGCTTGCTGAGTCGCATTTCTTGAACCCCACCTTTTTCATTCCCCCACTTAGTACATCGTCACCGAGTTAACGCTCGCACGTGACGTCATGTACCGGTACCGCCGACCGTTAGGCTAATTTTATATAAAAAAACAACAAGCACTGCCTTTTTGACGCTTATGCGACGTTTAATTTGATTACATAAGTTGGTGTTCATTAAACAGCCACTAACACACCTATCACTCGTCCATTTAAACGTACGTGGTTATTTCTGCAAGCTTGCTGTCTTGAGACATTCGGCCCTTTAAAAATGTATTAAGCTCTCACCGTATAGAACTAGACTACCCATATTAAGCTCCAAAAGAAGCTTGGTGAAAATGGCCGTCCGATTTTGAAGCTGCTATGCGCTTTATAAAAAGCACAATAAACGATAAGATGACACTTATATTAAAGTAAATTATATTTCCTCAAACGATGGAACATTACTAAATTTTCGCGCAGTTTCGCGAAATTGAATTATTTGAAGTATTTACGTCATCTTACAAAGCGCGATAGCCTACTGGTGCTCTAACGCGGCCCCATGCTAATGGCCGTATTCCTAACGCCCCGCATTAGACGCGGCTTATTCGTCGGCAGGCATTTGGTGGCAAGCCTTTTTGACGGGGATAATGTGTTGCGGCCGTTTTGACGAATGTCTTAAACTAGCAGGCTTGCAACATTTGTGATGATTCGTTTTAAGCAAGGTATACGTATACTAATGCTTATTTATCGTTATTTTGATTGAACAAAGCATTATAGAGGTTCTCCATCAATCACCTAGGTATTTTTCCCCGTTCACCTCCTTTCATGAGACCGACACGTCATAAATTGCGGAGCCGCCTTAGTTGACGTCACAAATCTTCACTCACTCCCCTAGCAAATCATATGTGACATCATTTATGGACAACCCCATATCACTCACTTGGGTACTTGATATTGACATTTTGACAACAAAGGATAACCATAATGTGTCTGGCAGGTGGAGACTTGCGATCGACCATAATGACAACACGCACTTAAGGGGTGGAGTGGCTGATTATTTTAGATGATGTTTTACTATGGAATCTGGTGGATAATACATTTTGTCTCTCTGTATATATATAAATGATGACAAACATTTATTGTTGTCAAAATTATGGCTAGAGATCTTAGATAAGGCAGAGCGAAGCGTAATTTTTTACATTAGGGGTCATCCATAAATGACATCACGCTTTTTTTGACGATTTTTACCCCCCCCCCCCCTTCCCTCCGTCACACGTCGTCACAAAAAGCCAGACCCCCCCCCCCCTAAAATGACGTCACACCTCAACCTACAACCCCCCTCAAAATTGCAGTTGAATTTTTTTTAAACATCGATATTTTTCCAAAATCTTGTCTAAACTATTACATTATACAATTTATTATAACAGTTATCTAAAACGCGAAATAACGTCTAAAATTCGTTTTCTAACATTGCTTTTTTATAATGCAAAAATGTGACGTCGCAACATCTGAACCCCCCCCCCCCCCCCCCCCCCCCCCCCCCGTCCCCCTCATCACACATCGTCACAAAATTACAGACCCCCCCCCTCCCCCCTACTAGTGTGACGTCATTTATGGATGACCCCTTATGACTTGTTGTGACATTGACAACAAAAATATGACGGAGGTTGGGGTTTAATTAAGGTAAAGAGAAGTAAAAAAATGTCATAAGTTATGATAGAATCACTAATTGATGAAAAGAAAACCCTGAAATGAAAATAGTGAACATTCAAACAATAAGAAAAATCTCAAACTATATAGTAATAGTAAGATCAAATAAACATTAGTTTAAAAAAAAACGTGATTTAATACATGGATACAAGTTGCATCTCACAATGCTTCTAGAATTAATAAAGTTGTTTGTTAGGAAATTCAGTTTTTAAAGAGCAGAATTTAAAAAAAAATGCTTTGTAATACGGACTATACAACAAGACAATCATATTTAAATACATTTTTATACGAATAGAAATGAAAGGGAAGCTACTCTAAATAACATTTTCTTAAGATGGCTGCTGTTTTTAATAGCAAATTTACTATCTCGAACAGGGTTGATAAAAATTAATTTCAGGATATTTAAATTGATTTAACCATAAATGGTGATCTATTATTCAATTATTTATAATATTTTATCAAAATATACGAAAATATACTCATATTTTAATGACATATTCATTAATGCACTCTCTCCTACATTACTAGATTTGGCCGAATTTACGACGCTAAACTAAGATTTTACCAGAAAAGAGTAGGCCTAAGCCACACACTTTGAGAAGTTTGATGAAATGTGCAGAATCAAGAGTCTACAGTCTAGAATATCTAGACTAGATTCTAGGCCCTGCCCTTTTGCAAACAACAAACAAATCATGCACAAAAGCCATTGATCTTAAACAAGTGCCATGTTCTTACTTAGTATTAATTAATTGATGTTGGTCCCCCACAGCCGTCAAGCCTCAAATCATCATCGATTGCTTTACAGTACACATATGCTTTAAAAAAATAGATGTAGAAATCTAGGTCTAGATCTATATACCACACTAACGCTGACTAAGGACCCCCTCCCCCCTTAAACTTTAAAACCATAATGACATTTTAACATTTTTTTAAAAAGCAGGTTAACCTTTCTTTTACAACCAGTATGCTTCTAGATCTACTTCTAGATATCTACTTAAGTGGGGTGGGGGGGGGGGATTTTTATACCAGTGTCCAATAATAGAATCTTCTTTAAAAAAAGGGGTGTTAGGTTACTGGTAGTTAACTAAATACACACATTGCTGTCTAATGTCAATGCTGTCCCTAACCTGAACCCTAGACCTTCCATTCATATGCCTAACCCTAATTTCTAACCATAAAATTAGTGGAGATTACAATACTACTAACAACCCAACACACCTATTTATGGAAGAGTCTATTTTTGGACATTGGTATCTAAATTCATCCCTTAAGTGTTTACTAGTGTTTAGGTTTAATATTTTTAATTTAAAAAAAAAAAACATGTAGCCTAGGCCTAAAATGTAGACATTTCTACTTAGTTGTACTTGGCCAAGGCCTAATTAATTAGTTTTATGAAATAGGCCTAGATCTAGGTGGTAGGTATAAAACTCATCAATTAAGCTGTCTTCGTGTGTTAAATATAACCTGGGATTGTAAAAATGCAGTGCTATGTTGTGTTGAAGTTTTATTTTATCTAGTGTAATTTAATTGCCCAAAATTTTATTCGCTCACAGGCCGAATTCATTCAGCGGTTATCAGTGGTATCAATAAAGATACTAAGAGTGTCACAGTTGAATGGTATGAGAAAGGCGAAACAAAAGGAAAAGAGGTAATTTAAATCAATTTCTTTTTATAAAATGTAGCCTTAAGGTTCATTTTAACTTTACTTTGAATGAATTTTTTAAAACTTAATATGACATTGGTAAGAAGTGGGTTTTCTTTTTCAGATCGAGATGGATGCTATTACTTCATTAAATCCACACTTAATTGCTCCAGGCCCAGAAGACTTTCCATCTGAAGTGAAAGGCTCATCAAAGGTAAACATATTTTAAGATTTTTATCCCAGTTTTGTTTGTTGTGGTTGTTTAAGCTTTATAAATGTTTTCATTTTGTAATCTTTTAAGAAGGAAATGGAGTTTTAAGCTAATAACACAGAATAGACAATGTTTAAGAGTGCATACAAATTAATTGTTAACCAAAAAGCTTTTTTTTTTTAAATATGTTATTACAAAGCTAGACTTTCAGCTGCAGGGCTGCCTACTTATACCATTTTTCCAGAAATCTTAATAATTTTGACACCCAAGTTATGGTGTTACACTTAGGCCTAAGTCTTGGTACTATTCAGCTGAGTTTGCACATTTTGTGAGTGTGGTAATTTTTAGTCTCAGTTTTATATTCAGCTTGTTAAAATTTAAGCCATATTAAATATTTTTGTTTACATTAGTCTTCTGTAAAAACACTTCCCCCTCGCCCCTTCCTTGAAAAATATGGCCGACTAAATCTAAAGGCTTTTATTACAATTTACATTCACTAAATTTGTGGCTCTGCAAGTTGCTGTTGAGCTGAAATGTTTTAGTTCAGTGAAAAATTTTGGATGACAATGCAAGAATGTCTCATTTTTACTTTCTCGTATACAAAATATAGAGAAAGTATTATAATCGTGTTAAAAGGAAAATCAAGATTTTTGCAAATCTCGGCGCTTTACACCTCCCTGATTCAGAAAAACATAGTTTTGCAATTTTGTCCGTGTGTATGTGTGTCTGTGAACACGATAACTTGAGTACATTTACAGCTAGGTTGATAAAATTTCATATATAAGTATTATATCAAATTTGTAGACCTGTGTCAACTTTTCAGTGATTTCCTGTAACCGGAAGTGGAACTTATTCTACTTGCAATTTTTCAAAAGCCTATAGCTTGAGTACTGTTTCAGATAGATTAATGAAATTTCACATGTAAGTAAAAGTTCTAATGCTCTGCCTTCATTTAAATTTTGAGTTTATTTCCGTTGACCGGAAGTAGTAATTGACGCTATTTCAGTTTTCTCACAAAAAAAACTATTGTGAATTTATAAAGCACTAATAATATTCCGTACTATTATACACCGATTGTTCGGCGTTCACTTGGTGCGCGATTCATTTCTCTGCGAGATTCTATTCTATTTAACAAGTTTAAGTAATTAAAAATTGATTAAAAATCATGCCTATATCCCGAGTTGCCATCCCCTGTAGTGTTATAAAAGAATATTTGTGAAAGATTAGGGGAGATCACTCCCGGTTTATTAAATCTAATTTAAGGGTTTTATTAGATCGACAATTTATTTAAAAATTGCTATATTCAATATAAAAGGGGAGATAAGATAATACTAACAATCACTTGATCAGAAGGTTCAAATTATATTTGCAAATTACCACACACAAAATCAGTAAAGAAAAAAAATGTACTAAAAAGTAAAAAAATATATTTAGTTTAGTGTAAGTTTATGCTAGTATGACTTTAAAAAAAATGTTATAGAATGTACACCTATCAATAAACTCTTTATTAAAGGGAATACATTCTCTATAAGTGAGCGCTCAGGCTTTTATTTTTTGATATACCAACATATAGCATTTACCTTTTGTGTACATTTTTCATTTGTGAATATAATCAAGGCATTTTCCCTTTTAAAAAAAATTATCTGAGAATTTTTCATTGAAATGTCACGAGATAGCAAGTCCAAAAATTTTTTTTAAAGTATGGAAGCTCAGCAATTTATAAAATGATCATGGGGTAAAATAAAAATATTGTTATGATTTGGTGTTTTTTTGTGAGTCCAGTTTCGAATCACAACAGACAACTTATCAACTTCTCCATAACAAATGTTAGTGTGTGTAATATAGATGATCATTATCAATATGATAATAAATTTTGTGATAACATAAAATAGAACTTACCGTATATTAAAACTTATATTGTAAGTTGGTGCTTTTGTTACCGAAAATTGTTTTTGGAAGTAGGCAACCCTGCACCTTTTGTAGTCTTCTTCTAATCCTTATTACTGCAGAAAATTTATATCCATTTCACGTTGAATTTGACAATTTGCTCTGTTAACTAATTTAAGCTTCTAATAAAACTAAAAGCTTAGGCGGTTGTTGGTTCTGATCTGTTATTTTTTTATTCATTGAATTGACCACTTTTAAAAAAGTGTTTTTGTTGAGTCATTTTTCGTAAGAAGGTCATTGGGGCTCATAAACAATTCTTCCTTCGGTATTAGCAACAGTGCATTATATTACACATTATATGTATCATTGGAATACATTGTAGAAATTCCAATTCATTTTGATATCAGTACATTTTTTGTTGTATTTTTAAAATGGTTTGTTATCTGTTTATTACCAATCTTATTACATAGTTAATTAGATTTTAATGCTAATACAAGCTCTAAAATGTAGGGGTTATTATAGAAAAAATATCTTAATATTGAAATTGAATATATATTTCCTTAGTGCTCTATAGATGTTAAATATTTGTATGTTTATAAATTAAGGTATGAATTATATTTTAAAATAATGTTGAATTTGAATGTGAATTAGGGCATGTGATTTTTTTCAAATGAATATTTTGCTCTTAGCTTAATCCAAAATTAAGTCTTTTCACTTTTATTTGATAATTGAAATAACCCTCCACTTCCTATGAATACCTATTCTCTTTTTCTCAGGTGTGAATTGACCTAACCATAGATTATATAACTTTGTTAAAAACTTTGCAAGCAATGTGACGTCACATGTTCTTTAGTTTTACAAAGTTTTTGTAACTAGAGTTTTATTTACTTGCATGTGATACTTAATACTAACTAACAACCTCCTAAAGCCTTTTATTGTTAATTTTAAAAATTATGATCTTATTAAGTATTTAAAACATTGCCTGCTGCCTGTACATTGTTTGAAATTGCATTGCTTCCAGCCACTGTACAAAGATACAATAATTTTATCTTTTATTTTTATAAATATTCTTCTTGTTTTGTGAAAATTTTGGTTCCTAGAAAATATGCCCCTGTAAAATCATAGTATCATGGTTTATTTCAGTGGATTCTCTATAGAAAATTGAAATAAGAATAATGTATTATGGATATATTTGATGCAGATTACAATTTTAATTGGCAAACGTAATTTTTTTGACATCATTTTAAATGTTTACTAAGTGAACTATTTAAAGCCATGCTGGCAAACAATAATGGCCACTCATCAGATCCCCACAAAACACAGTAGGCAAGAAGAAGCCATGGATGAAGATGATGATCCTCCTAGCAGTGCCAGTTCTGGTTGTTATCTCAATGGGAATGCTGAAAATATTCCCGAGCATAAATCACAGGGCAGGCGGCTTGGTAGGCGAAGTGTTGCTAGCAGACAGGGGGAAAAGGTATTCATTTAAATCCTACTCCACAGATTATAAAAAGGCCTCAAATAACTGCTTGCAGAAATAGATAAATCCTTGTGATATTGATTTTATTTAAAGTGTGTTGTAAAATCATAAATTGCATTTCATGTTTTGTTTTAGCTACCCTGAATAACTCAACAATTTTGGATGATACTATTTTAAACCTTCGTTTGTATGCTATAATTGTGTTATTCTACTGAACAGAGTTTAGAATTAACAATCCTAAGTAATGGAAAATCAGTAACAGTTGCATAGGCGAAACTTTTTTCTCTCTCAAGTTCTTAGTCTATAATTAACTCAATAAAAATTGTAAATGTCAATTATATTTGGTTATTTTATAATTACATCTCCGATAAGATGTTGAAAGAAAAAAACAAGAGAAAACTGATTTTTAAAATAATTCATATTGAATTGATATCCAATAAGAAATCAATGTCAAGTATTTAAATATATTAAAGAATTTTGACAAAGCCAATTTTGGTTTGATTGAAAGTTTAAAGAAAAAGTAGCTTTAATTTGCTGCTTTATCATTCTGTAGATTGTTGAGTGTTCATGGATAGAAAGTATCTACTTGGGCTTCTATTCAATTATTTTTCGGAACATTTCAGAGAAGCATGGCACCACCTCCTGATCCTCCTCGAGCAGGCACTAAAGGTAATATCTAATGGTTTTGTAAGTATACATAGTTGTGGAAGATTTTTTTTTCCAGGAAAGATATTGTAATAGCTCAACAACACCAGAAATATTCCCAAAACTATTGAATGGCATTCCTGACTTTATTCTACCTACAATTTTTCACTCTTATTTTCATTTAGCTGAATTTTTTCATATAAGTTATATAATTAAAATTTTGTTTGCAGTGGTACCTTATTTTTAACTTTTCTGCAACACGAATATTTTGAAACGGATTGATTAATATTACAAAATTAGTAAAAATAAAACACTTTTTTATTTGGCTCCAAAAAGATCTTAGCAATATCTTAAATTGTTTTTGTAAATTTCTACGCTTTACTAGAAATTGAACAAGTAAAGTAATATATGAAAACTTATTAATCATTTGTCGCAATGGTAAAGTTAGTTACTTTAGTTGTTCAGTTTGAAAATGGATATATAATGTTTTTTATATTCTCCTTTAAGCTCCATCCGCAAGATCTCGTCCAAGTTATGCTGTACCTCCTAAATCTAATCCATCATCACAACAAAATGGCCAATCAGAGCCTGCACCGGCTCAATCAGACTCGCGCAAATCACTTGTTCCAACTTCTAATAATGCAGGTAGGTGATTTTTAAAAAAAGATGATTATTATGTGTTTTTTTTTAATATATTAAAATACTAAATATGCGTAATGCTTGCTTTCAGCAAGGAGGAAGTCCAATTGTGTTAAGGAAGTAGAAAAAATAAAGCAGAAGCGTGAGGACCGTAGGGCTGCACATCTAGCCATTAAAGAGCAGTACGAGAGTCACTTTGATACAAGTGATCCAAACTGGGAGTTTTTAGCCATGATCAAGTTAGTTTCTATATTTTAGTTAAAATTTATTTTTCTTATACAATAAATAATTACATTACTATTTTTAAAAAGACCTGAAGGTTTAGAAGGATTAAGTTTCATAAAAGCCCTAATTGGTGTATTTTTTTCTAGAGATTTTCGCAATAACCTTGAGTATCGTCCTATCACATCATCTGACCCAATAGATAATCATCAAATTTGCGTTTGTGTCAGAAAAAGGCCGCTCAGTAAAAAAGGTAAGTATATTAACTTCCCCATTAATATTTACAAACTGTTTGTAACTACTTACATTATTACCCACGGCCTGCATATCTCTAGATATGAATATACTATTTGCATTGTTCTAAGTCCATTATTAAAATTCTAAACATGATCTTTTCAATGCTAAAAATTATTCACAACTTTTCAATCTTTGCCCAAGGGTTTTTTTTCACAGAAAATTGTGCTAGCTTTTTTTTTTACTTTTATAGAGATAGCAAGGAATGAAGCAGATGTGATAACAGTTCCCAACAAAGAAAATGTGATTGTACATGAACCAAAGCTTAAGGTGGACCTTACCAAGTACTTAGAAAATCAGCAGTTTAGATTTGACTATGCCTTTGACGAAAATGCTACTAATGACATCGTTTACAGGTAAAACTTTGTTAATCGGCATACAAAATTGATTTGTCTATAAATTATTTTGTACAGTCATTCTTGCTTTAAAATATATTTACATTTCAAAAGTAGGCCTACAAAATTAAATTAATAGCCACTAACATTTTTAAATCTAAAAAATAAGTCAGTTTTACACAACGTGTAGTTAGTGTAATGACATGTTTACTCTTCTTCCACTGTATAAAAAATTCTAAGTTGAGAAAAAATATTTAAAATTTAGATACACTGCTCAGCCTTTGGTTGAGTGCATATTTGAGGGTGGAATGGCCACTTGTTTTGCCTACGGACAGACTGGCAGTGGAAAAACTCATGTAAGATTTTACATGCATTTACCAGCTTTTAATTATGTTTTGACTTGAAACTACATTGAATCAATACATTTTTTTTTAATAAAACTGTAAGAACATGTATATCAGATTAGCTTGTTAAAAGTTATTTCAATGATGTTTATTTTGAAAACTGAAATAAATGTTTTTCAGACTATGGGGGGAGACTTTTATAGCAAAGGCCAACAGGACTGTTCAAAAGGAATATATCTATTAGCTGGTAATATTTCTCATGTTTTATTCTCTATTATCCTCTTAAATCTGTTCATTTGAGGTTAGTTTTTGTCATTTAAAATGTCATCATCCTTTTCTATATGTTATTTAAGCTATTGTTTCTTAGTCTATTTAAATGCAAAAATATTGCTGGAATACTTCAATCACACTAATGGCAAAATTTCTATCTCTCATTTGCTAGAGTTATTTGTAATAAACTATATGACTATATCTACCAGATCCTCAACATTTTTAAATACAATTCTTTATTTTTCTAATCAAAACAAAATACTTTCTATGTTATGGTGTATTAAAATAAAAAGTATTTCATACTTTTATCTTACTTGCATGTGAAATTAAGTAAATTAAAGGGCCATGGGGGGGAATCTGATGACCTAGATTTTACTTGGTAATGTGAAGTGATGAAAATTAATGAAAATTGAATTAGAAGTGCAAATAAATGTCTATAATATTGATTGAAGCATGCTTTATAATCAAATATTTATTTTTTCTTAATTTAAAAATGATTATTTGATAGTCTAAAGTCCTAGCCATTAAAATTTGCCCATTTTTTTTCCGTTCGAAATATTTATCCCTGTATTGAATTTTTTTAAATATAGGTTGAAGGAAGGTACAATCGGGCTACTAAAGAGCATAACTTTTTTCCTAATTATTCTGCCAACTAAAACTTTGTATCCACACTCTTAGAATTTTTAGTATTATGTGTGGATATCTTTGTGTAATTGATTTTTTTTTTAATCCTTTAATGCAACTTAAGACCATGCAATAATTTTAAAATCTTGTCTTTTAAACTATCTGTATCAACTTAACAAATAAATGTAGTTTCTTAATACTATTTTGAATATTTGCAGTCTAAGATTATTATTTTTTTATACAGCTAAAGATGTTTTCAAGCTGCTGAATTCCAAATACAAAAAGCTGGATCTTGTAGTTGGAGCAAGTTTTTTTGAAATCTACAGTGGAAAAGTAATTTTTTGCTGAATAATTATTTTTTTTATAGTCGAACTTACCTAACCTGTGATTCACTCCTTCAAATAGAACACCCCTTTCTCTTTTAAACTTTTTAATGATTTGTGCTCTATAAGGCATTCAGATTATTTACATTTACGGGGAAATAATAGCTTGGTTGTTTTGTTTGTTTTTCTCTTTGTTATTCCCTATATCTTTACACTATTTAGGTTTTTGATCTTTTGAATGAGAAGTCCAAGTTGCGGGTACTGGAAGACCATAAAAACCAGGTACAGGTTGTAGGCCTGAGAGAAGAAATAGTGACCAATACTGACCAGGTTCTTCAACTAATACAGCATGGAAATAATGTCAGGTAATGGGCATTAGATTTTATATAGTTTTTATTATAATTTTAAAAATTAAGGACTTTAAAGTATTTATTTACTACAATGAAACAAGTAGAGAAAATGTTAGCATAGCATTTTAATTTAAATAAGTGTTTAAAAAACATCAGAATTGTTGAGTAGATTTCAGTTGCGTCTTTTTCATTTGCTTTATTTACAGGACGTCAGGACAGACTTCTGCTAACCAACATTCTTCACGCTCTCATGCAGTCTTCCAGATTATTTTAAGGCAAAGGTGTGCATAAATTTTAAATTCCATGTTTGATTTTCAAAATTTTTATTGCAATTTATTATTACTAATATATAATATATGAGAAAATTGGCCGTTGAGGAAGGATACAACTGGCGCTAGGTTGATAGTGCTATTTTCTCTAAACTAAAACCAACCCCCCACACACACACACACACACACACCAAAACATGTCTACCGTCCTATTCAACAAAATATAATTATATACTTTTTCCAGTGTCCACCCCCTCCCAGAAAATTCTACCCCTGCTTCCCAAAAAGTTTAAGTACCCCCACCCCTCGACGGGGAGAAAAAAGTCTGAAAGAAACACTGGTCGCATTTGTAGATCATACAAACTAAAGGAAGAACCTGGGCGGGGCTTCGCCCCTACTGGAAGAGATGCATGAAAGAAACTGTGCACGCTAAACACTTTTTAGATTAGAAAAAGTTCCCCCCTCCGGGGAGGAAAAAGTCTGAAACACTGGTGTCGCGCTTAGCCACTACCCGAAGAATTGCATGAAAGAAACTGCAAGCAAACCACTTTTTAGATTAGACACATTAATTTGGCAGTAATTTTTATTATAGAGTATCGATGAAGAAATTTCTTTTGAGTTGGGGGGGGGGGGTGGGCGGCTTAGACGTTCTTTCGCGAGGGTAGGGCTTCGCCCCTACCCGAAGAATTGTATGATAGAAACTTCACGCAAACCACTTAGATTAGACAAAATTGCCTTTTTATTCAATGTTTACTCGAGAATCAATGACGTCATATTACTGTGTGCACTCTCCGGCTTGATACAATTTTCTACTATATGCTAAATGTGACGTCATTTTTTGTTTTACTATGAAAGTTTTTAATTTGCTTGTGTTTTCTCTATAGCGTTCTTGTCAAACAGATAGATACATACACAGATAGATAGACAGACAGCGAAACTATAATAATTTATATATATAAATTTTCATTTCTCTTACAGTTTCTATATTATACTTTGATTTAGCAAGCTTTTCATATTTTTTTATAATTTATTCTTTTTATTTTTCAGAATTAAAAATAAAATTCATGGAAAATTTTCCCTAATAGATTTAGCAGGTATATATATGATTATTTTTAAACTTCCAACAGTAATTATTTGAAGTGTTGATCAAAAAATATCTGTTACTTTAATTTTATGGTTAATCTAAGCATTAAATAAAGTTACAAACAATGATTACATATCGTGAGAATTTTAAAAATGATTTTTTAATTAATTTTGCTTTTATGTGCTGTGTAATTAAGTATAAGATTGCGTAGGAAGTAATTTCTTGAGTAAATATTTTTCATACTTATTTTAGGAAATGAAAGAGGAGCTGATACCTCAAGTTCTGACAGAAATACAAGAATGGAGGGAGCTGAGATAAACAAAAGTCTTTTGGCTCTTAAGGTTAGTACATCTAAAAAATAATGATCAATGCTTACTTTACAAGATATTTTCTACAAACTTTCACCTTTTTTGGGTCTGACGTGCTGTGCTATTAATTACAGGAATGTATAAGAGCTCTTGGAAGAAAGGGAGCTCATCTGCCATTCAGAGCCAGTAAATTGACTCAAGTTCTACGAGATTCTTTTATTGGTGATAAATCACGAACGTGCATGGTGAGTTGTTCTATGTTTAAACTGAGTATAGATGTTTACACTTTTTAAAGACTTTTAAATCTAAAAGCTGACTGGGCAGATGATCAGTAAAGAGCTCTTGCCAGATCAGGTTTTAAAACAAATATATTAAATTAGAAGTGAACTAATGAATGGAATGGAAGGTCTAAAATAGCTGTTTTTATAACGTAAATATTCATTTACTCTTATATCTTTATCTAAATACTAACAATTAAAAAATAATCAATTATAAAAACCCAAAGAACTGTTTTACCAGGCTATTTGCAATTTGGTATTAATTGCTAAAATGCACAAAAGTCAATATGGTATAAAGGTTTTTATATTTCTTTTCAACATAACTAAAATCACAAATTTTCCCATTATATTTCTAATGCTAACCACAGCTAGAATCCATTAGGTTTCAACACAAACTTGTTTCTCTTGTTTGGTTCCCCTTAAATATCTCAAAACATGCCACATCAGACGGGTCTATTTACCATGAACATTTAGATGAAAAGCTATTGATTTTAATTAACTGCCTGCATTTTTAATATCCCCTTAAACTTTGTTGCATCATTTGGGGGGGGGGGGGGGGTCTTGTTTTTTGGTGATGAAATCTGCTAACATGTTTGTGTGACCTCATCTAAGATTGACCTTATGATTCCTATAATTATTACAATGTAATTACTATAATTGCCCACTATTAAATACAATGTTGTCATTCTAATTATATTATCTAGTTTTAACAATTGTTTTTATTTTCCAGATTTCTATGATTTCGCCTGGAATGAGTTGCTGTGAACATACATTGAACACATTACGTTATGCTGACAGGTTAGTTTATATAGACATAATACAAGATCTTGATTCCACTTAGAATTTTGCTGACCATATTTTTTTTTTATTTCTGTACATTATATTAGATTCATTAAAAATATCACATTGAATCAAACTTTCAATTAGCTTTTATAATTTTTTTTTTTTTAAAAACCTTAGAGTAAAAGAGCTTGGTCCTGGTGGTCCTGTAGAAGGAAAGCCATCTGATGTAGGCCAGGACTATCCAGTGGATGGTACATCACCACAAAATTCTGATTTAGCTCTCCTCAAAACTTCAAATGTAAGTTTGTATTAGTACTTTTTACTCATTTCTGAATGAATACTTGAAGTTTGACTAATGTTTTGATTACTTTTAAAATGATTACATTTTTATTGTAGGCTGAAGAAGTAACAGAAGAGCTTTTGACATTCCACCAAGCATTAAACAAGATGCAGGAGATGGAGGAGGTCCTTGTTGACGAGTATAAAGCTTATTTAGAGGTACTGATTCTATGAATATGGTGCAAACTCAGGTTCATTGGGGAGTAGGACCTCAAAAATGAAGTTTGTGTCATGTTGAGTTGCCTATTTTGATAGTGAGCTTGCAATAAAATAATTGGCACTTGGCCATATAATCTTTTAAATAGGCAAATTTAAGATGGTTTTTTTTAATATACCAACTACCTTCATCCCTCACTAGTACCATCACAAGTCAAATAATGGGTCATGATATAGAACAAAAAGTTTTGGCACAGCATATAGATACACAACCCACTTGCACCTGTATAGGTGTTGTTGAGACAATTCTTGATGCATGTTCGTAACATCAAAGATTCAACTATACAGAAATATATCACTATGCTGATACATCTTGCTCTAACGCACTTTATTACTATTTTGCACTGTCGTCTTTGAACTCTCATCTGCTGTTAGTTCTAACGTCCACCCTGACAAAATCCTGTCTCTAATCATAGGAGTCAGGTGTGTCTTGACTTTAGCAGAAACTCCTGAGACTGACTTACTGAACCCCCGGGGGTTTGATCCAATCCAGGTTAAGAACCACTAATATAAAGAAGGCATTGATACAAATGTATATGTTAGATATAATAAACAGAGCTTGAAATTTTTTTAGCACACATTAAAAAGTCAAATATTTGTCACTGCATAATCTGCTTTTAGTGAAATCTTGAACTAGTTAAAATATTAGAACTAGTCTCAATTACAGTTTTGAATTGAGAGCAAAAATTATTTTTATTTAATGTTTTCATGATATATGTTAAACATTAAATTAGAGTACATATTACTTTAGAAATAGTATGTTACGTGGGTAAGTAATTCATCAAGAGTTATTTACTTTACTTTGGAAAAATAAAATTATGATAGAAACTTTTCCAGTAATTGATTTGAGTAATGTTGGGTTTGTGTTGTAATTTTATGGTAGTAAAAAGCTCTGTCCTTGATAGTGACAAATAGCACAAAAAATACATTCTGCTTCATGAAATAATGAGTGAGTGCATGAATTTTAATAATAATTGCTACTACTACTAGATTCTTAATTTTTTCTGCTACTTATTTTTATCTATTTAAGGAATCTCAAAAATGGATTCAAGAAGATAAAAGACTGGTGAAGATGACTGATAATGTTGAATATGATGTAGAAGGTACAGTCATTTTATGCATTAAATTAAGTCTAAGAAAACTTTTGGAAAAGAAACAATTATCTATCTAGATGACTTTAACTGACAAAAAAAATAGGATTGATTTAATAGTAGCTTCAGCACATAGGAGTAGAAAAAAAAAATGTTTAATGTAAAAGTAGTCATAGTGTTGGTTACCACTTGGCCATGGTGGTTTGACTTTAATCAGTGCTTAAGCACTCATGCAATCATGAAAATTTGATTTTAAGTTTAACTTTATTATATAATTGTTTTATGTCAATTTCTTTTAGAATTTGCTAAACAGTTGGATTCTTACTTAGCCAGAAGACATCAGGCGATTACTTCCCTTAGAGGTATTTTTCATTACTTCTTTTAATTATTTTGTGTATCAATATTTAACAAGCTATTCCATTTGTGTATCAATATTTAACAAACTATTCCATTAAGAATAGACTGGTAAAGTCCTCATATTCAAAACTTTGTGTCCTATCCAGAAAAAGTTGCCACATTTCGCCAAGAAATTCAAGAAGAAGAAACTCTGAGCAAAAATATCAAATGTGCTGGAGTCAACAAGCGCAAGTAAAGAAATTTGCCAGCCTGAGTAAATTCAAGTTTTTTGTTCCACCGTTCCTCTACTCTGCCTTAGGTTTACAAATATGCATGGCCAAATGAGCAATAGAACTGAGCTCCGCCGCTTGAAGCTAGCACCATGCTAAATCTGACAATTTTGTACTTGTCACATTGACTATACAATCACTTGATTTGTCCACAAAGATCTGCTTTGTTTCCTGTCTCTGTTTTTCACTGTGTGCGTGAGATGTGGCCTGAAATAAAAGAGTTTGGTGGATGTACTTACTACTCTTTTGTTTATACATGTCATTATACATAGAACATTCCTGTTTGGGAAATGTGTATATTTATACTAGAAAGCTCACTGAAGTTCATCACTTAAGTACAATATAATGGGTTTTTTCTAGAAGTGTTATTTTCTACTTAAAGCTTTCTAACTTAATCACACTAGGCTTGCATATGTAATGACTTTTCACTGGCCTGATAGAAGGGAAGCTATTATTATATTGAGAAAATACTTTACAAGTATTCCTTTATCTTTTTAGTTGTACATTAGCTATCTCATAATAAGGTGTAAATATGAAGATGGAAGATTGTTGAATGTGTCATTTGTAGATATAATTTGCAATGTTTAAATACAACATGTGATTTTTCATCATGTCTTACCTTAGCATTAATCTGTCAGTTTGTATGTGAACCATCTAATACAAAGGCATTCATCTTGTCTGAGTGTTAACCAAACACAAAAAAAAAATGCTTGGTTTATCAAAAAGTAACCCATTGGTCCTATCTGATACATTTGTCTTCTCCATCTATATAGTAAACAAATATACATAAAAGTCATAGTTGTGGACTACCTATTGTTTATACCACGTGTGTAGGGATGTCCAAAATTCCTTCTGTAATATTTATAAAACTTATTACTTTGTTGCAAAATGAAGGTGCACATAAACATACAGAAAATAGTACAAGTTAACATTGTAATTAATGTGACAGGAAAGAATCAGGATATAAAAGTAACAGCACAGGGTGGTGTTTTTATCTTGGGATTACAATACATTTTATTAGAAGTAATTTGACCCCATCATATATGTCAGTTTGCATATTTAAATGTTTGTTTAAAACCAACTGCACCTGGTAATTCACTATATAAATTCATAAAATGTATGAATACGATCTGTCTCTGCAGTAAGTTGGTGCTGAAGAATATAAATAGGGGCCATGAACACAAACATGGTAGCTTTAGGCTAACATTATTTTAATTTGGCATAGACCTATGAACTTTGAGACAACTAGAGAAAACAATGAAATACTATTCATTAGTGTTTGTTTTGTTGTGGTTAAATCGTAATCAAAAATTATTTAATTAAAACAAGTTCCATATTTTTTTATCTACTGTGTTTCCAAAAATAAGTTTTTAGCTCAGCAAGGTACACATACATTACACATTAATCAATTGGCGAATTGGAAGTACATTTTGAGATGTATTCGGGTTTTTTTTGGAGGGGCGGGGAGAGGTTAAAAATGCTATTTCAAATGGTGTGTAGACGTCATTAATGAGATGTAAGTGGCAAGATATATTGTGAACTGCAATTTTTAGAATGTGAAGTAGATGGCCAGGTTTTAGCTCTAATACTCGTGTTACAATCCAAGCAATCTACGAGACAGTACCTTAACATTTATGTGCTAAACATCATGGAGAGCTCATGACACGGGTGATTTAAAAAGATATGACCTGTTTTCAATCCTAGTATTTAAGGGTTAAAGGGATAATGTGAGTCATTCAGACCAGCAATTTACATTATCCTGTGGTTTTTAATTATATTTAGTAAGGAGCATCGCCCAATGAAAGAAAAAATCACTGGAAATATAGGCCTAAAATCTATATGGTCTGATAGTACACTCTAAACTAACAAGAAAAGACTAAACATATCTAGTTCAACAACTTGTGCACTACACAAACCCATTCAGTAATTTATCTGTACGTCATTGTCAGGGGGCTTAGCCCACATGAACCTCGGGTAGATTCACCTGTGGGATTCCTTTCTCTTTTGTGCTTTAAACAAAGGGGGGGGGGGGGTAATTGAATATCGTCGAATCGGGTTTTCCACAAAGGCAAATTTCTTGACCTTCAACTCTGTGTCGGTCAACGACAAAAGGAGACACAGGCTCTCACCTCTGTGTTTAGCATGACAATTGCCACATATAAGCATTGTCAGTTAAACTAGTGAAAGAACACCTCAGTGGGACTTGTTCTTTTGTTTTGTAAAATGTCATTACAGTAAACTTGATAGAAACGGTCCAACTTTTGCTATTATGTTGCTACTCGGCGTTTGTTTACAGGTAAGGATAAATACTAATTTGACATTCATTAATATGTTAGTATTGTTCGTTAATGTCACATGATTATAGGATTATTATTTGAATTCGGTTTTCGTAACATTTAGGACTACTTTATTATAAAAATATTTTACTCGGTTAGTGTTCCCTAATAAACCTATGTAGACTATGTAGCAGAGGGGGGGGGGGGGGACATATGTCCCTGGGCGCCGACCCTACCGGGGGGGGGGGGGGGGGGGGCCAAAATAGATTGGAAAAGCAAATTGAAAGTTTGGCGCCGGGAAGGGTCGCTACACCTCTGGTATTAGGCCTAGTTTTCAATCTATATCTAAGTATGAAGTAATAACTGAACATGTAATGTTTTCTGAATATGCTTAATTTTAGTCAGACTATTGGAAAGGTAGTGGGCTATATTATTTTGTTTTACTTAGATCTAGAATAGATCAATATGATGATGTAAAGATTTAGATAACAGGGTCTAATAACCACCTAAATTCTAGTGAAAATAGTTGGCCCTACCTAATTATTCCAATAGAGCCTATATAAGGGCTTGTGGATTCCCTAACAACGTCAAAAAACATTGTGGCTAGCAGCTTACTTTCGCTCTACATCAAGTAGATCTAGTTTTTAGATCTTTATCTGTTTTTTTTTTTTTTTAATTTTTACGCATTGCTTCGATCTTCAGTTATTGTCTTTTCCATACAAAAATATGTATGTTTAGATTTATTTGCAAATCGCCATCTCGAAAGTCCTGAATAATTTTAAGAATTCTGGGTTATTTCAGTTTCAAATAGATCTAGTAAAAATATAGATCTAGGACTAATTGTGGCTTTTGTGAAGGCCCGTAGGCCTTAGATCTAGAAGTATAAATTAGTATAATGCATTTATTTGTGTTGTTTATTATTTAGCAAAAACAAATATTTCGATTTCTACATTTTTATTTTACTTCATTTATGGAAAGAAACAATTATAATAGACCTAGACAGAGTTTCTCCTAATCCCCGAAGAAAGTCTACCGCCCCCCCCCCCCCCCCGAAAACTTCAAGTGCCCCCCCCCCCCCCCTCGGAGAAAAAAGTCTGGAAGAAACACTGGACCTAGAAGGTCGACACTATAAATATTTTAATAACTGTTTTTCTCCCACAACAATGATAATTAACAGTGTTAAACCCTCACAATCAAAGTCCGTTATTCATGCTCGTATCTAAAAATAAAAAACGCACTTCTCTTTTACGCGTAGATTCTAATAATCGGAAATCCCCACGTCAAATTGTTCTGTCATTGAAAGTGTTTACACGCAAATGACGTCAGCAGGGTAAGAATGACGTCAGAAAAATTGCAGACTTGAACACTTTCTTTCTAAACGTGAAACTAAGTGGTTTGGAAGTTTAGGTGTTTATATGCTCTGTGTGTTTAAATATATAGCCTACAGCACCTTGCAGTTTACACCTCTAGAATTGTATAATTGCGCACAAGATGGCGGACGTTTCCATTGACAGTGCTTTCGTCATGTCAACAGTTCATTCAAAACCGCACTTCACTAAACCACTGATGTTCGTCATTTCAATCCAACTCACAGCGGAGTAGTATTGTATGTAAGTAGATCTGTGTGTTTTTGTGTAGTCTAGTAGTAATTGTTTTTAACTCGATGCCGGTGACAGCAGTTTTGCAAGGTGTCTAACGGAGTCTTTATTAAATTATTATAGGACATTGTGGCCAGTGTTTCTTCCAGACTTTTTTTCTCCGGGGTGAGAGGGGGCACTTGATAATATTTGAGGGGGTGGGGGAGGGGCACTGCTAAAAGTATGTTTCCTACATAAATTCCATTTCGTTCGCCTGGAAGATGCCTGGAAGAAACTCTGGTTGTGGTCTGATGATAATAGTAGAAAGCACGACTGATAATTTTTTATATACCGAGGAAAGTCTCGAGATCGGATCCCGGGCTCAACCCCGTAGGACATCCCCGATGTCACAGAAATAGGTGAGCTGTACTTCATCTGCCCTATAGACCGCTTGGTCCGAAAGGGTAAGCATAAACAAGAGAGCCTAGAAGAGTCCTCCCATACTGAGGGTATGAAGAGTACAAGTTAGTCTAACTCTATCTAGAATCTAGATCTATCTAGATTTAGATCCAGATCGAGTTAGCCTATCTTATTACTTATTATATTACAAAAGCTGTAAGCATTTTTGTTTTTAGTTCAAGCTATTCTGGTTTACGTGGAACTTGACACGATAGCCCCGCCAAAAAGTTTACCCCCGCCACACACCAAAATAGAGTGCGTTTGAATGTCTAGACATAAATAGGTCAAGGTTTTGTGCGTGCATTTAAGATTAAATTGGAGCTTTAAAAAAGTGGTAGGGCTTAACTTTTCGCATGTGCACTATCTGCATTAGTTGCGGGGCTTATCTGGAAAGATCCGTCTCTAATTTACAGGCTGTGTGATTTCACGTGAATAAGTAAAACAAAATGTGTATTCTGTTGTGTAAAATGTGAATTGTTTATAAGTCAACACGAAAGGCCTATTGGTCTAGTAGTATCGAGGTGGTTTTCATTTTCCTGGCGGTATTGCTGTTGGTATTGTCACTTTAAGGATAGGGTTAATGTATGTGAAGTGGAGAAAAAAGCAGGTGTTAAATATTCCTTGTGCGTGTTTTATTTTTTTTAATCCAACCCAGATCGATGATTTTGTGATGGTTAGACGTCACTTTTTCTATCACTTAAAGGATACTTACCTAAATGTTAGATATGTATGCCTAAAGTGATTGGCGATACCAGGGAATCGATTTGCCATTATCACAATCCATTAGTAAAGTTGTAGTTTAAGTGAAAAATTAAAAAAAAAAAACCAGCTATATCTTGTACTGATGTCTTAAAGTAGGGTAACATAACAAAATCATTATTTTTTTATTTGACAAATAAGCGACTTAATTGTATTGATAAAGAGGGATTTGTTATATTTCCGGACTTGGATATCCAGTAAAATGTAAACAATGAGTGAGCGAGTGTTCACTGTGTTGTTGAAGTTTCACTACTCGTTCACTGAATTCACGAGATCTTGTGGCAGGTGTTAGGACTCGTGACTCTGACAGCGACGGGTATCTGGATAAGAAACCTTAGCAACACATTGATTTTGTAAACTGAAAAGGGTAGACTAATTATTTGTTTGTTTAGTCCAAAAAAAAAAAAGATGTAAGCAGTAGGCCTATTTCGTTAATTTTTAAAAATATGTTTGGCCCGATAGCTATTGGCCTAACTTACTGAAAAAATGTCTTTTGCAGTATTTGCAGCATCACCCCGAGATATCTCCACCACTTGACCCTACTGGCTGGCAAATGTGTGTTGTTCTAATGTAACTATTGTAACCCTCCACACGGACGTTCATCGACAAGGTTTGTGATACATTTTGTTACAGTCATTCTTTTGTTTTTTATTGTTTTTATGTTTGGTTGGTTATGTTATAAGTAGATAGTAGTCGGGTCTGACAATGTGGCATTGAACTTAATTGTGTTCTGCTTCTTGTTTTGAAATTCATGGCCACAGTTATAAAAATGCCGTTAGTCGGCTAACTCGTTTACTTCAGGGCCCACATGTTATGTTCAGGGTTAGGGTAGGGATTCGGACTTGTTACAAGTGTGGGCGGGGTGAGGATTAAGAAAGTATTAGTGCAGATTTTTGCATTTCTGGAGTTATTTTTTAAAATAAACGGATTCAAAGAGTGGCGAAGTTGGATGGGTGTGGAGGCTGAAGTGAGACTCCATTTTAGCGGGTGGGGGAGTAAGACTGACTTCTGACAACGCGACAGGACATGTGTGTCGGTGGGGATCAGGGTTTGCAAATTTAAAAAAAAAAAGGTGCGACTTTATGTATGCATAACACATAACTTCGTTCAACTCATTTGTAATGTTCTAAACATGCAGTTTTGTTAAAACGGGGGGGGGGGGGGGGGCAAATATCACTATATAATGGGTTATGGTATGGGCAATTTACAGTGAGAATCGAAATTGTATTAAAGGATCCCTGCCTGAAGAAAAAACGCATCTGTACTTTAAATCTTCGTTATTCGATGGGGGGGGGGGGGGGGGGGGGGCTGACTTTTTCTTTTTAAATAACTTAAATGTTTTCTCAATTAAAGTTAAAACTAATTACAAAATCAAATTTCTGAGAAAAAGTGGGCGACATTCCTATTATCGCATTGTATCAAGTTAGTTCTGGTCGAAATAACACCAAGCTGTGCTGTTAGGTTCATTATATAATGTACGTAATTCGTAATTCTTTTACGAACGATTTATAGACCAAACATCTGCATGTTATTTCCGTTAAGCTGTCTACACCTAGATCTAGATGCTACCCGAGTATGTTGCGGATGTTAAAAGCCCTCTACCCACGCTGACCCCCAGCAGACGACCTGCATGTGCCCGCCACGTGCAGGAATGGAATTTTAGATCAGAACAAAATGGGTGACCGGATCACGTGACGCGGAAGCGAAATCGTGTAAAGGTCCATTAAACTACTAGATAGTCTTTGAAATAGATTGAGAATATTATCGAGGGAGAATGATTAGCCTCCTATCCGTCCGATTTTGTTTTTTCTTTAGAATTGTTGTATAGGTCTTGCGAAATTTAAACTTCTTTAGCAGATGCATAATAACCACTTAGATATCTGTTCGGGGGGGGGGGGGGGGGGGCGTTGAACAAATGTGACCTATTATTGAGTATCATATTTTGTACTTCTTTACGGATGAAAATTATGAAAACTATTTGGAGGTGATGGGAATATTCAGAAGTGACGTCTTTGGGATGTGCGTTTTTTTTTTTTTTGTAACGGGTGAAAATATGGGTGTATAAAGTGGGGGGGGGGGGGGGGGAAACAGTGTTAAAAATATTTTTTCTGTATAAATTCCATTTCGTTAGGGCGGGGGGGGGGGCGGTAGGCACTCCTCGAAGAGATGCCTGGAAGCAACACTGGGGTAAATAGTTGTTTAAATTCCATAATGCCAATCTGAAGTTGTAGTGTTTATAAACTTAAAGATATTTCGACTTTCTAGAAAAGCATATTTATAAAGAAACAATACATCAGAAACATGAACTCAACCCACTATTTTGAGAGTCGGTTTAAAACCATTTTATATTTGGAAAGAAAGAACCGTCCTATGAATTCAGACGTAAAATTTGGAAATCTTGTAAAATGAAAAAAAAAAGAGCCGCCCGTGCCTGCAGCACCCCGTGACGCCGTGCCTGCAGCACCCCGTGACGCCCGTGTCTGCAGCACCCCTTGACGCCGCACACCTTGTGACGCTGTGCCTGCAGCACCTTGTGACGCTGTGCCTGCAGCACCCCGTGTCGCCGCCGCTTCTGAAGCACCCCGTGGCGCCGCGTCTGAAGCACCTCGTGACGCCGCTTCTGAAGTACCTCGTGACGCCGCGTCTGCAGCACTTCGTGACGCCGCGTCTGCAGCACTTCGTGACGCCGTGTCTGCAGTACCTCGTGACGCCGTGACTGCAGCACCTCTTGACGCCGTGTCTGCAGCACCTCGTGACGCCGCTTCTGAAGGACCCCGTGACGCCGTGTCTGCAGCACCTTGTGACGCCGTGCCTGCAGCACCATGTGAATTCGTGCCTGCAGCTACATGTGACGCCGTGCCTGCAGCACTTCGTGACGCCGTGCCTGCAGCACTTCGTGACACCGCGTCTGCAGTACCTCGTGACGCCGTGACTGCAGCACCTCGTGACGCCGCTTCTGAAGGACCCCGTGACGCCGTGTCTGCAGCACCTTGTGACGCCGTGCCTGCAGCACCATGTGAATTCGTGCCTGCAGCACTTCGTGACGCCGTGCCTGCAGCACCATGTGACGCCGTGCCTGCAGCACCATGTGACGCCGTGCCTGCAGCACCATGTGACGCCGTGCCTGCAGCACCATGTGACGCCGTGCTTGCAGCACCCCTCGACGCCGCACACCTTGTGACGCCGTGTCTGCAACACCCCGTGAAGCCCGTGTCAGCAGCACCCCGTGACGCCCGTGCCTGCAGCACCCCGTGACGCCGCACACCTTGTGACGCCGTGCCTGCAACACCCCGTGACGCCCGTGTCAGCAGCACCCCGTGACGCCGTGCCTGCAGCACCCCGTGACGCCGCACACCTTATGACGCTGTGCCTTCAACACCTTGTGACGCTGTGCCTTCAACACCTTGTGACGCTGTGCCTTCAACACCTTGTGACGCTGTGCCTTCAACACCTTGTGACGCTGTGCCTTCAACACCTTGTGACGCTGTGCCTTCAACACCTTGTGACGCTGTGCCTTCAACACCTTGTGACGCTGTGCCTTCAACACCTTGTGACGCTGTGCCTTCAACACCTTGTGACGCCGTGCCTGTAGCACCTTGTGACGCCTTGTCCGTGGCGCCTCCCGACGCCGTGAATCTGTTGATAACAAAATACATCAGTCTACGACGCCCCGTAATCCTGATATTTTGAAGTATTTCTCCCCAGCTATTGGCAATATTCCCAATGATCAAGAAATATTCTAACAATATCAAACTACTAGTAACAGTTTAGCTCCCTGTGTTTTCATTCTTTAACTTGCCCATTTTCTGGTGTGTGCGTCACTTGGCTGGATCTCCCTTCCCACAGTAAATCACGCTGACTCACACCTTTGACCGTCACCTCGACACCTGATCCCTGGAGCCTTCGTCCCACCCCTGTTCACACTGTTCATGTGTGTTGTCGTGTTCTACTTTCCCATCGTAAAGTGTGGGGAGGGGAGGGGGCGGAGATATTAGATTGTTTAGCTATCAAGGCAATGAATGTGAGAATTATACTTCAACTGAAATATCACTCTTGAAAGGGGACGGCTTGAAAATATGTATAGCACTAGAACTATTTAATACATAAATTTATTTTTAATAGACAAATCTTAAATGAAAAAATCTTGAAACTTTCATATTTAATTTATTTAGCTAAATGCGAGCATTTTGGGACAGTGGTGCCTCTTACGGAAAATTTTGAAATAATTTTAAACAGAATAGTTAGTGATGAATAACTAAAATAATGATGAATGGTTGGTTAACAAAAGCGCCTACCTGGCGTTTGTGATGATGAAGACTCTTTTCTTGTGGTCATCGTAATTAATAAAGTGTTGATTACTGAATGCGCTTATCTTGTGGTCGGCGTCTGTACTAAATTGTTGGTCAACAAAGACTCCTATCTTAATGTCGGCGGACGTACGTTACAGTTGCTAACCAAGACACCCAAGATGTGGTCGCTGTTATTACTAAAGTGTTTGTTAATGAAAGCGACTATCGATGACATCGCTGAAGCATTTACTGTTAGATATGGGGTATAACTACCGTATAACTGACGAGTGTTACCATCATAGTCCCAATCATTGAGATGAAATACGGACAGTGGCGTAGCGAGGTCGGGTGTCACCCGGTGCGGCACTTAATGGTGTCACCCCCCCCCCCCCCCCCCAGAGGCGTAGCGACTCTTCCCGGGGACAAACTTTCAATTTTCGATTTCCACCCCCCCACCCCCGAACTTTCTATGTGCACCCCCACGAACTTTCTATTTCCACCCCCCCCCCCCTCAAATATTTCTCTATATATTTTACTATTTTTTGCCTTGGTGTCACCCGGTGTCACCCCCCCCCCCTCGCTACGCCTCTGAATACGCAGTCAAAACAAGTCTGTGACGGTAGTTGAATTGATAGAATTAGTATTGCGCATTGTGTTTATTAATCGCTAGCAGGTGATTAATTACCTCGGGTGTCGAATAATTGGGGCATTTTCTTAACCTGAGTCGTGAAATGGACGCATAGGAATAGAGCGAGAGTAAACACTAGGCACTAAATAGTTTAAGAGGTCAAAATGACGACTCTAAGCCGTTAGTTGAGCGAATGGAATGTACCATTGAGAGTATGGAGTATTCGCGTTGACAGAGAAAGCAGTTCTCGTTGACCATAGATTCCAAGGTAGCCTATATACAGAGAGCCCACAAACACTACTAGATAGAACGACTAGAAATCAATTTCCAGACTGGGAGGAACGAGGACCGACGTGTTCCCACGGACGCGACTAAACGTAAGGAGTAAGAGATTAATAAAAGGATACCATTATTAACTAATGTGGTGTATAAATGCACATTGTAATGTTACAAGTGTATTGGAGTGAAAGGTGTGATGAGGATGAGGTCTATCTCCATGGTTGCTTTTTTTCAGACTTTGGTGGTCTGTCTGGTTACTTGTCAGTTTTTAGTTGTACATTATAGTTGAAAAACTACTGTATAGAAACGAAATAAAGATCCTAGAACCTGCCAGCAGCGTAAAAACATTTCTGTGTACATCTGTTAGTGTGTTTGTGTAAAACAAGTAGGACAGCCACTTGCATCACATCATTCATACTATTGGACGGAGAAAGGGTAGACATAACGCTTGGATACAGGGGCAGTAACTGTGGATTTAGATTCAGATTGTATGAAGGGGTGGGTGTAACCGACAGGGCTCGAATCACGTGATCGAGCGGTGACTGATTTATGTGCGTGGGTTTAAGAAGACGAGATGTGTATGGATGTGTGGTGGTCACTTTGAGCGAGTCGGAAAATTTAGAAACACTACTCCCTTTACAAATACATTTCCTAAAACGTGCGAAAACTGAGAACATTTAAATGTAGCTAACCTGTTGATGAATTGGAATCAATTACGCCTATTTAGAAATAACTGGAATAAGCATAAAGAAAGTTAGTAGGCCTAAACTTTACAGTCTTAGTCCAGCTTACATTAGATTTATCTTATTCGTAGCTGTCCAATAATCTGAGGGTTTAAAAATGTTCAGTGTATAGAAAATCTAGATCTACTGTTTATTAAACTGTTCTTTTATATATTCATGTAGCCTAAGTATTAGTAATCTTTCTTAAGTTAACTATTGTGATGCTTTTTTTAAAGCAATGTATTAGTATTATGTTGTTTCTGCGTTCTGCGTGTTATCTTTTCCCTTTGAAGTTTATTTTACAAATAGTTGAAATAGATCTTGATCTAGATCCTTTGTTTTACGCAATTAAAAATTAAGCACATAGTAGATCTAGATCTAGATCTAGAATCTATACTATAAAACCACGTTCGCTGCAAATAAACTAGAATTTACATCAATTCTGCACAAAATGTATAATGATGTAAAGTAAAAATGCGATCCATTTCTTAAGCTACCTGGATTACCTGGAAATAGATAGACTGCCGTAGAAGAGGACTATGTGTGGCGCCAATGTTAAGTGCACACAAATCACAAAGAAAAGTTGTTCGCTATTCAAAACACTACTGAGGCTGGATGGAATCTAGTTAGATATTATAATTTAATTATAGATCTAAAATTTAAATAAGTAATAAGTTAAGTTACTTGGTAACTTAGTCTAATATAAATTATAACATGATAGGCGGACATAAAATTACTTCAACTTCAACAATATTTATCAATATTAACTTGTCTTAAATTTATAAAGTGTCTTAAGTTTCTAGATTCTAGATCTAGATCTATATCTAGAAATCTAGATCTAGTTAAGTCTGTCACCATTAGCCTAAAGTAAAAGTAAGTAAGACGTAAGTACTACTAGAGTAACTAGATCTAGATCCAGTGTTTGCTTGTTCTGTTAGTAATACTAATAGTCTAATAGTAATACAGATAGGCTAGAAAAAGTACTAGATCTAGATCTATCAATTTTTATACTATACATACTACATAGTATTACATAGATCTAGATCTAGATCGATTATCTTAATTTATCTAGATCTAGAATCTAGTATTAGTAAATATTAGTATTACTACATAGTACATACTACATACATAGGTAACATAGGCCTACTAATTTTACTAATACTATAGTAAATTTAGTATTCCACATTTTAGAATATGAATAGTATAGAACCTGTCTCTGTTCTTATCATTTAATTTAATGATTAGGCCTAGGCCTAATGTTTAGATTTTAGTGAATTTAATTTTTTTTGGGCCTAACAATTTTTTTTTACTTTTAGGGCATTTAGGCCTCATTATGAGTCATAATATAAAAGTATTTAGAACTGTAGGATAATTATTAATAAAAATTTGTTAGGCCTACTTGTGATTTGATAACAAAGTTATAAACATTATTCTTTCCATTCCCATCTTTCAAAACCTTACTTCACAAAAAAATTTTTTTTAGGCCTACCTAAGTTGTCCATAAATGACGTCACACTCGTAGGGGGAGGGGGGTCCGTAATTTTGTGATGGTGTGTGATTGGGGGGGGGGGTTCAGATTGTGTTATGTCATTTTTTTTGCATTATAAATGATTTTAGCCGTTATTTCGCATTTTAGATAACGGTTTTAATAAATTGTATTAAGAATTGATCAAAATATGCTATGTTGACAGAGTCGTGACAATATTTTGTTTGGAAAAATATCGATGTTTTAAGAAAAATTCAAGAGCAATTTTGAGGGGGGGGGGGGGGTTGTATGCTGAGATGTGACATCATTGGGGGGGGGGGGGGGGCTGGCTTTTTTTGACGAATTGTGACTGAGGTGAGGGGGGTGGGTAAAAATCGTCCAAGAAAGCGTGACGTTATTTATGAATGACCCCTAACACTTAGCAATTAGTAGAATACAGTTTTTTAGGCTAACTCTATGTACACAGGTATTTTGTGTTTTTAGAAGTTATTAGGGATCAGCTTATTTGTAATCATGATGCCTTGGGTGTGGTTCAGGCATTATTTAATTACTATTTATTAACATTATCACAAATTCTTCAGTATGTCTATTAGAATATAGATTATTCAACTTGTCATTAACCATAGCAGCTATTTGTGAAATACTCAGTAGACATGTGTAAAATTTAATTTATCTTTGTAGGCCTACTAAATTCAATGATCCTAAATGTAAAAATCTGTCAAAGAAAAAAGCCTAAAATTAAAACTAGACATAAAACCTGCACTTAAAATATTACAAATGAAACATAAACCCCTAATGCTTAAACTAATTTTTTTTTTTTTGCTTGATCCCACACTCATACTAAACAAAACAAAAATCAGGTGACTGGTGAGTATGGATCGCCAAAGAAAATGTAGATAAAACTCAAAATTATCTTGTTTTTATTTGCAGCCCCAAACATATTTAAGCTACATTATATTTAATTTTATTTAAATTTGATCTTTGTTTTTACAAATACCTTTTTTTTTTTTCCCTTATGTTAACTGGTTATGTGCATCATTTCCCTAAAAATTGCACTTATAAAATTCAAAAGTACTTCCCTGAAGTGTGTTCTTCTCATTTAAGTGTACATTATATCTTTTTAGAAAATACATGGTAGAAATATATTCTAAATATATATCCATATCTGGAGTTTATAAAACATAAACTTGATATTTTGCAGTTCTGAGGAAATACAGCACTAAGGATGGCTGCAGATCTTTGTACTTTCACTTATGGTATTGCTGATGATGATCTGGAGGATACTGAGTCAGACAATGATTCATCTGATACTACCACCCATGCTGTTTTGAACCAGCCGCAATATGTAAAGGGTACTTGTGTGCAAAGCATTAATGATTCCCTTATTATAAGTGCTGAAACATTTCCCTCTCCTGATATGAATGTTGGAGATTTCAAGCGGGAATCTTTTCTTAAAAAGGAGGAATGCAAGGAAGAAAACTGTAATGGACAGGTTCAGAATAGTAGTTCATCCAGCGGCTCACATTTATATTCATTACGCATTCCTATTTCTTCTAATTATAATTTAAATACATCATCCAAAGTCCTAAAATCAAAAATCGTAAATTGTTTTTCTACTATAAAAATTGTTGAGAATCAGGAAATTTCATATGATTGTGTGGATGCACATATCATTAAGAAACCCTCCCAGGAAGAAGCAAAACATGTAGTAAAACAGAATCCACATTATGGAAATCAAAATATTAGCCCAGTAAAATTAGAGACATCCCATGTTTTTAAATGTAATGATGTGGCTGTTAAAACAGACCTTGTAAATGAAACTTGTTCAAAGAATAAAGATCGAGCCGTTTCTAAAAAACATGAAGATACCAGAGAAAGAAAGAGGGGCTGCAAGGTCATTTCGCCTTATGATACTAATGTGTCTGATCATTCACTTTCTCATTGGCCAAATCCCAAAGTAGATTTAGATGAAACTTCAATTTTCATAGATGCCAGGCTTTGTGTCAACAAAAGGAAATCAGCTTCAAATAGTTACAAAAAACCACATTTACTCTCTGAAAAAGCCAAACCAATTAATTTTGAAAGTTTGAAAAGAAATTTTCACCATAAGGATCCAAGGATTAGGGCTAGCAAGCAGTATGTTTCAGGAGAATCGAAAGAAGACAAAAACAATAACACAGTTGAGTCTGTACTTGGCACTTCTAGTCGGAGTAAATCTAAGGAGTTATCTAACAACAGATCCAGCACCAAAAAAAATGAACAGACTCAACCATTGTTCAAGCAAGATGACCTAGGAAAGTTACATGTGAATCTATTCAAAAAGAAAAATAGGGCAGATTCTAAAAATGCAGATCTATTTAGTAAACCAGTGCACTGCAGTAAAGATGTGTCTGACAGTTCATCCAACACCAACAAATGTGAGCAAACTCAACTATTGGTCAAAGATCAACTGAAATCAGATGTGGATATTTTAAAGAAGAAAAAAAGTGAAGAATTAGTTGGTAAAAAATATCCCAAAAATATACCAGCAGCAAAAGTTTCCAAGACCAAAGATGAAATTAAAAAATGTGTTCAACTTTCTTCTAAGTTGATTGATCAGCATATTAAATTGGCAAGTACAAAGTCCTCTAAGCAATCCATTAACAATCAAATTGAAACAAAAAAGAAACTCAAGGCCAACCATTCTGCAGATCAACAATTAGTTGCGACAAAAAACAACCTTGGTACCAGTAAAAATGTTAAAATTTCAAACATACTGCAGAAAAAAGAAAAAATACCCAAAATTAAAGCTGAATCAACAGATGGTCAAAATTCTGTTACTGCACAAGCAGTATCCCATCCAGACCATTGTACAAAAATAAACAAGAAAAACAGCATCCCAAGTTCTATGAACTTAAGTCTAACTGGACTAAAGTCTTGCAATTCAACTTCAAGCAAGCAATGCCATAGGAAACATACTACAGTCAGCTCTAAAGACAAAGCTACTAAGAATGAATGTCAAACTCCTTCTGTATCAATCATCACAGCTGGCAAATTCAGTCCGATTGTGACAACTTGTTTTAAAGAAACTGTAGTACCAACAAAACTGTGCAGTTTGTGTTTCCTTTATCAGCTTTTCACATTTGGTAAGGATATAAAAAAACTAAAGAAGGCGGAATGCTCTGTCTGCCCAGTGAAAAGGATGTATAAATGTCCTCGGTGCAGCTTGGTTTGTCCAAATTTACTAATGCTCTATGCCCATTCACTTAATAATGCAGCACAACTACCTGTTACTAAACAGGTCAGTTGTTGTTTTTATTGTAACAAACAGTTTTTACTGCATTCTGATTACTATGTTCATGTTACATTGTCTAAGTGTTCAAAATTTTGTGTGCATTGTGAACAGACTTTCAAATCTAGTTTGCAGAAAAAAAGTCACAAGTGTCTAAACAACCATGTATATCAATGTTCCGTGTGCAAAATGGATTGTGCTAGTCAGGAAGATGTTGAGCTACATATGTCTAGCCATGAGATAGCTAATAGAGATTACAGCTGCAGAAAATGTGGGGCATCTTTTTATACTGGACAAAGTCTCTTTAAACACATGGATTTTCACATCAAAATGGAAGAAAACTCAACCACTGAAAGCAGTATTTATGTGTGTTATAAGTGCAAAAGTTCTTTTAAGTCATTGGAAGAAATAAATCAACATTGGAATGTATTGTGCCCTGGGATGAAGCAGAAAGTATGTTACAATTGTACGAAACAGTTTGACACTGTTCTAGAGCTTGAGCTTCATATGAAAGAAAGGGATTTTGGTAGAGGATGCAGAAAAGGAGGAATAATATGTTTCAGGTGCCGTGCCAGTTTTGTTAACCGTGAAGATTTTAAACACCATTTGATGTTCAGAGCTCAAAACAATACTTGTTTACCTGTTAGAGAAAATTTCCAAAGCATGATACACCACCTGATAACAAATAATAAAAGTACATTGGCAATAAAAGACAAAACAGATGAGACAAGGTTGGGAGTGCCACAATCTGAAAGGGAGAAGCACTCTACCGATAGCAATTCCACTCCCTCAAGTAACTTAAAACTTGAAAATAAGCAAGATAGGATAGATGTGACTTCAAAGATCATTTTAAAGTCAGATAATATTGATAAATGTGCATGTCTCCCAGGTGTAAATATAATGATAGATAATGTTGCAAATTCAGAGAAGCAAACTGGTGGTGACAGCAATCTTGTTAGCAAAAACGTAGAAGACAAATGTAAAGGCCCAAAGTCTGAAAATGTTGCAAGCAATCATATTGTTAGCAAAAACATAGAAGACAAATGTATAGGCTCAAATTCTGAAAATGTCGCAAGTAATCATATTGTTAGCAAAAAGGTAGAAGACAAATGTCTAGGCCCAAATCCTGAAAATGTTGCTAGCAGTCATATTGTTAGTAAAACATTGGATAACAAATGTGTAGGGCTAAATCCTGAAAAAACTTTGAGTGGTAACGCTATAACTAGTAGTCCCCCACTCAAAAAATCAAATAGTAAAAGTGTTGATCCTGCATCTGCTAGTATTGCTACTGTAAAGAGATTGGCAGATGACGAATGTGTAGATCTTGTTTCTCAAAAATCAACTAGTAATGGACTCAGTCCTCCCCTCAAGAAAAAACCCAATAAAAAAAGTGTGGAATCTCCAAATCCTGCTAGACCTGGTGTTGTTCCTTTAAAGATTATGGCAGATAAAAAATGTTCAGATCTTGAAAAATTAGCAGTTACTAGTAGCAGTCCTTCCCAGAAGATTAAAGTGAATATGAGTGGAAATCCTCAAAGATCTTCTACTGCTCTTCCTGTAAAGAGAATGACAGATTACACTTCCAGGTGTGTAGAAAAATGTGCTAGTTTTGGCAGTCAACCTATCAAGAGAAAAGCAGACTGGAAATGTGTGGATGTAGAGAAAAAGAAACTCAAACCTAATTGTGTAGAAAGTGGATATAAACAAACTGACAGTGTTATCTTTGAGGATTTAGAGTTGGCAGAAATGGTTGACCCTTGGGTCAAAAGGGATATTTTCAAAGCCAGAAGAAATCAAACTAATAACGGAAGAAGTAATAATTTTACTGAAAGAGATCACTCAAAGTATGAAACTAGAACATCTAAATTTCATGATTCTGCTACGCTCCAATGGAAAAATAATGTTTGTTTAAAATGTCGCTTAAATTTTGACACATACTTACAATTAGATATGCACCTTGTCAATGAACATGGATATTTTAAGAAGTATTTTTGTAAAACAGATTCTTGTGATATCAGCTTTAGCCTTGAGAGAAGTTTGGATTTACATCACCTTTCACTGCATGCAAATAATCAGGAATCAGGTGGTTATGAAGAGCTGTATGGAGATGTGGATTATGATCTGACTGAGCAATGTTCTAAATGTCTGAGTGGGCCAGTCTGCATATGTTCACCTTTCAGGAGTTCCAACAGACAGTTTGTTGATGAGGAAGAGGTAACTGAGAGGGATGATTATTGGAGTCCTGAAAGAGTGGAATTTAATATTTCAGAGAGGGATGATTATTTAAATCCACATACAGAATTGAATGAAATCACAGAGGGTGACAATTATTGGAATCATGAAAGCGTGGAATTGAATGATGAAAGATATCAGAATCCAACACAACACTTTGTTGAAGAGGAAGAGATATCTGAGAGGGATGATTATTGGAGTCCTGAAAGGCTGGAATTTAATGATATTTCAGAAAGGGGTGATTATTTAAATCCGCATACGGAATTGAATGAAATCACAGAGAGTGACGATTATTGGAATCATGAAAGGGTGGAACTGAATGATGAAAGATACCAGATTCCAATGCAACACTTTGTCAGAAAACAGGTTGAAGTCTTCACTTGTCTATCGGCTATAAGGATATCACCATTTTTACCATATCAGACAATCTCAAATAACTTTGTTTTGAACCAAAACAAAAATCCATTTCTTAGTAACAATAAAAATAGTAATGTATGTATGCTGCCTCAAAGTATTCATCAACCTGTAAGATTGAGTAGAAGTCTTTGCAGTCTAAATACCAGTAGCTTTAATACTGGACTTCTACCTACCTTAAATGAAAGAAACTTGTTCCCATAATACCTGTTGTACAGATTCATTATACCTAATCTGTCAATCTCTTATCTTTACGATTGCTTATTTATTGCACACTTATGTTATCAATCTAAAATCGTGTTTGAAATTTTGATGAGTCTAGTGCTAATGGGGGAAGTGATTTTCATCAAATTTTCTATTGTTTATAAAGTGATTGAATTTTGTTCTGTACCTGTATTTTGACCCACCTGCAATATTTATAATAGTGCAAATGTATTGGTCAGCATTTATTTCTAGAGCCAGTCTATTAGGCACACTCAGTTGGGGGTACTGATGTGCTAAAATAACTGTTGCTGGTTAGGGGAGGGAGGGGGGGGGGGGGGGAATAATACAATTGTATTGATATTGATGCATATAATTGCCAGTAGCCTAGCTAATCGGTGCTAAATTGTCTTTTATTATTTTGTATATATTTTATCAGAAAACTTTTTAAACAATATTTATTTAACAAGTGTGTATTTGTGGCTTATCTTTACAAAATTAGCAAGAAATTCTAATTAAGCTGATTTGTTGCTAAAACAATCACTAAGTAATTTCTATGGTATTTTTTTTTTCAAAGTAAAAAGATAAATCAATTTTGACCTTTTTGTTAAAAATGCACCAATTTGTTCTTTTAATGATTGTTAGCAAATTAGTCATGTCCCTTGGTTTATTTAAAAAAAAATCTTTTCTACAGATTTACAAACAAAAAGTAATTAAAATGCCCTAATTTATCATGTGACAAACAGGTATAAAGACAAACGTTGAAAACATATTCTATTACTTCAGCTTTTTGCAAAGCTTATTTTGCATAATAAATAAGGAACCAAGTAGGTATATAGTATCTAGTTTAAATCAGATTTCTTGTCATTTAATTTATTGGTACTTGAACAACTAGCATTTTATAACCTGTTCAGCAATGTAATAGTATTACCACACTTTTTTTAGATGAACAATTATTTGTACATTGTATTCTATTGAGTAGCACACATTTTAGGTGGCTATCATGTATAAGCAAATAATAGATATTTCTCAAATTTTGTTTATCATTTGACCTTAAACATTTATTTGATGTATATACACATGTGAACATTAAACACTTGTTTATATTGTTTGTTGTCTCAGATTCATTAGTGTCATTCAAAATTCTTCCAGTGCTGTATATGTTTTTTAAAAAAATGGGGGGGGGGGGCTTCGTGGTGTTGGCTACAGTAGGAGTATGGCTTATCAAAATTTCATTTTTCAGCATTTGTGTGTGTGTGTGGATTAAAAAATACGAATTTTCAGAAAATTCATTCCACCACCCCAACGAAAACTTTATGCAGGCCTCGTGATCAGTGAAAGTATGTAGATCTAGGTAGTACTTGTTTTGTTGAAAAATACTTAAGTCCTGTGTGCTGTCTTTCAAGTAGACCCAGGACGTGCAATGGAAACATGACTATGATATAAGATCTCTTCTAACGACATAGCTACTTCTATTCAACCAAGATATCCCTAGCCGACTATGAAAACCGCAAAATAGAATTAACAAGAAGCTACAGGGAAAGGAAACTAATATCATAAAAAATTCATAAAAAACGTTTTAATAACAAGCTTTTATGTAATGATGCACTAAAAAGTAGAAAATAAATTATAGACTACTATTTAAATAACTATAAAGAAAAGCGTGGGTCACTTTAGTATCTATTGGATACCTTTACTAATGTTAAGGAAGACACCCACGCTTTTCTTTATAGTTATTTAAATAGTAGTCTATAATTTATTTTCTACTTTTTAGTGCATCATTACATAAAAGCTTGTTATTAAAACGTTTTTTATGAATTTTTTTTCAGTACTTTACATGTTTTATCTACAATAGAGTTACATGACTAAAAACCATTGCGCGCCTACTGAATATCACGTTCAGTAGGCGCGCAATGGTTTTTGAACGCAGCCATTACGTGGTCGTGATGGCGCAGCTATTGATGACGCGTGTGGTGTGGTTGGCTAGACATGCCTACTAATTCGGTCCAAATTTTAATTAATTCATAAAAAATCAATTAGGCATCCAATTAAGTCAAATTTAGTTTCAGATTGCATTGTCTTCATGTCTTGACCCACGTGCCAACTGTGAATCGTATCGGTCAAGTAGAACTGTCCGAATTTTCACTCCTGCGTTTCCGTCAAGACAGACAGACAGACTGTCGAGGAAGTGAGTTAAATAAAAGCTTGTAATAAAAAAATAATTAATTTATCGCATTTCGCGATAATCTCGGGGCATTTATGTTCAAGCTGAAAACGCGAAAAAAAATTATTGAAAATCGCAACCAACTAAAGTAGTATGGTACCGTAGATGAATTTGAAGGTAAAACAAATGAAACATTTGAAAGATTATTGGACATCGCTGCCAACCAAAGATCTCCAGCCCTCTGTCCTGTGCTATCTTCTCAACCTGACTCTAGGCGCAGCCTATATCCTGGCCCTCAGGATAGACAATCAGTCGTAGGGGGGGGGGGGGGTTGCGGATCGCACCGGGTGACACCATTTAGGGGGTTGACAAGGCAAAAAAAAGCAAAATATATAGAGAAAAACTTGAGGGGGTGCAAATCGAAAGTTTAAGGGGGGGGGGTGCAAATCGAAAATTTGAAAGTTTGTCCCCGGGAAGGGTCGCTACGCCTCTGGGGGGGGGGGGGGGGGGTGACATCCGACCTCGCTATGCCACTGAGGTGGGGTAGCCTATAGAGCTGTCAGAAAACAGACTGGATGAGGCTCTTGTTTAAAGCTCAGCTTGAGATGAGCTAGACTTGCTTGGTGTGTACGGGTGCCGCTGTTATTGGCCAAGCGGTAGTCCTGTAACTGATGTCCTGTATACGCAGTGTTTCTTCCAGACTTTTTTATCCGGGGGGGGGGCGGACACTCTTAAATGTATATATTTTCTATATAAATTCCATTTCGTTCGCCCCCCCCCCGAAGAGATGCCTAGAAGAAACTGTGTATACGTGGTCTAGTCCCTTGTAGTAGTCCTGTACCTGTGGTCTGATGTCCTGTATATGTGATCTAGTCCCCTGTAGTAGTCATGTAACTGTGGTCTAGTCCCCTGTAGTAGTCCTGTACCTGTGGTCTAGTCCCCTGTAGTAGTCCTGTACCTGTGGTCTGATGTCCTGTATATGTGATCTAGTCCCCTGTAGTCCTGTACCGGTGGTCTAGTCCCCTGTAGTAGTCCTGTACCTGTGGTCTAGTCCCCTGTAGTAGTCCTGTCCCTGTGGTCTGATGTCCTGTATATGTGATCTAGTCCCCTGTAGTCCTGTACCTGTGGTCTAGTCCCCTGTAGTCTCATGTACCTGTGGTCTAGTCCCCTGTAGTAGTCATGTACCTGTGGTCTAGTCCTGTACCTGTGGTCTAGTCCCCTGTAGTAGTCCTGTACCTGTGATCTAGTCCCATGTAGTCCTGTAACTGTGGTCTAGTCCCCTGTAGTCCTGTACCTACTTGGTGGTCATTCAAGACTCGCGGGAGGGAACGCTGTCATGGCCAATCTTTTTCGAAGGGTTTGGCTACGAATCTAAACCTGTGTTTCTTTCAGGCATCTCGTGGGGGCAGGTTGGCCTCCACCTCCACGGACGAAATGGGGCAAAAATATGTAGAAAATATATGGCCCTACTTTAACTAGTGTCTATCACCTGTAAATTTTAAGACCTACCCTGATTTGAAGTGTCCTCTCCCCGCCCATCGAAGAAATAGCGTAATAGAAACCCCAGTTCAAACCACTTTCCCAGAAAATGAGGAATCCACCCGAAGATTATCTTCATATATTTGCTAATATCTGGAGTCTCATTTTATAAAAATTCTAAGACTCCATCGAGATTCTGTTAAGGTAGTTCGAATTAACTGGGCCTACTCTTAGCTTCTAGACTTTCTTTGGCTACATTCCAGAGCTCTGTAAAATTGCAATTTGAGGGAGAAGGTAGGCTGAAGTCTGATGTAATTTTAGATTTTTGTCCTTATATTGCGTTTTGAAAACTGTTTTTGTAATTCGTAGCATAATAGAAACTGATTATTATACTATATGTGTAGTACCGAGCTCATTCAATGTTTTAGAAAGAAATGACTTTAAAAAAAAAAGAAACTGCAAATTTAGGGGGGGGGGGGGTAGGTGTGACATCATTTTAGGAGGGCGTCTGGCCTTTAGTGATGATGTGTGCGGGAGGGGGGGGGGGGGGCAACATCGTTAAAAAACGTGACGTCATTTATTTATGACACCCTACTGCATATTTGAAGCTGTGAAGGGGGAGGGGGGTAAATATACAGGGGAACGATTCATCTGTAGAAACAATAACGATCCGTTCCCGCGATTTAAGTAGGCATTATGATTGTAGAAGCTTTACTGAAAGTCACTCTAATTATTTTTTTACAACTTGTTGAAAAAATTGTATTGGTAAAATTGAATGCTAATAATATTTCTAAACGTTTAAACCTTTTTTAATAGAAAAAACAAATTTCACATTTTATCAATGGTACCCTGATAATGAGAAAAAAGTTTGAATGCACCGTAACTACCGGCACCGGAAGTATTTTATGAAACAGAAAGTGGTATTATAAATATTAAAATAACCATTTGCATTTATTGAATCAGTAGAGTAACACCACAAACAGCATCATTTGATCTATAATTTATAAAATAAGTTAAAATGATTTCACTAAGTAAAATAGCAATCCAGGTGCTGCTCTTTATATTGTATACGTTTTCCTTTTGTGGTAAGTCGTGTCTTATTAAGTTAAAAATTAAAAATGGAAGTGAATTTCAATTTTTATTGTTTAGATTAGAATAGTTAGACTTTAGACTTTAGACCTAAATTAATTTTTTGGTAGGCCTAAACTACGTAAAATCGCCCGTGGCTAGAATCTAGCAATGTACGAAAAAGTTACCTCATTGTCAAGGCTTTGTAACAGAAGTATTGTGATATATTATTATATTTGTAAGTTAGAGTGGCTTCCCTTGAATCTTGCGCTATAAGTTTACAATAAAAAAATAAACAAGATGGTTGCTATAGTAAATGAGCATGGTTGCATCTGTTGGAAACATCGCTAGATAGTCTTCATTTATTACTGAAAAGTTTTAATTCAATTGTTTAAAAACAGGTACATAAATGAAACTTTGAAACATTTTTGTAAATTTCAAAACTAAAATCCTCCTATAAATGTTAAATAATTATTAAAATTTAAGGAGTCACCTGTTTTTCACATTACTAGTCGCGGGCAATTTTATGTGCCTAAATCGAAAAGATACCGTAGATTCTAGGCCTATGGTCTATTATACTCTATAGTCCAACACTTCACACTAGCCGTTGGTACCCGTTACACATGAATTATAGGCCTTATATTAACTATATATTTTAATATTATACTAGTTTGAAAAAAATATTTTATAAAATAGTTATTGGTCGATACACAATGTGTTTTACTAAACGTTGAACAATATTAGTGACAAAGCAAAGAAATAACTAAATTGCTAAAAATCCAACACATTTCAAGTAAATAGACTACCGATACCTATTACAAAAATTAAAACCAAATTATATATATTATTAGTCAATACAGCACCATATTAAATGCACACGCTGGTTAAGAGACTTAAAATTAAGAGACTTAAATGATTTCGTTAAAAACCCGGCTGTTCAATTGTAGTTATGTTTTTTTTAAAGTAAATTTTATTAGTTTAGGCAGAGAAAATTGTATACATTTCATAGCGGAAGTCTTGTTAAGTAGATCTAAATCAAATTTGAATGAAATAGTTCATTTCTTTATTTTGTAAAATTGGGGAAGATGACGCCATTAGTTTTGTGTTCTTTTGTAGTTTAAACATGTGGCATCTGACATGATTGTTTATTGCGTTCTTGTCACGACAATAAACACTTTTCCGGCGGCATAGTTTAAATGTGTTTCTACATTCGAATATGTCTTTATTTTTATTCTCCCGCTTGAAATCAATTTTAGTTTATACATTTATAACATCCACCATATTATTTTTTTTAAAAATCTGTATTGTTAAGTTCTCCATATATATTGCTGAACATACTCATCACATCGCCTAAAAAATGTTGCGGACAGAGAGAGAGAGGTGCGCACATGGGCTTTTATATATTGGGATACTAGTTACATAGTACACATACATACATTTAAAAAAAAATACATTTCATTCGCACGCGAGGTCATTAGGCTTATTTACATACTAAGATTTAATAATAAATTGGGCTATTTTTTAGCCTATTTAGAGATCTAGTCTAGTCCTATTTATAAAAAGTTTTAGATTCAGTGTGTGGCAACAAAAAATATTTTTGCCATTTTTATTTTACAAAATGATAAAATGTTCTTTACTTATATACTTTATTTATTAAGATCAAATGTACATAAGCTTCTCTTGAATATTCATCAAATACTCAGTAAGTTTGATCATTATCTAACAGGCACTATAACAGGGGAGCTTGTTGAGATGAAAATTGTTGATGAACCATCAAGTTTTGGGTAAGAGCACATCTTAGTTGTATAGAGTGTATTGTTTGTAAAAGTGATGTAGACATTGGTGATTTGAATGTGTGGCAGTTTCTGAATACTTTCTAGGTAAGATTTTCATGTTTGTTCGTGTTTAACAAAATTGTTTAGTTAAAGCATGAATGATTTTCTTGGTGGGGAAGACAGAGAGGAGTCTCTATGTATTTTTTTGTGTACAAAATAGCTCAAAGCTGGAAAACATGAATTCAATTGTATATTTAAAGACTCAACAGCATGTATAACAGCCAAAACCGCAATCAACCAGAGGATAACCTAAAGCTGCGTGTGCAGCCAGCCAACTTTTCGGGTCCCGCTCATCTAAGGAGGCTGATTGGACGGTGTTTTATCTCCATTATTGCAGAGTAGGTTTTTTAAAATTTTTAGCAGTCTAATTTTTCTTGTCAGTTAATAATGCTGCATTTTATACAGCTATATTTTGAAGTGCTCAAGTTGTACAGCATTACCACCTTATAAGTCTTAAGTTGATTGGGCATACCTGAGCCAACTCAGCTCTGATGGGTAACTGACACGTGTTGGATTAAGTAAAGGCTAGACAAAATGGTGACACAATTCTTGATATGTCTAAGCTAAAGACCATCAGGTTTAGAGTATTGTTTTGTACATAATTAATGTTGTTAATTATAAGGGCCATTGTGGGTATATTGGTAAGTGAACACAGCCATGTATTGTTACAAGACTAGAAGGTGCAAATGGGTTTGAGATTGGTTGGCAACTGAGTTTAACAACTTAGTGTTAAGTTAGCAGTTAAGTTAGTGATATGTTAGCAACTAAGTTAGTGATAGGTTAGCAACTAAGTTAGTGATAGGTTAGCAACTAAGTTAGTGATAGGTTAGCAACTAATTTAGTGATAGGTTAGCAACTAAGTGATAGGTTAGCAACTAAGTTAGTGATAGGTTAGCAGCTAAGTTAGTGATAGGTTAGCAGCTAAGTTAGTGATAGGTTAGCAACTAAGTTAGTGATAGGTTAGCAACTAAGTTAGTGATATGTTAGCAACTAAGTTAGTGATAGGTTAGCAACTAAGTTAGTGATAGGTTAGCAACTAATTTAGTGATAGGTTAGCAACTAAGTTAGTGATAGGTTAGCAACTAAGTTAGTGATAGGTTAGCAACTAAGTTAGTGATACATCAGCAGCTAAGTTAGTGATAGGTTAGCAACTAATTTAGTGATAGATTAGCAACTAAGTTACTGATAGGTTAGCAACTAAGTTAGTGATAGGTTAGCAACTAAGTTAGTGATAGGTTAGCAACTAAGTTAGTGATAGGTTAGCAACTAAGTTAGTGATAGGTTAGCAACTAATTTAGTGATAGGTTAGCAACTAAGTGATAGGTTAGCAACTAAGTTAGTGATAGGTTAGCAGCTAAGTTAGTGATAGGTTAGCAGCTAAGTTAGTGATAGGTTAGCAACTAAGTTAGTGATAGGTTAGCAACTAAGTTAGTGATATGTTAGCAACTAAGTTAGTGATAGGTTAGCAACTAAGTTAGTGATAGGTTAGCAACTAATTTAGTGATAGGTTAGCAACTAAGTTAGTGATAGGTTAGCAACTAAGTTAGTGATAGGTTAGCAACTAAATTAGTGATACATCAGCAGCTAAGTTAGTGATAGGTTAGCAACTAATTTAGTGATAGATTAGCAACTAAGTTACTGATAGGTTAGCAACTAAGTTAGTGATAGGTTAGCAACTAAGTTAGTGATAGGTTAGCAACTAAGTTAGTGATACATCAGCAGCTAAGTTAGTGATAGGTTTGCAACTAATTTAGTGATAGATTAGCAACTAAGTTACTGATAGGTTAGCAACTAAGTTACTGATAGGTTAGTTAACTAAGTGATAAGTTAGCAAGTGAGTTAGTGTTCACAAGGTGAAAATGATACTAGGCTGGCAGAGGGGTGACAGGAATGTTACATGGACCAAGGCTAATTGAAATAGTGAAACTGTGCTGTGATATTGAAGAGAAAAGAAACATAATTTGAACAGAACAGCTATGTTGCACTTATCTAGAAGTGCTAACTTAGAGTTTTCACACACCTTTTTTTGTTTGCATTTTTCCTAATATGGATAATAGATTATTTTAAAAATTATATTGTGTTTTCATTTATCCAACTTTTTTCTCCAGTTACAAATACAAGTTTTGTCCCTTTTCAAATGTCACTCAGCATGAACAAGGTTTACACTGGAACCCCTACCAAGGTGTCCTAGGGTAATTATTCTTTTCTCTTCTGCCTACATTATGCAGCAGCCCATTTTGTTAACATTTAAAAAAAAATTGTATTGGACATTTTATTTAAAGCGTTCTTTGTTGAAATATGTGAAGCTTTTTAATTTTCAAGAAATCTGTTTCATTCCATTTTAGTTTATTATAACTATTGTTCAGAGTTGTGACAAATCAGAAATTATAATTTAACTTTAAATTTTTTTATTTTAGTGTGTGGCAGGAATGGGAAATAATCAACAACACTTATGTTGCTATGGTGATGAGAGATGGGGATCATTGTGGAAGTATTTTTAGATCTGTTAAGGTCAGCATGTCTATTTTTAGTAACAAAATAAATAGTAACTTAAGATTTTGAAATAATAACTCTTGTTATAGTTTACCTAAAGTTACTATTTTTAGTTTTAAATTAATTTTTCTTAAAAATCTAGCTCCTTAATTTGGTCTAGTTGTGATTTGATTCAATAGGTGAGTTTCATGTGTGGCAACCATAGCCAGATAGTGAACGTCAGTGAACCTCACACCTGCAGTTATCACCTGGTGTTTATGACACCTCTGGTCTGCCATAACGAGTCCATGCTGGTTTATCCCAGCCTGAGCCCCAAGCTGCAGAAAGAGTGGGATCAGCTGGAGAGTGACATGGGCAGAGGGGAGCTCACTCCAAAGGTTTGATTTGACACATTTTTAACAACTTAAGGGAGCATCCATAAATCATGTCATATTTGTAAGGGGGAGGGAGGGGTCTGGGCATGTGTAATGAGAAGGAGTTCAGAAAGTGTGATGTCATGATTTTCCAATTAAAAAAAAATAGAATACTTTTTAACCTTAAATGTTAACAAGTATTTTGCATTTTTAAGCGTCAATTGATTATTTCTAATCTATTTCCAGCTTTGTAAGTAATGTAAATAAATATGTGTGTTTGAAAAAACCAAAAATGCAGTTGGAGAAGGGGCAATCAGCTGTAGTGTGATGTCCTATTTGGGGGACGGTAGACGGGTGACACGGGGATCTGACAATTGGGAGTTTGAGGGGGTAAAAATGGTCAAACATGCATGACATTATTGTCGAACAAAAAAGTCCTAGCTCTTTTAAAAAAATATATATTTAAGTTTTTCCTATTGGGTTTAAGATTTAAGTTACCATATGTGTAGCCGCTAAACACTGAAGAGTGTTATATAGACCTTAACATCCTTACATGCAATAATCACTTTATTATGTGCATACAGATATGTTAATTTTTTTTTTATTAAGCTTTTACTTTGTTCACAGTGTCCATCAGTTTGTTGCAAATCTTGTTTCAAATAATGATGTGATTTTTTTTTCTATTAAAGGGCTACAACAAAAGGCTGAGTAAAATTTTTGAAGAGGCCGGTGTGTACATGAGCAAAGAAGGGAGAGAAGACCTGTTGAAAAAAACCAAAAAAGCTGAGCAGAATAAGTTGGCTGAAGGGGAGTTTATCACATTGGAGTCATGTAAAACTGTAAGCATTTAGTCATTTTGTTGGATATGGGGAGACTATCACATTTTACTCATGTAAAACTAAGCACTAAATTACTGGGCTGTAAGTTGATTAAGGGGAGACTATCACACAGGAGTCATATAGAACTGTAAGCATAGAATCACTAGGCTTCTCATGTGTAACCAGGGTGTCAATCTGTATAAAAACAGTTAAACAGAGGTGGGACAGTACCCAGTTACAAACCCAATGGTCTCAGGTCATTGGGTTTCAGGCCCTAGGTGTACGTCTATCAAGCAATGTACCCTATAAAAACATGTATTTAGTGTTTAGCTGTGTGAAATGTACATGCATGCAGCTTTTACTTTAATAGATGATTTAATAGATGATATAGCTGTTTTTATTCAAAGATGTGTTGTTGTTGCAGGAATACAAAAAGTTACAGAAAAGGTTCCAGGCACTGGTTTCTCAGGCTGGAACTGAAGGTGGAACATCAGGTATGTAGAAACTCGTTACACATTATAGATACATCAGGTATGTAGAGACTTGTTACACATTATAGATACATCAGGCATGTAGAGACTTGTTACACATTATAGATACATCAAGTATGTAGAAACTTTTTGACCTAGAAATTATCTTGTAATGTTTAGTCTACACTTAATTGTGGTTTCAGTTTAATTATGTCAAGCTAAACTATTCTAATGAGAGGTCAAGGGGTTTTTGCTTAGGTCATTTGTGCACATCAGCTTTTAACTATTTTTTCAATTTTCTTGTATTCAGATACTGAAGATCATGATGGATTATAACAAGATGGTTGCTTGTGGTTGATGGTGATGTAATGATGTACTATAACAATAACTGTGTTCCTGGAGATTATTTGTATCTTGTATACTTTCTTTAGGTTTTATGTTTTGGAACCACACTTTGATGCATTATTGTTATTTGATTAATTGAAACTTTGGCTACAGATTCCACTCTGGACCTAAATGGTTGCAGTATATGAGATAGAGATTCTCACTTGTGAGACTTAGAGGTCAGTATGTGTGTATGTGACTTGACATTGGAACTTATGTTGGCTTTAGGGACTTGTAACTTTGTTACAGGTCAAGTATATGTGTATGTGACTTGACATTGAATCTTATGTTGGCTTTAGGGACTTGTAACTTTGTCGCAGGTCAAGTATATGTGTATGTGACTTGACATTGGAACTTATGTTGGCTTTAGGGACTTGTAACTTTGTCACAGGTCAAGTATATGAGTATGTGACTTTAGGGACTTGTAACTTTGTTCTAGGTCAAGTATGTGTGTATGTGATGCATGGAAGAAATAGTTGAGTACACTGAGGCTGTATCACTTGTGTGGAGCTTGACTTGACATTGGATCTTATGTTGGCCTTAGGGACTTGTAACTTTGTTAACTTGAAGGCTCTGTTTCAGCTGGTTCAAGATTTGCTCAAAATAAATGTGCACTTACATGTAGAAAATATATGCTCTGTAAGAATATAAAAGGTCATTGTGATGCCCATGACATGACTTAAGATCATTGAAATTGTTTATGTTTCACACTTCCTGCTGTGATGGTTTAATGTTTCTGTAAACAGAAGACAGAGGGTCAGAAGTCTCTCACAAATTGTAGTCTTTTATATCATTAGACAAAAAGTTGGACTTAGTTCAATGCTGTGGGAAATTATTTTTTGTATTAATGTGTTTATCTAGTTACTAGTTATTTTTTGTATTAATGTGTTTATCTAGTTACTAGTACTATTTTTGTATTAATGTGTTTATCTAGTTACTAGTTATTTTTTGTATTAATATGTTTATCTAGTTACTAGTATCATTTTTGTTACTTGGCTAAGTCAAGTAACTGTGGGGTTAGCCTTGGCCTAGGCTGTGGGTTTTATAATGTACTCATTATTGATGTCTCAATTTATGTGTTATAATCTGTCATCTGCATATTATCTGAGAATATCTTGTTGTCTCAGAGTAGGGGACCCTAACATTGATGCCGTAACTTTTGATTACAGATTTAAAATCTCTTTGCTTAAATCTTTGATCGGATTGTAAATAAATGCTATTTTATTCTTTATGTACAACACCAAGTCTTTAATGTTTTAAATAATGTAAAAGAAATTTTTAAATTTTATTATGGTAATTTATTTGAATGAAAATGTTGATAGTATTTTTATTTTAATAAAAATACATGGATTATATTTTTTGTTTAGTTTTTGACAAATTATATATTTTTTAGTATTTTTATTTTAATAAAAATACATGGATTATATTTTTTGTTTAGTTTTTGACAAATTATATATTTTTTTTAGTTCATATTTTATAAGAATAAAAAAATGCAGTTATAAACTGTTTCAAGCTAGAAAATGTCAGTTTAATGGTATATAGTAGTGCAAATACAATATTTTGAGTACTTTGAAATGAATAATCTTCAGTAGTTTGCAGAAAAAGAAGTTTATCTTTCAATACTTGTAAAAAGAATGAAATGCCATATCAGAGAGTAGAATTGTTTAATGGCTTATGAGGAATGATTAAAATGGGAATTTAGCTTTTAAAGGAAGTGGTTTATTTTTGTTGGCCAATGCCTGTTGAAGGGACTCTTGTTCTGTCCTGGCATAAGGGCGTCTTAGCCCCTCCTTCTTTAACGTCACACCGAATCCTGGCCTGTCCGGAAGATCTATAAACCCGTCTTTCGGTAGTGGCTCGTCAGGAAACAGTCCACCAAAGTATGGTACAATCTGGTCTGCCTTGTGGCTCATGTTGATGTACTCGGCCAGCGGGCAGTTGGTGAACGCGTACTGCAGGTGGTAGGAGAACACACTTGACCCGTGGGGGATGACCAGTGTGTCGGTGGCGGAGGCCATGGCCACGACACGTCTGGCTTCAGTTAGACCCCCCAACCACGTGATGTCCGGCTGGATGATGTCGACACAGCGAGATTCCAGAAGCTGCTGAAAGCCGTACCGTGTGTACTCGTGTTCGCCAGTGGTCAGCATCACGCACGAGCCTTTCAGGTTGTCACGGACTTGCTTGTAGCCATGGTAACAGTCGGGTGGGAGGTATTCCTCCAGCCATTTTAACCCAAAAGGCTCGAGCTGTTTCGCGAGTTTCGTAGCGTAGGGCGCGGTGAGCGCCATGTAGCAGTCTAAACTCAGCGGGAAATCTGGACCAACTTTTTCCCTCCAGTTTTTGAAGTACTCGACGTTTTTCTTCAAACCTTCGTCCCCGTCGCTTGGGCCATAGCAGCAAGGGATTTTAGCGCCCACAAACCCCAGCTCTTTGGCCAAGTCGGGTCGTCCGGTGGTCGAGTAGACTGGCAGACGATCTTTCGTTTTTCCTCCTAAAAAAAAACAACAACCACAACAGTTTATAGTTGGTACCCAGTTATAGTAACATGAGGATGAGTTTAAAACACTTTGAACGATCGGGGTGGGGTGAAGGAATGTCGGATTTTTCTTTTTCCTTGCGTAGTTTAAACTTGTGGCTCCCTCTCGGTGAAAAATAGAAAATCTATAAGGTAATATACAATCAGATGATTGCATTGATTTCCTACCAACCCAGATGATCTCTCTATCCTGCCAAATAACTCACCCAACAGGGCATAAACCGGCTCATTCCTCAGTTTTCCCAGCAAGTCCCACAAAGCCAGATCCACCGCACTGATTGCCTGAAAAAACATTAGTGTTGCATCGTATCAGTGACTTAGGCGGGATATCTTTATTGGGGAAAGTAGAGAGGTACAAATATAAAACGTAAAATAGTGTTAACAATGAACATAAAGCGATAACGACACGCCGTCGCAAATAACTAATTGAACGTGAGATATGTTTTGAGTTTTTGTGTGTCGAGGGAAGGGTAATGCCCCCCTGCCTACTTACTGTTTTTTAATTGCCTTGTGTGTGTGGGGGGGGGGGGGGGGTTGCCCTCTCTACCAGTTTTGTTTAAATTGCTTAAACAACGCCTTGGGTGTGTGGGTGGGTGTCTGGGGGTGGGGGGTATTGTCCACATACCTACCATTTGTTTTGGTTGTTTTAAATTAAATTGCCTACACTACGCCTTGAATGTGTAGGCCCTATGTGTGTAGGGTGGGGTGGGGGGATGTAGTTAAAAACTGTCTAGCAGCTGGTTTTTTCGACCTACCTGAATGGGCAGCCCTTTCCTGCCGTAGTTGATGGTGGCCCTAAACATCTGGTCCCAGATGAGCTCCACGTCACGTGGGTCCTGACCCTCAACGAACCGGCTCAAGTGCTTCTCCACGATGTAGCATCCGGGCTCCCCACCGATCGTCACCCCCACACCAACGGTTCCATCTTCAGCCTCCACCTATGACAGAAAACAGATGATACAGTATTGGACTACTTGTGTACAATGTTGCCACTTTTCCAATAGTTCGTTACATGTGGCCAATGTCATGCCATACATTGGGGTGACACGGGAGGAAGGAGAGCTGTTGTTGCGTAAATCGACAATGTGTTCTTTTGTTTGTTTTTGTTTAAAAAGAGGGTGGGTTGTCCCAGTTACACTCGCCATTCCAGTATTCAACCAGTCAAGCTTTCGTTGCATTGTATTTGGGGGCCATATTTGATGCAGTGTTTCTTCCAGACCTTTTCTTGGGGGTGGGGGGTGGGGGGGGGGGGGGTGGCGGACTAAAACTTCCGGGGGGGGGGGGGGGCGGACACTGGTATAAGTATATATTTTCTATATTAATTGCATTTCGTTGGGGGTGGGGGGGGGGGGTGGGGCGGTAAACGTTCTTCGATTGTGAGGGGGGGGGGGCGAAGATATGCCTGGAAGGAACTCAGATTTGGTGGCGTCATTAACAGCGGGGTGCGGACTGTATGACACGACAAAATAACAAAGTAATGCACCAAGTCTGTTCCTACCTCGACAGCCAACGTCCCCAAGGCGTTGATGCCCCAGGACTTTCTAGTAGCCGAGTACTGCGGGTGGCAGCTCATGGGTGTCGCGATTGGCGCCAGCCCACAGTTCAGCCAATGGGAGTCGTCCACGTCATGACAGTCTGCTCCTTGGTCACTCTGTGACCCTTGCTGACACAGTGCTCGCACACATTTTATTTTTGGAAAGTCTTTTGTTGACATCCTGTAACCTAGACAACAAAAAAAAATCGAATAAAAAAGGCTTTCGACATAACTGGTTGCTTTTAAATGTTGGTTGATGAGCTTCTGGCAACTTTTAGGGAAAAAATTTAAATCTCCAGTTTCGATTTGATGAATATTCAGCAGATAGCGGCCGTCATTTCAATAATGGACTTAAAGTAAAGCGAAAGAGAGTTTCTGATCTGTGACAACAAGCAACATGGATAGGGGTGGGGGAAGAATAAAGGCTCAAGGGGTCGTCCATAAATGACGTCACACTCGTAGGGGGGAGGGGGGGGGGTCCGTAATTTTGTGACTGTGTGTGATGAGGGGGAGGGGGGGGGGGGTTCAGATGGTGAGACGTCACATTTTTGCATTAACAAAAAGTAATGTTAGAAAACGAATTTTAGACGTTATTTCGCGTTTTAGAAAACTGTTTTAATAAATTGTAATAGGAATTGATTAAAATACTCTATGTTGAGAGAGTTCAGCCAAGATTTTGGAAAAATATCGATGTTTTAAGAAAAATTCAACTGCAATTTTGAGGGGGGTTGTAGGCTGAGGTGTGACTTCATTTTAGGGGGGGGGGAAGGTCTGGCTTTTTGTGACGATATGTGACGGAGGGGAGGGTTGGAGGTAAAAATCGTCCAAAAAAAGCGTGACGTCATTTATGGATGACCCCCAAGAATTGTTATATGATCAAGATGTGTGGCATCATTTTGTTCCTAGGCCTCGGCCAGACTTTAGTGTGGCAGAAATACAATCATGGGGTTTTAATAAAATTAAGATACTCCCAAAACTAAAATTCCTGCTCAGCTTTTGCAGTCATCGAAAACATGCGTGGTAAGCAGATTATTATCTGATTTTATCGTCACGTTTCTTATCTATCGAGAAAATGGGCAGGCCCTAGATCAAGTGGGTTTAAATGGGTGACACCAGTGACATCCCCCTTTCCTTTCTCACCCCCTTAGGTTGTCTCATAACAAGTTACAAGAAATAAACTCTTGCACTTTAAAAAAACAAAAACTATGTTCGTGGGATTAACAAAAAGCAGTTGTATTAATGAGTAGATAATTCTAGGCAAACAGTAGTAAGCACAAAAATATGTTATACCCATATCATGTAAACATTGGCCACATTAGAAGTAAACAGCAGACCTACTTACGTCTGTGTGTAATGTAAATGAAATTGTTATGAATGGTCTTAACGCGAAGGTTTCTCGCAGCTTTCTGTAACGATAAGATCTGCAGCTTTATAAAGCTTATCTAGGCTGGCATGTATAGTCACGAACCAGATGTTCAGGAGCAACTGTAGTTGAGTCTGTTACAATTAAGAACAGCTGTAATCAAGTTTGTCAAAGCTGTCTTTGTGTAGCTGTAATATCCATTAAAAGCTAAAGATGTTACGCTGGTCCAATTTTTTTGAGGGGAGGGGAGTGAAGAAAAACCTAGACACTTCAAAAGTTAACAGATATTTTATTCATTTTTAAATATATTTTAACTGGGCACTCTGTTCTTAATATTTAAAATATGGGCGGAACTCTGGGGGGACATAGAGCCGCCCCAATATATAACCAAGCCTTCACCTAAACTCTGAGACTAGGTCCACCTACGCCCATAGGTTTGAATGTCCGAATAAATGGGTGGCACCAGTCTCTAATAAAGTAACTTGTCTGCAGTGGCGTAGCGAGATCGGGTGTCACCCGGTGCGGCACTTAATGGTGTCACCCCCCAGAGGCGTAGCGACCCTTCCCGGGGACAAATTTTCGATTTGCACCCCCCCCGTCAAGTTTTTCTCTATATATTATGCTATTTTTTGCCTTGGTGTCACCCCCCCTAAATGGTGTCACCCGGTGAGGTCTGCACCCCCCGCTACGCCTCTGCTTGTCTGCACATTGTCTTTAAATCCTTCAACTCAGCTAGTTATTCCTCATATCAACTATACAATCAATAAATTACGTAAAAAAAGCAGAAAAAAAACCCTGTTATTCCAACAAGTGTATTGATAAGAAAAACACTACCTATATGTAACGCTGCGAAATGTACCCTCAACGAGATACACCTCTACAACTGCTAGCGTCCACATTTCTAACACAAGCAGATAAAATTGGGTACCCAATCAAGCGTCTGTAAGTCGTGCCCCCCCCCCCCCCCCCCCCCTCGAGTTAATCTGACTATATAGGGCGTTCGCAATACATCTTTATTGGGTATCACACATTTGGAATAAATACTTAATGTCAATAAGCCACTCCAGCCCTAATGGGATACCTGGCAGGGAAAGTGATGATCTCTGTTGCATCTACACAATAAGGCAAACCACGAAATTATTTCCCCTTTAGATTATGGTCTAATATTACTAACATAATTTGGTCAATAAGGCATGATACATTTGTCAGCCCCACCCCCTCTGAAATTCGACCAATGTATACAATTTTATTTAAACCCAACTTGATGTAGAGTAGTGGAGGCTCAATTAAAATATCACCATAACAAAAAGCACACTTGTTATGGCTGTTGATTCTTTTTATTTTGAAATGTAATGCCTGAGTGAGTGGTCCTTAGCTATACTTCAATGTTACAATGTTTAAAGTACAGACACATTTTAAAAACAAAATGTATTTTAATGCTGATCATGCTAAGTACTTTTCTCACATATTTTACTAGTGCAAATACAAACATCGGATTCCTTCAACCTGCACATCACAATAGTAATCAACAAATAAAAACTAAAAAAAAAACTCTTATACATATTTCATCAATGGTGGAAATAAAAATGTGTATTTTAGCTCCATCTTAATGCAAGTCAAACAAAAATCACCCATGTAATATTATGCTCAAACAGAAGAGGTAAGAGAATAGCCTGATACAGGTCATGCACATATAAAACCACGTGGTACCCAATATTTCATTCTTCCACAAGTAGATATACCAACATACATCCTTGCACATAATAACAGATCTCAGTGAAAACAACTACTCAACAAGTAAACTTTTCCAAACAGAATCACTTGTGAGATTTACACCAGACACTATTCATCTGAGCGTATTTACATTTTAGGAAATAATTTTACAGCCAATTTCAAAAGATAAAACAAAAACAACCAAAAATTTTAAAATAAAAAGGGAGGTAATAAAACCCAGAGAATGAATACAAATTTTAAGGACCAAATGTTTTTAGGAAGTCAATTGTAACCAACAAAATAAGACAAACTTCTGTCTATTTAAACCAGTTTATATATTAACTGAGGCAAACAAAATATTGCTACATGTTAATTTCCGAGTACATGTTTAACAGCCAGCTAGATAAGAATCAAATAACCAATGGTGAAGAACTACAGGCCATTAAAATTGACAGAAATATTGAAGGGAATTATTTTAGAATAAATAAGGGGTAAATTTTTGGAATTTAAACAAGAAAACAAATAGTTCATGTTATGACTGTAGGCTCCTCCCTCCCAGTAAGTTCCTTGAGCTTAGAGGTACGCAAAGCAATTGTTACTAGTGGCTTCAGGACCTCCTGCAAGAGAAAGATTGTTACAAGATTGTTACAAGGTAAACAATGGTAAACATCAGACACAAGTTAGTTTGAATGGGCTGATAAAGGTTAACAGGTTTAGTAAGCTTACTATCACTAACAATCATATTGACAAATCCAACCTAAATTTATTTTGACTATAAATTAGATTACACCTATTTATTAGGCAATATTTCAAAATTTTATAGGTAAAATAAGTTTTTTTTAAAAAATGGCATGATACCCTTGTTTAAAAAGATTTACATTTTAATGCCAGTAAAGTTGTAAAGAGTTAGTATTAAGGTATGGAATAAGGTAAGAGTTACAATACTCAGAAGATATAACCTATATTACATTTATTAGTAATAATTTACTACTAGGATTCTGCTGAATGATTTTCTAATGAAAAAAAAAACTTATGTTGTACCTGTGCATCTTGATGATAAAACTGCGGATTTGGAAACTTTTCATAACCCTCAACGTAAATCCGAATAGTGGCTCCTGAACTTCCAGTACCACTTAGACGATAAATGATTCTTGAGCCATCTTCAAACAAGAACCGAATACCCTACAAGACAGATGCCAAACTATTAAAATAATATTCATTTATTTATAATATTAATATATCCTTATTTTACATCAGCTGCAAAAATCTAAATTGCAAGTTAAAAACAAAGTAAACTGTGAAAGGGTCAATGAACCTGATTTGTGCTGATGCTGCCATCCACTGGATCTGTGTATTCAAAGTTGTCCAGGTTTGACATTTTGTAGGATTTGCCAGTTGGGTCAGAAAATGTCATACTTTTTGTTTTCGGGTCATCAATTAACTTGGTTAGAAGCTCCATCATCTTATCACCAGCTTCAGAAGACACATTTTCATAGTCATACCTGCCCAGTGCACAAGTCAAAATATAAGCCACACACATTTTTAATTACTAGAAACATATATGAAGAACAAAAAGTTGGGAAATGTATATGATGATTTTAAAAACTATCAATTTTAAACCTGTAAAATATATGCAGCTGACCTTGTGAAGAAATTTCTGCCATATGTTGTCCAATGGTCAAACAGGATCTCCTGAACACTTTTCCCTCTTTTTGCCACAACTGAGAGCCAAGCTAAGGCTGCCCATAAGCCATCTTTTTCACTGTTTACATATTTTTAAAATAAAGTCATTATTTAAACAGTATATAACTAGGACCATAAAAAAATTATCATGCTGTCCATGGGGTAGATGAAGTAGAATTCACCTGTTTTTTTTTATTTTTCCCTAATATGGGTTAGCGACATCCTATATACTGAAGTTTGGAATCCTAACAAGACTTTTGAGTTAACAGTCATACTCACTTCCATACAACCACACTGTCCCTCTAGAACCATTGACCTTCCCCTTTATTTTCATGGACATTAGTAGTAGAACTGGGAAGGTGGGAGTATATTACTCTTAACTGTTTACTTTAGAAATAAGAGTGCCAATATAACCATTGGAACATTATTATGTTATCTATATCCTGATTTTGTTGCTTTAGTTATTAATACCACTATTTCATCAACTAAAAACAATAAATAAAAATACATGTTATTTCTAACGATTTAAAAAAAAAAAAAAAAAAATTTCAAAATGTTTTAAACATATATTAGTAAAACAAAGTGGATTCATATGAAACAAACAGGTCACTACAAAACATGAAACAGGAATAAAAGCTGACCGAATATGATCTGATCCTGTCCCAAAGCTTTCTTCACCACACAAATTGATTTTCCCAGCATCCATCAGATTACCAAAAAATTTCCAACCAGTAGGAACTTGATATATTTCCTTTCCAGCAAGCTGAGCAACTCTAAGCAAATAGCAAAACAAAAGGATGCTATATATCTGGCAACACAAAGAAGGGATTTCAAAAATTTCTCTTCAAAATTTGTCTGACTGAATTTATAAAAAAAAATAAAATAATAGTTTTACTGTTAACAATTAATAACAATGTTATTAAGCTTAATTAAAACGTTTAGTCTAAATCCTCAGTGATGAAAAAGTGACATACTTATCTACAGCCTCTGATGTTGGCATACTGCGAGCAAATCCTTTAACTCCATTACGTTGGAAATATGGGATGCAATCAAGGTTTGCAGCTAACACTGCAAGCGAGTCACAGGGAGTTACAAAAAAGGCTTTATGTCCCAATATCATATTACGATCCTAAAGTGGTAGAGGTTAAAAAATAAGGAATGTTATTTCTTAATATTGTAAATGTTAACTTGCACATAAATGCTGTTACTATCCGCTTACATAAATACATCTTTATTATAATCACAGCAACATTTTCAACAGTGCTCTTGTATAATACAATAAGAAATATGAAAACAAACCCCATCTCCATCAAAAGCAGCAGCGAAATCATGCTTTCCTTCCTTCATTATGTCCACAAGATCACTAGCGTAAGTTAGGTTCGGATCAGGGTGCTTGCCACCAAAGTCAGGAAGAGGTTCACAGTTAAGACAACAATCACTTGGAAAACCCATTTCAGAGATAAATATTTTTTTAAGATATGGCCCAGTAACTGAAATTTAAAAAATCAGTAATTATCATACATGATTACTTTTATTAATTAATTAGGTAATTATAATCAAATGAGTATTTTATGATAGAACTTCAACTTTTATGGATTGTAGGTTTTGTCTTGTTAATCAGTTATGACCTTATTCAGTTGAAGATTGATATAAGTGGAACAAAACTAAATTACCAGTACATTTAGCTAGGTTTATTCTACCAACCTCCATTCATTGCATTGAAGAGAACCTGTTTAGGCTGCCAATATGACTTTATGAGACCAAAATCAAAAATTTCTTTCATGAAATCCACATAATCTGTAGTGCTATCAACAACTTCCAATATAAATTCATTGCCACAAATCTTAAAGGGTGTAATTCCAGGCTTTTCTATGTCAGCTTTTAGATTTGGTACAATTTTATATTCAGTAATTGTTTTTGTTATTTCATATATTTTGTTAGTGATGGCTTCTGGGGCTGGGCCTGAAAAATAAAAACACATCTGTAACACCATTAATTATGGAACAAACCAAATGTACACTGAAAAAATTCTACACAGGCACATTTAATTGATACATAATAACTAAGGAAAATAAAACTGCTTACCTCCATTTTCAATGTTGTATTTGATACCAAAATCACCTTTAGGTCCCCCAGGGTTGTGACTTGCTGTGAGAATGAAGCCACCACACAGCTGTCTCTTGCGAATAATATGTGAACAGGCTGGTGTGGAGAGTATACCATTCTGGCCAATCACTACCTTGGAAACCTAGTATACAAATACTTTATGAAAAATAAAAATATTTTTACTAGATCTATATATTTACCAGCTCTTAACCCTTAATATTAGTTCAGTTCTGATATAAATAAAGTCAAGCAAAACCATATCATATTGATTGAGGTATTTTTTCAGTTATTATATGTGTAAGAGTGCGGAGCAAGGGTCAGTTAAATTCTTATAGGTAGTGAAACATTAAAAATATGAATATTTGAATAACCAATTAAAACATTTTAATATGTACAAAGCATCAAAAGGTCTTTAATGTGTTTATCCCTTTTTTACATAGCAGGAAATTACTCCTTTTTACAAGCTTTTATTTAACTTGCTTCCTCTGTCGTCAGTCTGTCTAGACGGAAACGCAGGAGTGAAAATTCGGACAGTTCTACTTGACCGATACGATTCACAGTTGGCACGAGGGTCAAGACATGAAGACAATGCAATCTGAATCTAAATTTGACTTAATTGGATGCCTAATTAATTTTTTATGAATTAATTAAAATTTGGACCGAATTAGTAGGCATGTCTAGCCAACCACACCACACGCGTCATCACCTTCAATAGCTGCGCCATCACGTAATGGCTGCGTTCAAAAACCATTGCGCGCCTACTGAACGTGATGTTCAGTAGGCGCGCAATGGTTTTTAGTCATGTAACTCTATTGTAAATAAAACATGTAAAGTACTGAAAAAAAAATTCATAAAAAACTTTTTAATAACAAGCTTTTATGTAATGATGCACTAAAAAGTAGAAAATAAATTATAGACTACTATTTAAATAACTATAAAGAAAAGCGTGGGTGTCTTCCTTAACATTAGTAAAGGTATCCAATAGATACTAAAGTGACCCACGCTTTTCTTTATAGTTATTTAAATAGTAGTCTATAATTTATTTTCTACTTTTTAGTGCATCATTACATAAAAGCTTGTTAGGCCTATTAAAACGTTTTTTATGAATTTTTTTTTACTTTCTTGTATACAGAGTATAGAGGAAATATTGTAATGGTGCACACAAATCGTGAAAACTTCACAGTTTTCACTATAATTACTATATTCTGGAAAGTTTAAGGAATAACACTCCCGCTTATTTATTCAAGGGGTGGGACGACTCTTAATAATAAATAAAGTAATCAGTATTAGGCCCTAATTAGGCCCTAATAAATGGGAAGTAACTATTACATATATTATTAGATCCAGATCTAGATCTAGTAATTCAGTAGATCTATATTCTAACTCTCAACTAAAGTAAAGGGCTGAAGAGGGTTTTAGTTATAAGTCAAGATTATTAGGCATACTACTACTAACTTAGTCACTAATTAATTAAATTAAAATTAGGCTAACCAATTAGTTTTCAATTTTTAAACTAGAATAGAAAAAAAAAGACCACCAAAAAGTTGTGTTTACCCCATTAGCAGCGGCAATCTTTATAATCAGCTGAGCAGCTTCTTTACAAAAGAATCTGCCATCTCCTCCAACAGCTAAACTAGCCCCCTTCAGCTTATCTCCCAAACCTGCCGTGAGACCTGCTTGGATGAAATTCTCGGTGTAGTGCGGTTGCTGGAAGATGCCGACTGACTTTCTCAAGCCACTTGTTCCCGGTTTTTGACCATCGAATGGGGCAGTTGAGATGGTCTCTATGGTGTTAGGGGCCATGGCCCCGGTTCCACAGCAGCTCATAACACTTGTGGGATCGTCTTTGTTTTATCTAAATAAAAACTAAAGTTTAAATATCGGAACGACTTTCTCTGCTCCTGCGTATGCCGTGTCAGCAATATTGACCTCAATGTTTAAAAATCCTTGAACCCAAAGCCAAAGCAAACCTTGACCTTAACTGAAGGCCAAAAGTATTTTCAAAAGTTTTCTCACGGATTAAGGGGACTGAGTCTGCAGACTAGAATATAAGTAAATCTAAATAAATAAATATGAAAAAAAAAGTTTAAAAATTAAATATTTAGGCCCTACATTTTTCAACTAAACCAACCTCTTTAAAAAAAGAAATCTTCTAAATCATTTAGACTAGCCTAAATGTTATCTAGATCTAGTCTATATTAACTAACTGGGCATACATTTCTTCCAGGCATCCCTTCGAGGCGGCACTAATCTACCCTCCCCCAGAACATGCCACCCCCACTTGAGTTTCTTCCAGGTCTCTCTTCGGGGGGCAATGCGAGCGCCACTTCCCCCCCCCCCCCCGAAAAACATCTACTTTTACCACCCCCCCCCCCCCCCCAGAAATTTTAGTTCCCCCCCCCCCCCCCATTAAAAAGTCTGTTAGAAACACTGCACACCACTCCGGGCCTAAATCTAAAATGTAACCTACTCTTATAAAATGTAGCTAGATTCTAGATCTAGATATCTACAATGTGAACTTGATTTGGTAAAATATCTTTAGCTCTTCTCCATCCTAGTCTATCTACTATCTATGTCTATTGTATTACAATATATCTTATGTAGGGCCTATAAAGATAATTAAATCTTAAAAGTCATCGACATTTTTTACTACAATCTAGCTTAAGCTAGTCTAAAGTCTACACTAGATCTAACTTAATTCATTAACCCTTTCTGTTGGCTATCCTCAATCACTATCCTGATCTGGTAACCTTTAACTTTTGACCTGAGCCTCAGACCAACTAAAATCCTGCGACTTTAAAATATCGCCATCGTGACTGTCATGTGATCAACATTCTAATGTAAGCAAATGAAAATGTTAAATGTTGGGCTATTTTTAGGATTTCATACTTGAAGTTCTTTTGTTGTCTTTTTGAGAACAAGGTGACAAAATTTGATTGACTAGATCTAGATCTATCTGAGCGTTAGTACTAGATCTAGATTCTATTCTAGACTTATCCCTACTTTGACTTTAAGTAGAATTGTCTGAATTAAGAATAGATCTAATAAAAAATAGGCCGATTCTAGTCGGAATAAGATACGCATGCGATACGCATGCGCAATGGAGAGAAACTACGACTTAGCGGCGATGTTTTCGATGGTACTGCGCATGCGTGTGTTTACAACCGCAGAACCCTAATACCAACCCTAATCATATCCTTAACCCTATCCCTAATCCTATCCATAACCCTAATCCTATCCCTAACCCTAATCCTATCCCTAACCCTATCCCTACCCCTAACCCTCATTCTAGCCTAACCCTAGCCATAGGTCACTGCGCATGCGCAGAACTATCTTTTGCCGAAAAATCTTATTCCGAGTAGACACTTCGTAAAAAATAACTAAGTAAAAGAAGACTAACTATTACTAATAACTAATAAGTAATAAGTTAATAAGTAATAATAAGTTAATAATAACAACTAATAAAATAAGTTTTTTAGGTAGATTCTACGTATTAACTACGTAAGTCGTAAAATCATCCGAAACTGGGCGAAACTAGTAATGTGAAAAAAAGGTGGGTAAAACTCCATTTTAGCGTATTTTATTCGCCGCTTCACGTTCACCTCCGTTGAGCGTATTTTATTAAAAACACAACAGAAACATGCAAAAACGTTAGGAAAACACAAGGATTAGTTAGAGCTAGATGTCTAGATTTAATACTATTTATTTTTTATATGAATGAGATTTTTAATTAGAAAAGGTAAAAAAAAAACAAACATAAAAAAGCATTAGGACAGTTCCAATTAAATAGCGTGTGATCGTCAGCGGGAGAAAAATCCCTACACGGTCCAGGGTTCATCGTGAGTTCACATTGCTTTAATTACCAGCATACTTGAGCATATGTCATAGCTATTTGAAATGGTGTTGGCCTCAGTTTTGGGGTCATTCATCGTGAGTTCATAACTGTTTATTTATAGCATTCAATATTCCAAATTTGGATTTTTCTCAAGTTTTGACAAAAGTAAATTATCAAAACTAAATCAAAACTTCATAAAGAAATAAGCCCAATGCTTTCCTAACGTTTTTGTGTTTTTTGGAGTTTTACCAAAAGGTGACACAAATATTTGACACAAATATATCACAATATAACTATATTAATGTATTAATTATTAAAGCCTTATCTTAACAAGTTAATAATGAGGCAACTTTCTCGCACATTACTAATACTAGCCTCGACGGATTTTACGCATCTAAAACAATAGATTACCAATTATTTTATTGATTTCTTTTTCTAATTGGCCTTAAAGTTTAATTAAAGTAAATTAAGTTCCCCTTTCAAACCTGACGGTCTGTAGGGCAAGTGAAGTAGAGTTCACTGGTTTCTGTGACCTCTGCATATGAAGAGATAGTGTGGTCAGCACTAGGCCCAGCCGCCTTTACTTTCCCTAACATGAGTTAGGTACCCATCAGAGTTGGGTGGACTCAGGGACAGTCTACTGACTTGAACCCGGATTCGAACTCTAGACTTACGGTCCAGCTCTCTACCGCCAGACCACTCCGTCCCCTAAGTATAAAGTTAAAGTAAAAAGAATTACTCGACCTGTTAGTGTTAGATCTACAGTACAATCTGTGGTTGTCGTGCTGGATGTGGTGGGCTCAAAATCTGATGATTTTTTGCTGTCATTCATGAAAGGGTTAGATCTAATTTAGGCTAGTTTTAGTTTTATAAACTATAATTTTACTTTATATTATTAAAAAAAAATTAAAATTGTATTTTTAATATCAATTTTTTCTTATTTGTGATGTGAATGTGGCATATTTGCATAAAGAAAAAAAGTCACATCCCTAGATTTTTGCTAAGAGAGGAGAAAGAAAAAAAATTGCGAAAAGTGCTATTGAAAGTGATTAAAACAGGATATATCATATTTCACATGATATTGATTCTATGTTAATTTAAAAATGGTAATTAACCGTTGAATAACATTATGAACTACTAAAGTGTGCCATAATTATTCATAAAAAAAATTAGGCATAAATATATTTAATAAAATATATGTTGATAGGACAATACAGTGTATCAAGGTTTATTCCAACTAGTCTCATAAATATTAGAACCAGATTAGCAGTGTTCCAGAATTGACATCTCAATTGTTTTGATGGGAAGGGGTTAACTTTTGTGACAAGGGAGAGTGTTGGTATAGCCTTTTGCCTTATAAAAAGAAACTAAGTTTTTAAAGGAAAATAACACCATTTAAGTTACAAAATAATTGCTGGCAAAGGGGGGGGGGGGGGGGGGGTAAACAGTAAATGTGACTGCATTTCTGGATAATCTCCTTAGTGATTAGGGTTCTCTTTAATGGCATTCTTACAAGTTACAAGTTCTGACAAAGTCATTAGAACCACTTGTAGAAATGCACTAAGTTAGTTTTTAAATTATCTTTCTAAAATTAATTTAATTAAATTAAGAAATTTAGTATTAGTAAACTATTTTAATGCACTTGTTTAACTAACCCTCTACCCAAACCCATACAATGCAATGGGCTTCTATTACTGACTGCATGTAAAAATTTATCTCAGAAGTAAGACTACTATTTTAATTACATTCTATTCTCAGATTAAAGGGATTAAGTTTTTCTGCAAAAGATTTAAGTGGAACAAAGTCTTGTGTGAGAAGATGAATTGAATTCGTTAAATTAGATGTTGATGTTTTCAATTTTTGAAAATGTACAACTCAGTTCGAACAGGGTATGTAATCTTATTTCCAACCTATTACTTTGTTTCAAGTTTAAAAGTTGTCACTAATGGTAGATTATCTGCTGAATTTAATTATAAACTTTAACTTTTTAATTGCAACAAAGAACTAAACAAGCAACTATCAAAACTTCTATTGTTTTGTTTTCTTCAACAACTTTATAAACATAAATGAGATAAAAATACCAATTTAGATATGTGATAATAACAAATGCATAATTTAGTTGTGATTGTCTTTTGGGAAAAAAGGTGAAATTTTAAAATTTTTCTATGCACAATATGCCTCAACAAAACTGCAAGCTTTATATTTTTCATTTATAATACTTTACCATCCTTCATAATTTTTTGTTAACATATTTTACATGGGTATCTTCATATCACTAAGTCAAATTTTAAAGTTACATATTTACTATCTTTTAACATACAAGGCAACCAAATTTGATTGTGAATGATGATGTGGAGTCTGATGATGAAACAAGCAGCTTATTGGGAGAAGCGCAGCATAGAATCCATGATTCTAGTTACAGCCAGATTCAAGTAATTTGATTCGTTAATAACTAGTAACACAAATGTTGTATGTCCTAATCTAATCTTTGTTGTTGTTGTCTATATATATAATTCTCTTCATGGGGACCATGCGAGACACCACGTAAACATTACTTCCCCGCTATCTAGGCATATAGCTACCACCCCCACCAGTCCGGTGAGCTGTGGTTCATGCCAAAGATGGGAAAGGGAGGGTGAGGATTATCACAAATTATGAATTACTAAAAAGTAGAAAATAAAACAACTAAATAGCGGCGTATGCGGGTCAGCTCGTTATTTTTAATGAAAATATAATGCAATATTTATAATTTGTTTAGGGTGAATCAGGTCCTCCATTGGTTAAAATAGAACATACCAGTCACGTTCTTGAGGTGGATGGCAATAGAAGTCAGCACAGCATCATAACTATGTAAGCTATCTTAAGAATACAAACTTGTTGAGTTTTAACTATATGGTAGGTTCATTAACTGAAAACAAAGATTTTTAAGTGGTAATGTTTCTTTGATGTACATTAATTATTTACATATTTTCATTGAATATATACTATTATAAATTCACAAAGTATTTCACGTTTGATGTAAGCGATTCGTAAAACATTTTTGTTTTTAAAATTTATATTAGTAAAAGTTTAATTAAATGTTCATTATAGCGTTACCATAAAGTCACACATGACTCATCAGTTTATGTAATTCTAGTCCTATGGTGTTATATTCCCATTCAGCTTCTCAATGTGGAACACCATGATGGGGACATCTCTACTAAGTATGCCCTGGACCATCAAACAGGTAGACGTCATATGTATGATATCAAATTTCAAGAGAGTGCCTTAGTGCTCATCCATTCACTAGGTCCCCATGGGGTGGAAGTTGTCAGAAGAAGTCACATTTTTCATTCAGACTTAATCAAAATACTTATACATACATCATGTTAAATATGCATACGAAATGTATTCAAGCTTGCAGCTTAAATTATTTTTTTAAAAACATTTTATTCATTAAAAAAAATAAAATCACTATGTATATATAGGTAAAGTATAAGCATTGCAGTAAAAAAACACATATAGTACACACACTATTGAATTGGTATATTGAAAACAAGTTTTGAGAGGACAGTGTAATATTTGTGGACATCTGGGCAAGAGTAGGGAATTTCAACAAATTCCAATTGTTTTTTTTTTTGTGTGGACGTCATATAAAGAGCAACTGTTATTTGATTTGCTATTGTTGATGATTTACATTGACATTTATATAGATAAAAGATCTCAAAGGTTTTACAAAATGTTAACCTAGAAGTTTAATTCAGATGGTTTAAGTCAAAAACTTTTATTGTTTTACTATCATCTTTCCCCTTAGAGTGTGATGTCATTATGGATGACACCCCCCCCCCCCTGTTATGCCCTGTCATAAAATCTGAAGCTGTGAGTGATGAAGTTAAATTGAGTGATGAGGTTAAATATTTCAATTATTTCACCAGGCTGGTTTTATCAATGGGATTATACTGCTGGTCATCATGGCTGGTATCATGGCATACACCAGCTACAGAGTGCTGGTAGCCGGTCGCACTGTCAGGGGTGAGTTCACTTTCTCACATCATCATGGCATACACCAGCTACAGAGTGTTGGTAGCTGGTCGCACTGTCAGGGGTGAGTACACTTTCTTGTCACACATCATCATAGCATACACCAGCTACAGAGTGTTGTTAGCTTTTCGCACTGTCAGGGTTGATTATATTTTTTCAATAGTCATGCTCTCTGAGTTTAGTACATTGCTTCCATAGCGTATTATAAAACACACAAATTTAATGACACATATTCACATTTTTTTTTCCAGTTGGAATTTTGGTGGAGTTTTCGGAGGCAGTCAGATATTATCTAGGTCATGTGACAGAGGTCATTGCACTTTTGTGCTCGATTTTAACCCTCATTGGTGGGTGCATCGTCTACTGGATTCTTATGTCCAACTTTCTCTATCATATTGGAGTTTTTATATACAGTAAGCTTTGAAACTTTATTATGTTTATAGCTTTGTAAAATTATCTAGATTATTATAGTTATTGATTTTATTATTGTTTACTATGGAATGTTACTTCAGAAATGAATTGACACTATTGTTTGAAAGTTTTACAATCTTAGATTTTAATTTTAAATTTTTGTTGGAGCATTTTAAAACCAAATCATTAATTTAATTGAAGGTCAATTCACATTTGTATGATTACTTTCAATTAAAATTTTGTGCAGTACTAACTTATGTGATATTAACTAGCTCTTTCAATTCTAGGTAGCACTCACACAGACCCTCAACATCACAACAAAACAGGAGCCAGCACTTTTTTTGGTTCCGCCAGTGATGGTTGGTTCACGTTAAAATAACTTTTTTTTACTAAGGAACATAAAGTTAAAGTAATTATTATCAATTATTACAATATGCTTTTTCACTCTCTAGCTATTCATAATCAGTGCAAAGCAACCTCACTTTAAACCCACTGACATTGACTGTTAATTAAATATTTTTCAAAAGTTTCTGATTAAGTTTATCAATTGTTTTGTCTGGCAGTAACTAAGGTTGATGGATTAATATATAAAGTTCTTGATTAAGCTTATCAATTATTTGTTGACCGTTACTTAACCAGTTATGAACTTATTTACCTGCAGTTACTTGTGACAACCAAACAGAAATCATCTCCTTCCAGAATGATCTGTTTGGCAAGGTGTGGGATGAAACAAAAACGGTTCCGCTGTTTCTTATTGTCCTTGTATTTCCTCTCATCAATTTCAAGTCTCCAACATTTTTCACAAAGTTTAACTCTTTAGGTAGGTCATAAGCATGGGTTGATAGGTCAAAAAGTTTAACTCTTTAGGTAGGTCATAAGCATGGGTTGATATATGTGTAGAAATGGGGGCAATGTATTGCTAGTGTCTCTGGCAATGTGTGCACATGTATGGGACAATGAGTGGAAGTGTATGGGGACAATATGTGGAAGTGTATGGGGACAATATGTGGAAGTGTATGGGGACAATATGTGGAAGTGTATGGGGACAATATGTGGAAGTGTATGGGGACAATATGTGGAAGTGTATGGGGACAATATGTGGAAGTGTATGGAGGCAATATTTGCTAGTCCAGTTAAAAGATAGCTTTAATCAGTGGATGATGTATGAAAAATAAACTAGCCTGGCCAAGTTTTAAACATATAAAGAGATGGCATGGTCTAGTGGGAGAGCTAACCCAAATGTCCAGAGTTAGGACCTCTCTGCAGATGAGACTCGATAGCTGGGCACAGCAACCCACCTAGGAAAGAAAACTCCAAAATCAAACAACTGCTGCCTTGTTTTGTTCTTGGATGGACAAAGGATGGGAGCACATCCAGAAAGAAAAGCAGGCTCAAGTTCACATGCCAGAAATGGCGCTTATGACACATAATACTTAAATATGTTAAAGGAATTCACTTCCAGTTATACAAGTAAGAATGAGGGAGAAGTATCTAAAGTAGGATAGGTCTAAAAAATTTTAGTCATGGATGTTATACACAATTCACCATTTATGCCTTTTGGCTCACAAAGAGTAATCATGGATTACTGCCCTTTACTGTTTATTTATTTTTAAAAATGTTTTTTAAGGTGGTTTTCTGCCAGAAATATGATTCTAAATATTCATTTTTCAGTTTGAGCTGTGCGGGTAAGCAAATATAACCTCCATGCTGCAGAAGTCACCATTATTAATTTGCTACCTGGCCCTGCTTCTACCAAAACTCCATTTGCTTTTTATTTCCCCAGCTTGACATTTTAAAAAGTTTACGTCATTTTGTAATAGTTGCCATGAAAAATTTATACCTAGAAGAAAATGACTGCTACATAATTCGTGTTATTCATCCAAAGATAATTTTAAAATAATTACTTAAACTATTTTTATCATCCTATGAACTGCTACTTTGTTTAACCTTGAACCCACCAAAAATGTGTGACCAAACCAAATGTGTGTATAATTTATTTCATAACTTCATCATTTGGTCATATGCAAATAAAGCTAATAGTTTCAGTTCAAATTTAAATTATCTGATAGGTTTTCAGTTCCCACTGTGTTAGGAGATGCATTATCTTTCAAAACATGCTCTTCTTGTGATGCTGACATCATTGTATTGTTTGTCATATGATATCCACATGTTATATTGTTTCACTAAATATATTTTCTAAATTTAAGTTTTTCTTTTCTTTTTTTTTTTGCATCTGCAGGAACTTCTTCAGCTGACTACCTGTCTATAAAGTTTCCCTAAAAAATATTTTCAGTGTTTCTGATCCATTACTGTGTATCCACAGGAACACTTTCAGTTGCCTATCTAACCACCTTTGTTGTGGTCAAGGCTGTTTTCTGGGGGGTGAATCTTGATCTCAACACTGAGCACATAGGCTCTGTTCACTATAGTACAGGTGAATATTGACATTGCTTTTTTCATCTATTTTTGGACATTTTTTAATTTTATTTTAATCATCAATTTGAGTGCACATTTACAATGGTGTAAAAATGCCTTCTTTGGCAGCAAGAGTTCAGCTAACACATACTCATTATGATTATACACAAAATAATCTACATGAAGCACTTTTCTGTTAGTAAGATTTTAAAATACCCTAACCCTTCAAAATATTTTTTAAATATCAAATAAAGTTTTCAATTGGTGTATCATATGATATTCATCATATGATTTTTTTTTCTATTAATTTCAAAAACCTTTTTTTGTTTTTTCTGCTCCAAATCCTTAGTATTCAAGGGGTTAAAATATTTCTTACATTTATTTTTAAAAATATGTTGAACTTACCTTTTTTTTCTGGATCCTCAGAATTTGTGTGGTTAAAAATATTTATTTAATGATTTTGAATATATTTTTAACATTTTTCCCCTGGATTTTCAGTTTTTGAGTGGACAAAAATTGTTGATTTAATTTTTCTTATTTTAAAAATGTATTAATATATTTTTTTCTGTATCTTCAGTGTTTAAGGGGGAAAAATATTTGTTTTATCTGATGATTTTTTAATTTGTTAACATTTACTATTAACATAGTATTACTTCCAGTGTTCCAAAAATATTTTGTAATTAAAATTTAAATCCTCAGTATTTGAGTTGTCAAAAATATTTTATTTTATTCTTTGGATGATTTTTAATTTAACATATGTTAAACATAGTATTACTGCCAGTGGTTCCAAAATATTTTGTAATTTAAATCCTCAGTTTTTGAGTGGTCGTTTCCTGCCCTGACTGGGATAGCTGCCCTTGCCTACCTGCTCCAGAATGCTGTGATATCCATTGTAAGAAACCAGAAACATCCAGAAAATAATGTGAGTACTTGCTGCTCATGTACCAGTGTTTTAAATCCTTATAACTAGTCTACATTCTAATGGTAACCAAGATGAATACTTGTTGTAATTTATGTTTTCACTTATTGTTTAAAATATTATTTATAAAATCATCCACAGACACCCAATTTTTGTTTTTAGCTCCCAATTGCCACATCAACATTAGTTGAAACTTAGCTGCAACTAAAACCACATTAAGAAAAAGAACTATGTGTCATATGTTAAATTGATGTGGGTTTTAATTGATTATTCATTTTGTCTTTTTCACCACAACTTGTTGATATGTATGGTATGTAAACACTAGGTTGTCTAACTTTGATTTATATTTCTTACAGACCAGAGATCTCCTCATTGCCTATGCTTTAGTGTGTATAACATACACAGTTGTTGGGGCAGTTTTCTATGCCACATTTCCTCTCCACAAGTCTTGTATTGAAGATGTAAGTAAATGCTCCCCATTATACATAGAAATTAATTTTTTCTTACTCAGTTTTTTTGCACTCTTGTAACATTCCTTATCTTAAAACAAATTCAGGCCAAATTAAAATTAATTTTGGGCTTACAAGGAGTTGAAAGGCATGGTATTGGTGGAGCACAATATTTTATTTCTAACAGTAAATCCAATATTATGGTATTATATCAAATAATTTTAACAAAGAAATACATCATTTTAATGGTACAAGGGCAATAATTCAATTAAATATTGAAATAATTCAGTAATATAAAACCTTTTTTTTTCCAGAATTTTCTCAACAATATTGTATCAACAGACCTAATGGCGTTTTTTGCCAGGATTGGTCTGTTCCTACAGATGATGTGTGTCCTCCCTTTACTGACCTACATCATCAGGGCTCAGCTCTTACACTTCATCTTCCACTCTGCCTGGCCAAGGTGACTTGCAACTAAAAATAGTTCAATACATTTCGGAAACCAAGATGTTTTTAAAACAATCTTAGGATATCAATTTTATAAAGTCTAGTAACAGATTACATAAGTTAATGTAAATGGAAATTTATAGAACATTTTTTTTCTTTCAGTCTGAAACATGTGCTTGGTTTAAATGTCCTCATTGTCTGTGTGTGTCTGGTGTTTGCTGTCTTTCTGCCGTCAATCGGTCACATTATAAGGTAAGATATTGTACAGGTTGTGTCTCTTAATGTATTTTCCAGGCTTTGAATAATAAGATATTATTCAGGCTCTGATATCCACACTGTGACTTTGAATCTTGAGATATCATTCAGACTGTAACTGTTACGGTATCATCATGTGACTCTTAAAATATCCACATTGTGACTAAGATATTGAGGCTGTGACTTTTAGGCTATCCAGACTCTGACTCTTAATATATCCAGGCTATGCAGATATCATTCAGGATATGACTTTTAGATATCCAGATTGTGACTCTAAGTTATCATCCAAGCTTTGACACTTAGACCTCTAATGTTATGTTATTTTAATTAATACATATAATAGGATTTTGTTTCAAAGGGCTGTTAAAATTTTTTTTTGTTCCAGCTTTGTGGGTGGTTTTTGTGGATTTTCCTACGCCATCGCCCTGCCTTGTGCCGTTTACATGATGGCTTCTTACAGAGATGGCAACTTGACCGTGGTCAAAGTCTGTTTACACGGCTTTCTTATACTTATAGGCTTCACTAATTTTATTGCACAGTTTATTATCATAGGGCATACTAAATAAAATTAAATCTACTGAAAACAAAATGTCCTGTCTTGTGTTTTCTTTAATAATCAAATATATTATTATTCGGAGTTTTATTGCGAACTATTTGATGTTGGTGGAAGACCAATGTCAACACATGTTAAAACAGGTGAACTACCTTCATGTGATCTGATAGTATTAGTACAGATGAAGTAGAGTTGTGCACACTGCAATGGAATAAATTCTAGCCTTTGCCCAGTCCATTTTCTTTATCAATTTTTTATCAAGTATTTGTTCTAGATGAACAGAAGGTTGCTTACAATACACTGTTAAACTAAAGAGATACAAGTCCCAAGCTTTGTTTAGTGAAGTTGTAACACACAAATTTTCTATCACCCAGGTATTCCATTACAAGATAATAACCAGAATGTAGGCCTGTATATAAGTGTATATATATATATATATATATATATATATATATATATATATATATATATATACATATATATATATATATACATATATGTATGTATGTATATTTATATATATATATATGTATATATATGTATATATATATATATATATATATATATATATATATATATATATATATATATATATATATATATATATATATATATATATATATATATTACAATTAAATGAGTGTCAGCCTGTACATTGAAAGTTGTACTCCAACCACTGAGTTCAATTCCTAATCTAAATCTGCCCCCATTAAAAACACTTTTAAATTGTTTGATAATCTCTAAGCAGACGGGCAAGCCGGCCTTATCTCAAACAAAAGGAAATGCCTGACAGATCACCTCAGCGACCACCCTCGCATTTTAAAAAATCAATGATCCAAGTTTTTCATTTTTTTTGTAAACTTCCAAACGTACATAGAGTCTAGATCAAATCTTTACAATGAGATCTGAACTTAGTAAAAAAAAATCATAAACAATATAATCTAATGCAGTGTAGTACGGTCATCTCTTATTCTATTTTCGCAATTAGTTATAAATAACCGCTATAATGTAATCGAGTTATAAAGATTCGAGCCACTATATTATATTGGATACGATATGAAGATCTATCAGTGTATTCGATACCAGCTAAAAGTTACAGAGAGTCGATACAGGGAATATATTTCTCATGTAGGTTATGTGTTTGTGTCATTTGATTTGTTTGTTGACTGCAATCACATGACTGATCCAACTGTGTGCACATGCATCTTTAATGACGCAACGTCACAAAAACGTCACCATTCCATGCGTGTGTTTTAAACAATTCCCTGACCCAAGCAGCAAGTGTATCGATTTGTGTGCAGCACGTTTATAGTTCAGTGTGGTTTCAGAAGATTCAAGTACAGCATCAGAAGAATGTAAACATTGGTGGGGTTGTTTGTTCTTGCATTTTGTACTACAGTACCTGTATGCCTTGATGGTCGTCCATAGATGTCACGCTATGTTACCCGTACCCACAACCCCACATACAACCTATCACCAAACAAGAACATATTTCCTTCCCTTAACACAAATGACGTCATTAAGCACTGCCCTCCCTCTACAATAGCTGACGGTCGTTTTGGGATTTAATAAAATCAGTATAAAAATTGTGACACGTCAGGAACACAACTCCAACAGTTTATGTCAAAGAGGGGTGGGGGGAACAGTTCATGTCAAATATTCCCCCCACCCCCTTATCTCAATAAAAAAAATTTTTTTTTTAAATTAATAAACACGTAACTAAAAATCGATCTAATGAAGAAAACTTAAAATAATTGTAGATGTAGGCCCTACTGATATCATGTTAATTAAAGAGCAGTAGAAAAAATGTATATTTTCGGTCGAATTTGACATGGTGGCGTCCCCTGAGATAAAAAAAAAACATCTGACGTTGAACTACAGAAAGTAAATTGATGACCTGATGGCATGGTGAGTTACGTGGTGAGATTGAGGCTGAGACTGCATAGATGTAAACGTAATACTATTGATTGTTGGGGACCGTTTAATTGGAACTATATTAGCCGTTACGCATCATTAATATTTCATAGACAATATCGCTGATATAATCAATCATCCATTCAAACAAATGTCCCAGCAAACAATTACATGCACTACACCTGCAGAAAATAATCACGTGTGCTATACCTGCAGATTAAGGTTACATCTGCAAAAAAAAAAAAAATCTCAGAGCTCAACTTTCCCTTGTGATTGGGATTTAGACTAAAACCATCTAGCTCCTCCACTTATAGCAGCTCCACATTTTGCTCGCTGGTGACATGGTCCTAGACGGTGACACTGTCCTAGATGGTGACACTGTCCTAGATGGTGACACTGTCCTAGATGGTGACACTGTCCTAGATGGTGACACTTTCCTAAAGGGTGACACTGTCCTAAAGGGTGACACTGTCCTAGAGCAGGGGTTCCCAACCTTTTTTTACTCTAGAGCACATTCTAAAATATCGGTAGGGTGGCGGGCACCACCAATTTTAAATCGACAAACTCCTTCCATAACTTGTCATTTTCCCATTATTTATTTTCTTATTTTCTTATAGTCTTAATGTATTAATAAATAATAATGTGGCATTTTTTTTTCAAATTGCATACATACAGAGAAATGTATTTACTAACGTAAAGAAAGTAAACAAAACACATAAATGCAAAGAAAACAATAAAGTCAATGTGATCTTTGGCATTGCATTTTATTTTCCAGAGCTTCATAATTAGGAGCGTAAATAGTGCAGTCTTGCTCGCCGCTAGACAAGTTGGGACAATTAACGAACATATTTAATAAGGTGACCCGTCAAAAGAGCGCACGACAAAAGAGCGCCGACATAAGAGCGCAGACAAAAGAGCGCCGACATAAGAGCGCCGACAAAAGAGCGCAGACAAAAGAGCGCCGACAAAAGAGCGCAGACAAAAGAGCGCCGACATAAGAGCGCAGTCAATTAAAAAAACATGTTGTACGCTAAACGAATAGGACATGGTTGACACTTGTTTTAATTAAACAATCGGCAAGAGAGCAACGTCTTTATTTATATATTATGGTTAATATGTAATGAATCCAGTTTGAAAATATTTCTAATCCAATTAACATGGAGAAGAGCGAATCACAGAAAGTTAAGGTTATTATATTGGTCGAAGGCTACAGATGTCGACAGGACAGAGCAAATGCTAATGGAACTTATTTTTATTTTGTTACATTTCATTTCAGTTTATATTCTCACTTTAGGCCTAACATTTAAAATCTTTGTATGTGTTATTAGATTGAGTTTTGAATAATTGGACTTCACGTTGATTGTACCAGTTGTTTAGTTAAAGAAACTGAACAATTAGTTTTTTAATGAAACAATAAAGAGTTAACATCAAACGATGCCTTCTGATCTGAGTTAATTTTCTTGATTTTATTTATTAAATATGGTTTTTCGATTTTTAGTTTGCGCTCTTATGTCGGCGCTCTTTTGTCGGGAAATTAGTGCGCTCTTATGTCGGCGCTCTTATGTCGGCGCTCTTTTGTCTGCGCTCTTATGTCGGCGCTCTTTTGTCGTGCGCTCTTTTGACGGGATGCCATTTAATAAACCTAGGCAGTCAAAAAAATTAAAACTGTAACAAATGAATAAAAATAAATCATATTTTAAAATAATGTTTATGAAAAAAATTCTGTCGAATAGTTAGAGGCGGGCACATACGAATCGTTCAGCGGGCGCCATGGCGCCCGCGGGCACAGGGTTGGGAACCCCTGTCCTAGAGGGTGACACTGTCCTTGTCCTAAAATGTAACACTGTTCTAAATAGGGACACTGTCCTAGTGGGTGACACTATCATAAAGAGACGCCGTCCTATAGAACGACATCGAGAGAGTCACACTCAATGATTAATTGCTAATTTCAAAGATCATCCAATATTTGATCGTTATGAGTTATAACCTAATCGTACTCAATTCCATTAGCCGGGACAGGAAAAACCAGTTTATACTAAATGGGATTATAGGTTTAGGAGGCAAGCATTCTTTACATATCATGTGGATTTTTGTGTGTGTGTGTTGTTTTAATAAAAGTAGATTTACAACTTAATATTTTTTATCGTTGTGACTTTTCTTTTCGAAAAAGATTCGTTGTATTGGATGTTGTAGCTATGGGGAGCAGAACATTAACCACATGAAGGTTCCCCCCCCCCCCCCCAAGTAAATTTCCCTTTTTGTGCAAAAACTGGAGTAGGACATAACCCCCTCCTCCCCTAAAATGGTTACCTAAGTTAACATGTTCTATTGCAAGCTATGTCCAGTTTACGTTAACAAAATATCAAAGTTGGTGCCCAAACTGATAAGGAACTTGAAATAATTTCGTTTCAAAACGCTCGACTACTCATTACAAAACTCGTGAAAATGTAGCCCAGAGGCGTAGCGACCCTTCCCGGCGCCCGGGGACAAACTTTTCGATTTGCACCCCCCCCCCCCTCAAGTTCGATTTGCACCCCCCCCCCTCAAACTTTCGATTTGCACCCCCACCTCAAGATTTCGATTTGCACCCCCCTCAACCTTTCAATTTATTTTTCCAACCCATTTTGGCGCCCCCTTAGGTCGGCGCCCGGGGACATATGTTCCCCCCCCCCTCGCTACGCTACTGATGTAGCCTATCAATGTACCAAGCCAACCAGTAGCTCCAAAATATCGACACCATGCCTGCTATCGTCACCGACCCACACCATTACTAATGAGTGCAATCACCAGCGCTTAAAGTCTCGAATCAATGAACACGATCGCTGTGTACTGAATACCGCATTTTCCCTTTCATGTAAGGGACAAGGGCAGAAGAAACAAATGGGAGATTACTATCGAAGACCACAACCAAGGGAGATCATTACGTCGAATGTATCTGTGTTATCAAGCTAGCACAATCTAATATCTACGCAACTAAATTCTAGAATAAACATTAAAAGACAATGATTTTTCTAATTTTAGAAAATTAGTACATTTACATCTTCGAGCTTTAGATGAACTTTACAATCACGAATGAACTCGAATGTGTCGAATTGTAGTTCGTCTTTTTTAAAATCCAGAGAATTTTTACAAGGTAAGATTTATTTCTCGCTTCTTCAATTAAATTACAGTGTTTATAAACTATGTGGTAATAGATAAAGTTAATACTTAATACATGTCTTAGTGATTAGATTACAGACGTTCTGTTGATAAAGTTATCGCGCTTTACAAATTTGTGTGTAACCTATTAATATAGCAATCCCTTAACGGAATAGGCGTGTTGTGGTTTAACATCGGAACTTTTGTTTCGTTAACGTCGTATTTTAACTAGTATTGTTTTGCATTCTAATCAAAAACGTATGCAATCTTTTTGTTTGTTAAAAGACTAAAAGATAAATTGGGCCTTACTGTAAGCTTTTATATGAGTAAACTTTCTTTACTAAGGGATCTTCCATAAATAACGTCACTCGTCTTAATTGGAAGAAAATGGGTGGGGGGGGGGGGGTGACTTTTGGTGACTTTGTGACGAGAGATATAGGACTTAAAATTACTTTATTAATAAAAATAAAAATTAGGGAGGTAAAAATTATCCAAAGAGTGACACAAATTAAAGGACTAACCTTTAGTAAATAACTAACAATTTCATTTACAACCAACTGTATTTGCAATGTTGACCGTATTGAGTTAGATCGTTCAGTAATTTCTTGCTATCGCCTACCATATGGCGTCACAATTTACTTTATGACTTGAAATGATTGACTTATCGAGTTATTTAGCTGATAACCTAATGGGTTTGGTAGTAGAGCTAAAGATTTCTTTTACAACATATTCTTTGCTAAGCTAATTAATCGGTCTGGTTTTATATGCTTATATATGCTTATATATTCACGTACAAAGCTAAACCACGTGCTAACTTAAACTACTGTGAGTAAACCTATCCAGGTGAGTTAAACCAGACAAAACCAGACGAGTTAACCTAAATCAAACGAGTTAACCTAACCAGACGAGTTAACCTAAATCAAACGAGTTAACCTAACCAGACGAGTTAACCTAAATCAAACGAGTTAACCTAACCAAACGAGTTAACCTAAACCAGACGAGTTAACCTAAACCAGACGAGTTAACCTAAACCAGACAACTTAACCTAAACCAGACGAGTTAACCTAAACCAGACGAGATAACCTAAACCAGGTGACTTAACCTAAACCAGGTGACTTAACCTAAACCAGACAAAACCAGACGAGTTAACCTAAATCAAACGAGTTAACCTAACCAGACGAGTTAACCTAAACCAGACGAGTTAACCTAAACCAGACGAGTTAACCTAAACCAGACAACTTAACCTAAACCAGACGAGTTAACCTAAACCAGACGAGTTAACCTAAACCAGACGAGTTAACCTAAACATAAACGACTTAACCTAAACCAGACGAGTTAACCTAAACCAGACGAGTTAACCTAAATCAAACGAGTTAACCTAACCAGACGAGTTAACCTAAACCAGACAAGTTAACCTAAACCAGAGAGTTAACCTAAGCCAGAGAGTTAACCTAAACCAGAGAGTTAACCTAACCAGACGAGTTAACCTAAACCATACGAGTTAACCAAAACCAGACAAGTTAACCTAAACCTAACAAGTTAAACAAAACCAAACGAGTTAACCTAAACCAGACGAGTTAACCTAAACCAAACGAGTTAACCTAAACATAAACGACTTAACCTAAACCAGATGAGTTAACCTAAACCAGACGAGTTAACCTAAACCAAACGAGTTAACCTAACCAGACGACTTAACCTAAACCAGACGAGTTAACCTAAACCAGAGAGTTAACCTTAACCAGAGAGTTAACCTTAACCAGACGAGTTAACCTAAACCAGACAAGTTAACCTAACCAGACGAGTTAACCTAAACCAGAGAGTTAACCTAAACCAGACAAGTTAACCTAAACATAAACGACTTAACCTAAACTAGACGAGTTAACCTAAACCAGAGAGTCAACCTAAACCATACTAGTTAACCTAACCAGACTAAACCAGAGAAGTTAACCAAAACCATACGAGTTAACCAAAACCAGACAAGTTAACCTAAACCTAACAAGTTAAACAAAACCAAACGAGTTAACCTAAACCAGAGAGTTAACCTAACCAGACGAGTTAACCTAACCAGACGAGTTAACCTAAACCAGAGAGTTAACCTAACCAGACGAGTTAACCTAAACCAGACGAGTTAACCTAAACCAGACGAGTTAACCTAAACCAGACGAGTTAACCTAAACCAGACGAGTTAACCTAACCAGACGAGTTAACCTAAACCAGACGAGTTAACCTAAACCATACCTCCACAGCTCTGGCACCGTGGGAAAGGTACCTGGTCATAGCCTGTGGGATCCTGTGTGTCTCTGCCCTTATCATCCTTATAGAGAACATCGTCTTTATCTCGCGTCACTATGGCAACAGTCGGACCAAGGTCACTTCCATTTGGCTCGTCGGTCTTCCCCCGGTCAGTTGTTTTTATTAATCCCATCTTTTCATGATAACTAGACTATCCCAATTCGACCAACTCTAAACTTAGTTTTTAATTTAATTTGACTATTAGGTAAACTGTACCTATTGTGTATTTATAGATTAATCTTTAGACCTAGCAATCCATTGGGCAGATGAAGTAGAGCTCATGTTTCTGAACCTAGGCATATGAAGGGATAATGTGGTCAGGACTGTTCCTGGCCGGCTTCAATTACCCTTATATGAGTTAGGTACCCATCAGAGCTGGGTGGACTCAGGTATATTCCACTGACTTGAACCCGGAGTCCCGGATTCAAACTCGAAACTTTCGAGAAGCAGTCTAGCTCTCTACCACTAGGCCACCTATTGTGTATTTGACCAGCTTTAATCTTTGTACATCCCAATAGATAATGATACATCTATTATATAACTCAAGGGATGGTTTATCATTGTGTTATATTGTGATATACGAGGTCTTTTGGTGTAAACTGTTAAGAGCAATGTTATTCAACATTGATTTATTCTAAATTTTCTCGAGATTTCTGCTATACAGAATGGTAGGATGAAAAAGCTAAGATATCGGACACACAGTGGCGTAGCGAGGTCGGGTGTCACCCGGTGCGGCACTTAATGGTGTCACCCCCCCCCCCCCCAGAGGCGTTGCGACCCTTCCCGGGGACAAACTTTCAAGTTTTCGATTTGCACCCCCCCTCAAAATTTCGATTTGCACCCCCCTCAAGTTTTCGATTTGCATCCCCCCCCCTCAAGTTTTTCTCTATATATTTTGCTATTTTTTGCCTTGGTGTCACCCCCCCCCCCCCCCTAAATGGTGTCACCCGGTGCGGTCCGCACCCCCCCCCCCCCTCGCTACGCCCCTGCTGACACATTATATCTGAATGTTTGGCTTTCTAATGTTGAAATACCAAATAATTTTCTCTAACATGATGTGATTAACTACTTATTTTTTTAAATAACAGTTTGGTTGTACCAAATTGTAATTAAGTTTTCATTTATTGCTAATTGCTAGGCTATTAGGCCTATCTATTTCAATACAAATTTAACTGTCATTGTTAAAAAGAAGCTTCTAATTAAGTTTAAGTATGTGATGAAGCACCCCCTTCCCCTCAAGCATTTTAAACCATTCAAATGTTGAAATTATAGTTGACAATGAAAGTTACGGCCGCTTGGGAGAGTGCTTCCATTAATCAGCACTTCGATTTGTCAACTCACATTTGACCAGTTAGGACTCACAAAGGGATGACGTCATATCCTATAGTTGTTGGAATAGCTTGTAAACAAATTGTGGTAATAGCGAGGCTTCCTGAGAATCCAATTAACGTCCCACCACGTCCAAATAACATTGTGTTTATGACAGAGTTATCTGGACTTGGTAGAGTGAGTTGAATTCCTGGCTGGCGCAGGTTGTTTGGGATGAGGGTGGTAGTTGGGACGCCCCCCCCCCCACACCCCATGGACCCTCAAAATAAAGGTTGTCTCATGTAACAAAGACCTACACCAGATTGTAGACACGTTTTTAAAATTAGAGATTTTCAAATTTATCACCATTCACTCACTCACTCACACACACACAGGGTTCGTTCTTAAATGACGTCACACACCAATGACTCAGACGATATCTAATGTGAACGGGGTAGGGACAGGGCAGATTTTAGAAATGTAACCTAACATTTATTTTCGAATTTCTTTCAGACATAAATGATATACACATCTTTAGAACTTGTTAATAGATTTGTTTGTGTAGGGGAGGTGGATGAGATTAGCAAGGTCATTTTATTTAACCCACTAGTTCGTTTGTAGCAGGTTTGTAACTATAATGCATTTTGTGTACCAACAACCAACAAAACAAATCACCTTTGACCTTTCACCCCCCAGGTGCTGTCGGTGACGTCACTGCTGGCCATGATTGCCCCCAACGTCTTTGTTTTCCGCGATGTTCTGATGTCGATGTAAGAGTTCTTTGTTTTCTGTGATGTTCTGATGTCGATGTAAGAGTTCTTTGTTTTCTGTGATGTTCTGATGTCGATGTAAGAGTTCTTTGTTTTCCGTGATGTTCTGATGTCGATGTAAGAGTTCTTTGTTTTCCGTGATGTTCTGATGTCGATGTAAGAGTTCTTTGTTTTCCGTGATGTTCTGATGTCGATGTAAGAGTTCTTTGTTTTCCGTGATGTTCTGATGGCGATGTAAGAGTTCTTTGTTTTCCGTGATGTTCTGATGTCGATGTAAGAGTTCTTTGTTTTCCGCGATGTTCTGATGTCGATGTAAGAGTTCTTTGTTTTCCGTGATGTTCTGATGTCGATGTAAGAGTTCTTTGTTTTCCGCGATGTTCTGATGTCGATGTAAGAGTTCTTTGACGTTGTCCGCAGTGTCGGATGTACATCAAACAAGCAATAATAGCCAGGGACCCTAACGTCCCAATTTCTTAAAAAATAGCGTCATTTATCAAAAATTAAGTGCAAGAAAAGAAACCTCTCATATTGCAACAATCTTCAACAAGTCTTCACTTCCGGCTTCTTGAAATCCTAACAGTGTATCATACACAAAAAGAACACAAAATCTTGCTGTTTATACAATCATTTCGACATATAAAGGACCCTACAATTTCAAGAAGCTTAGAAACTTTTCAAAACTAAATCTGGCCAATCGTACACGTGTTTAGAATTTTAAAGTAAAATTCCGCTACTGTCCCACGGCATGTATATGTGTAGTGTGGTGAGCACTATGCCCTGCTGCCTTTACTTTTCCTAACGCGAGTGAGTCAGTGTGGATTGAGGGACGTCCTACAGAATTTAGTCAGAGTTCCAAACTCATGACCTTCACGATGGAGTCGAGCGCTCTGTCATCCAAACACGCTGTCCATGCCCTAATTAACATGAGCTTTTAAGAGACCCATGTGTATAAGATTATCTGAATCTGTGTCGTTTATTTTTTTTTTTTTTACAAAAATGTCTGTTTTGTAAATGCCATGTTGATATATGTTTCCTCCTCTTCCAGATGCCTCTCTGTGGTGATGTATAAGTTCCTCCAACTTCTCATCGTCTACGGCAAAAGTTTTCAGCCCATAAGGGAGCAGATCCTGTCACATCGACGACTTCAGTTCAACGTCCAACCTTTGTGTTGTCTGTGTTTCTGTCTGCCCAGTCTTCCCCTCACCAGGTAGCCGTCATTAATGTCCAACCTTTGTGCTGTCTGTGTTTCTGTCTGCCTAGTCTTCCTCTCACCAGGTAGCCGTCATTAATGTCCAACCTTTGTGCTGTCTGTGTTTCTGTCTGCCCAGTCTTCCTCTCACCAGGTACGTCATTAATGTCCAACCTTTGTGCTGTCTGTGTTTCTGTCTGCCTAGTCTTCCTCTCACCAGGTAGCCGTCATTAATGTCCAACCTTTGTGCTGTCTGTGTTTCTGTCTGCCTAGTCTTCCTCTCACCAGGTAGCCGTCATTAATGTCCAACCTTTGTGCTGTCTGTGTTTCTGTCTGCCCAGTCTTCCCCTCACCAGGTAGCCGTCATTAATGTCCAACCTTTGTGCTGTCTGTGTTTCTGTCTGCCCAGTCTTCCCCTCACCAGGTAGCCGTCATTAATGTCCAACCTTTGTGCTGTCTGTGTTTCTGTCTGCCCAGTCTTCCCCTCACCAGGTAGCCGTCATTAATGTCCAACCTTTGTGCTGTCTGTGTTTCTGTCTGCCAAGTCTTCCTCTCACCAGGTAGCCGTCATTAATGTCCAACCTTTGTGCTGTCTGTGTTTCTGTCTGCCCAGTCTTCCCCTCACCAGGTAGCCGTCATTAATGTCCAACCTTTGTGCTGTCTGTGTTTCTGTCTGCCTAGTCTTCCTCTCACCAGGTAGCCGTCATTAATGTCCAACCTTTGTGCTGTCTGTGTTTCTGTCTGCCAAGTCTTCCTCTCACCAGGTACGTCATTAATGTCCAACCTTTGTGCTGTCTGTGTTTCTGTTTGCCCAGTCTTCCTCTCACCAGGTAGCCGTCATTAATGTCCAACCTTTGTGCTGTCTGTGTTTCTGGTCGTCATTAATGTCCAACCTTTGTGCTGTCTGTGTTTCTGGTCGTCATTAATGTCCAACCTTTGTGCTGTCTGTGTTTCTGGTCGTCATTAATGTCCAACCTTTGTGCTGTCTGTGTTTCTGGTCGTCATTAATGTCCAACCTTTGTGCTGTCTGTGTTTCTCACGTGTTTGTTTGTTTTACCTTGGTCGTTATTGGATTTTTTTTTAAATTTAAAATCTAACATCTAGCACAAATTTTCGAGTAATGAAAGCGATGGTTCTCCAGTATCCCATCCTTGTCATCCTCATCACAGTCATCATCATGGTTACGTGGTTGGATGGTGTTTACATCACAGGGAAAGTAAGTTTGTTTCGTTTAATTTTTAATATTTTTTTTTAACAACCGAAATATTTTAACTACAGAAATGAAACAACGAAAATTTAAAAAAAAATGTTTTTAAATTTTTTCTCGTTGATGTTTTTCAGTGGGTCACCGACACCCCCTACCCGTACCTCAGCACGGTGAGGGTGTGCTCAGTGGTGCTGGCTATTTTTGCTCTCAATGTCTTCGTCAAGCTGAGCGAGCAGGCCATGCGTAGCCTACACGTGCGTCAGAAGCACGTGGCACTGAGCGCCTCCATGTTTCTGTTTAGCGTGCAGGTCAGTACGTCATTGGTGTGTGTGGGGGGGGGGGGGTGTTATCACTGGGGGGGGGGGGGGCTTGGTCAGGTGTACGCCGACTGTAAGGGGCATTTATCACTGACTTAACATACGTAGTAGGGGAGAGTGGAGTTCAATAAGAGGCTTTTGATAATTTTAAGTATCAAAATAATGTAAAACATGCTTAATCAACGACGTCGACAAAGTTTATTTCAGGCATCTCTTTTAGGGGTGAAGTGGGAGTTAGGATAGTGGAAGGCGTAGCACGTTTGTCCCTCCCCTTTCCCCCACTCCCGCCGGACGAAACAGTAAAGACACATAATTTATATAGAAGTGTCCGCCTCCCCCCCTCCCCCCCCCCCACGTTTTAAGTGCGCCTCCCCAGAAGTTTCAAGCCCCCCCCCCCTCCCCCTTACCCATCCCAACCCCGGAGAAAAATGTCTAACGACCTATGACAAGGTACAGTGATTGGCATTTGGGTTAAATATTGGCCAAAAGAATTTGAGATGTAATAAAGAACTTCTGGTTTCTAGATTAGTTCTAAAGCTCTTTTTATTGTGTTTTTAATTGTCGGCCAATAGCAATTTTCATTATTTAGGAATAATCGTTGCCGCTTTGTGTAATGTTTAATTAATGCTAGCTCGATATTACTTTAATTGTCCATTAGGGTTTTACTTTTGATATCCTGGCGACTAACAATGTGTTCCACTCCAAGGGATGCTACTCTGGTAGTGTCATGAGCAATTGTAAGTTATCTCCCTTTATTTATTTTTAGTCTGTGTCATTGTTTACAAATTAGCGATTGTGAACTCGGGCAAGCAAATAATAGAATCTGAACAAACTATACACTATACATGTTATGATGTTTTTTGTCAACAGTTTATGAAAACGTGACCTACTGTATCCAGATGTTTTTTGTCACTTTGCTCAACGTGTGGTCCTACCGTAGACCACTGCCCGCAGACGACCATACCAACAATAACAACACAGGCGCAATAACCTTGCACACTGACGACAGCAAGATTCAGACCAATATCGACAACAACCCACCTACACAGAGGGCAGACGATCAAAGGGCAGCTACTCGGTCAGATCAAACAGTTTCAGACAGACTGGACCATTTAAGTTCTATTACGGTTCATTTATGAGATAGTTACATGCTTATTTCCCTTTACTTTCATTCGCCATTTTTCTAGTCATACCACGAGATCCTTATAATAATGAAGGTAATTTTATTTTGCTGATTAAATTATTTTAATACTTTTTAAAACTTTTATACACTTAAATGTTTGTATTGTTTTAGTTCTGTTCCAATAATTTTTAATTGAAAGAGAAACAGATGCAGAGGAAATATGCAGAGTATCTGAATCTTAAGCTGAATATTTTTGAAACCATTTATTTCTAAATGTTTACCATTGTAATATCAGATGTGATACTCTTTAGAAATTCAGCAGTTTCTAAATTCATCCTGAATATTCTTAAATCATCTATATCTATACGATTTTTTTACCATTGCTTGTATAGAGTCTAGATCTATATGCAGTCTTTAAAAATTCAGGAACTTTCTAAATTTCTAAACTTCAAGCAGACAACTTTTTAAAACCATTTAGAGCTATATGTAATTTTACTTTTGAGTTACTAAATTTCAAGCAGAATATTCTTGAAAGTAATATATTGTTACCATTGCCAATAGATTATAGCTTTAAAAAAAATCACTAATTAGATAAGTTCACCTGACGAAAGCATCACATTTCTTGTCTAAATGAGTTCACCTATCAAAGACTTGTCACATTTCTTGTCTAAACCTTCAATCAACATCTGTAGTTTTACACCTCATTTTAAAGTATTTAGTAAACTATCCAATTACACACAGACAATTTTAGACAATGTACAGTTAAAAAAAAAACAACGAAGAAAAAAAGATGTATTTGACTCATTGAGAATGTATTTGTTTATGTGTCAGCTTCCATTGACATGCCATGTGGGCAGATGGTAAAATTAGCGATTTGTTCCATTGAGAAAGTTCTATGGCAACTGAAAGAAATGGAAAGTGGAAAATGGCATTGGTTAGATGGTAAAATATCAGTTTGGTCTATTGAGAATTGGTAGGGGTTTGGTCAGTCTAACGGTACGGATTAGGTCAGGCAAATGGTACGGGTTGGGTCAGTCAAACGGTACGGATTAGGTCAGTCAAACAGTACGGATTAGGTCAGTCAAACGGTACGGATTAGATCAGTCAAACGGTACGGATTAGGTCAGGCAAATGGTACGGGTTGGGTCAGTCAAACGGTACGGATTAGGTCAGTCAAACGGTACGGATTAGGTCAGGCAAATGGTACGGGTTGGGTCAGTCAAACGGTACGGATTAGGTCAGTCAAACAGTACGGATTAGGTCAGTCAAACGGTACGGATTAGATCAGTCAAACGGTACGGGTTAGGTCAGTCAAACGGTACGGGTTAGGTCAGTTAAAAGACGATGGCTGGGTCAGCTGAAACGAATGAAAGATAACACATAGTTATGATTAATTCATGAAATATCTATCTGCTCCATTGAGACAGTCGAAATAAATGGAAGATCTAGAGAAATCGCTGTGATCATGTAAATGCGTAATATTTTTTTAAAAATAGGTAAAAAATAATTGAATTCCACCTTTTGCTACCCCCCCCCCCCCTCGCAATCCTCATATTAATATAGGAATGACCATTATCAAGGTGAAATCGTGTCTTTTATTTTAACTTCTACAAAGAATAACCTGGTTCTTATTAGACGTCCTGGGTCCACTCAGCCATCAGTTGAGTCAGGGAATATCAAAATTGGTTGTGGGGGGACGGGACGTGAACTCTACCCCTATAGACTACCAAAAAAACCAACAAAGTAACGTATTGTTACAATCGGCTCACCTTAATTCTTTTTTGACACTGGTTTTGGGGGCATCATGTTCTTGAGAGAACGGCCACCTCCGGTTTGTTTCAGGACGTTCTTCATACTGTCAACAACTGCAGGAAAACATGGGGTACATTGAATGCTTGTTTTAGAGAAAACATGGGATATATTGAATGCTTGTTTTAGAGAAAACATGAGATACATTGAATGCTTGTTTTAGAGGAAACATGGGATACATTGAATGCTTGTTTTAGAGGAAACATGGGATACATTGAATGCTTGTTTTAGAGAAAACATGAGATACATTGAATGCTTGTTTTAGAGAAAACATGAGATACATTGAATGCTTGTTTTAGAGGAAACATGGGATACATTGAATGCTTGTTTTAGAGGAAACATGGGGTACATTGAATGCTTGTTTTAGAGGAAACATGGGATACATTTAATGCTTGTTTAGAGGAAAAACAATTCCTGTTGATAGCTGAATATCGAATTATTTTAAATCTGTAAAGGTGGGAAAATATAATGCTGTTTAAATAAAAATGTGGATATCTTAGTTTCGAATCTTTTAAAATCTGTAATAGTGGAAATAAGCGTTAGTCGACATTTAAATTTTATCCTGTAACATGAACGCATCTTACTTTTATTTTTTTCAATATTTCTTTTTCATGAGTATCCCTACACGCATATTTGAGTTGACGCGCAATAAAATAATTAGTTTACTAAAATAAAAAATGTACCTTTTTGTGTTAAAATAAAATTATCTTTACAAAAAAAATAATCTAATAGAAGGCTAAAACGAGAACAAGAAATCTTACTTGAATCAGTTTCATAGTAGTAGTACTTAAATCCTTCACTGCCTTTGTTTACTACGTGTTTCATCACATTGCCTTCAGCGTCTGAAATCAAAGTGAACAATCATTCACATCCAAGTTGTTTCATGACCTTGTCTGATCACCTAATTAAATACACAACTTTTGACAACAACATGAGCATAAAAAGTTGGATGATGCGAACGTTGAGTTAGGCTATTGGTGGGTAACACTTTGTCCTGAATCTCATCTTCGTAAGCCCATTCAACTGCAGTAGGTAAATCCATAAGAACCCGGTATGGATTAGGTCAGGTAAGTTGTATGGATTAGGTCAGGCAAATTGTATGGATTAGGTCAGGTAAGTTGTATGGATTAGGTCAGGCAAATTGTATGGATTAGGTCAGGCAAATTGTATGGATTAGGTCAGGTAAGTTGTATGGATTAGGTCAGGCAAATTGTATGGATTAGGTCAGGCAAATTGTATGGATTAGGTCAGGTAAGTTGTATGGATTAGGTCAGGTAAGTTGTATGGATTAGGTCAGGTAAGTTGTATGGATTAGGTCAGGCAAATTGTATGGATTAGGTCAGGCTAATTATATGGATTAGGTCAGGCAAATAGTATGGATTAAGTCAGGCTAATGGTATGGATTAGGTCAGGAAATCTGCAGGAGTTAAGCCAGGCTAATAGTAAGGGTTAGGTCGATGAATCTGTAAGGGCTAGGTCAGGGCTAGGGCCGGGGTTAGGTTTGCCTGTCGTCCCTCCTGTCACATCAGCCGCTGACAAGAGCTTTCCATGAGTCTCTGTCGGCCGGGGTCGCGAAACAAAATATGAGATGTGGCTCACCTAAAAATAGAATCCTTGGAATATAGGCGCCGTCGGGGCTTAGATCAGCACTCTTGGGGACTTCATCATCCTATACATACAGAGTTGGTTTAAAGCAATGTTACGACATCCATCTATACATACAGGGTTGGTTTTAAACAATGTTACAATATCCATTTATACATACAGAGTTGGTTTAAAACAATGTTACGACATCCATCTATACATACAGAGTTGGTTTAAAACAATGTTACAATATCCATTTATACATACAGAGTTGGTTTAAAACAATGTTACGACATCCATCTATACATACAGAGTTGGTTTAAAACAATTTTACGACATCCATCTATCCTAACACAAATGCAAGCTAACACAAATGTATGGCATTCATCGATTCAGACATATGTAAACAATAAATATATGTTAGAAAATTTCTTAAACACTGGATATCACAAAATGATTAAGTATTTAGGATTAAAGTTGAGAGTACATCTAGCCACTGAACACAAAATGATTAAGTATTTAGGATTAAAGTATTTAGGATTAAAGTGAGTACATCTAACCACCAGCACCACCGACCACAAAATGATTAAGTATTTAGGATTAAAGTATTTAGGATTTAAGTAGAGTACATCTAACCACCAGCACCACTGAGCACAACATGATTAAGTATTTAGGATTAAAGTATTTAGGATTAAAGTATTTAGGATTTAAGTAGAGTACATCTAGCCACCAGCACCACTGAGCACAAAATGATTAAGTATTTAGGATTAAAGTATTTAGGATTAAAGTTGAGAGTACATCTAACCACCAGCACCACTGAGCACAAAATGATTAAGTATTTAGGATTAAAGTATTTAGGATTAAAGTTGAGAGTACATCTAACCACCATCACCACTGAGCACAAAATGATTAAGTATTTAGGATTAAAGTTGAGTGTACAAGCCACCAGCAACACTGAGCACAAAATGATTAAGTATTTAGGATTAAAGTATTTAGGATTAAAGTATTTAGGATTTAAGTTGAGTACATCTAGCCACCACCACCACTAACCTCGACACTGATCATGACAAAGTCGTTACTCATCTGTTCGATCTCTCTGCTGTTTGCAAATCGTGGCCTCAATGCTGAATGAAGGAACACAGGCAATTGTTTAGTGTACAACTGTAAACAACAGCTTTCATTTTGTATGATGTATAGGGGAGGGCGTGGTCGAATGGTAGAGCACATGGCTTCTAACCCAAATTCTCGAGTTCGGATCCGAAGGGCGTCCGTGAGTACAACCAGCTATGACGTCATAGAAAGTAAAGTGGGTGGGCATAGTGATGACCGCAATATCTTTTCATATGAAGTTATACTTCATCTGCCCCATGGTCCGCCAGGTTCGAAAAGGTAATGATGATGATGATTGTAATTGCAATATGTTTAGCTTTAAATAAAGATTTTTAGAAGAAAAAAAAACGTTAGCAGGACATTAATGTAACGTACAGGTTTTTTTCTGCTATCATTGCTGTTAGGGTTGGTGCCGTGATAATATTTAGGGTTGGAGTAAGGGTTAGAGGTATGAAAACGTCAACAGGACGAAATCAATGCTACTCAGTATCACTGCTCTATCATAACAGCGAATATAAACAAATCTAAACAGGCCTACATAGTGTCTAAAAAGCTAAGAGAAACAAAATACGATGGTCTCACCCTTGCAAGCCCTGCACCATGGCTTATGGAACACAATCATGGCTGGCTTTCCCCTGGGGTCAAAGGTTCACTCAATTAGCGATACATACAAGAGAAGGTGTCGGTTTGGATACGCTAAATTTATATTAAATGGTTTGTTTCGTTAGGACGAAGTTTTTGTTTTTAACTGGCCATGCTTTAAGTATTGAAAATATAAATAGTGGAATCGTCTTTATAAATTGTTAACCACTTAAATGACGAAAAGCTTCTAGGGGTATTAGAATAATTGTAGACATTTCTGTTTTGCTCAATGATATCTTCTCTCCTGATAGCTATAAGAATTTGGCTTAGGGTAATGGGTGAAGGGTAGGGCTGGTTTTATGACGTGTGTAGAGGGAAAGAGGTTGTTAAAGTAAAAATCGACTAAAATAGCATAGAAAATAGGTTGACATAGCCCAAAATAGTGTGAAATGGGTTTTTAAAGCGTGAAAATAGACTAAACAGCATGACAGAAAAATAGAGTGACATATAAAATAGCTCGATATTAACTTATGAACAACCTATAAGATATTTTTATTAGGCTTTTTTTCTCTCCTAAAATCAATGTTTATATTCACAAAATTCTGACACGATTTAGAGTCAAAATATTTTGTCAATATTTAACGAGGACTTAATGCTCTTAAGTAAATTTTTAACCAGATTGACTCACAAAACATAATGTCTACTAATGACAATTAGCCAGGTTTTGACATGCTTATTAGTCTTACTGTTTTAGCCATATTTTGACAACATTAAATCTATAGGTTTTACTGTTATTTAGCCAGTTATTACAAGATTAAACCTATAAGACTTACTGTTCTTTAGCCAGTTATTACAAGATTAAACCTATAAGACGTACTGTTATTTAGCCAGTTATTACAAGATTAAACCTATAAGACGTACTGTTATTTAGCCAGTTATTACAAGATTAAACCTATAAGACGTACTGTTCTTTAGCCAGTTATTACAAGATTAAACCTATAAGACGTACTGTTATTTAGCCAGTTATTACAAGATTAAACCTATAAGACGTACTTTTCTTTAGCCAGTTATTACAAGATTAAACCTATAAGACGTACTGTTCTTTAGCCAGTTATTACAAGATTAAACCTATAAGACGTACTGTTCTTTAGCCAGTTATTACAAGATTAAACCTATAAGACTTACTGTTCTTTAGCCAGTTTCTGTCCTTCCTTCAGTGAGACCCAGTTGATTCTTCCCCATGCTGTCAACAAAAACAATTGTACAAGATACAAAACATTAGGGATTTTCCCTATCAGCTGTACCCATAGCTTTGACTCCATTGGGAACCGCTGATGGTTAAATGATACTGGTACTTATAATAACGCCAGCTAAGTTGTATTGAAACAGTAGACTTTTTATCGCTACCCCAACCCTTAATGTATCCCTAATACTAATTCTGGAAATTGTTTACCTAAACTTTAACATATGAACACACTCCAAACCCCCGACTCTAAGGAAAATACCCCAACCCTCATGAACACTCTCCAACGCTAAGGAACACATTCCAACCTACAACCCTAAAGTACATACTCCATCCCCAACCCTAATGAACACTCTCCAACGCTAAGGAACACATTCCAACCTACAACTCTAAAGTACATACCCCATCCCCAACCCTAAGGAACACACTAAACCCTAAACCCTATGGATCAAACCCTGGAGAACACACACCAACCCCCAACCTTAGGATCGGGAATATATTATTATACAAATCCATTACATGTTTGACCGCCACTACCCATTAAATAGCTTTATAACAGTGGTTCTTAACCTGGGTTGATCAATTCAGTTTCGTGGGTTCGGCGGAGGTCAAGACACACACCCGACATGATCAGATTTTGTCAGTGCCGACGCTAAAACTATTAAGAAGGGTTCGTTGAAAGCGCATATGAAACTGGTGGGTTAAGAACCACTGCCTTATAACATTTGCTAAGAACAATTACTATTGGAATATAACATTTCTAGGAGCAACCCCCTCTCCCACACACACGACAAACCACTTATAAATGCACTTATAAAGCTTTACTCTATGTTATAAAAAATGCGAGTTATAAACCTATTCACAATGCCCATTTGGATGAAAAAAGACACGTCATACATGACAATTTGAAAATTCAAAGGCGGTGTTTTATAACCTTGGTGTAAACCGCCCCCCCCCCATGTAACACAAAAACAACTATAAGCTACTACTTTGATGTATTACATAATATGTAAATAACCTCTAAAATAACACGTCAGCATACTACGGACCCCCCCCCCCCCCCATGTAAAACAAAACAACGATAGCATACTACGTACTATACTCCTAACCCTAGCCCTAACATGGATAACGACAACGAAAATTCTAAATACTATTACGATACCATATTGACCTATTGTGACACATAACTGGATCATTGAACAGACACGCGTATAGTTCCTAAACTCCCCCCAGCCACGTCCACCTCAAACCCGCATGCGAAATAAAACAAGTATATAAGTTAAATGGAGAAAAAAACCCGGAGAGAATTGATAACAAAGCATAATCTAACCTTAAGAATGGATGTATCGAAACACCCCTGACTAACTACGATAGCGGTAGAAGATAAATATCTTTAAAAAATCGATACATTACCCACCATGCATTAGTGTGCAGGTGTTTTCAATAGAAACAAAATGGTAGACGATACAGTCTTTTTCTTAAATATCGCTAACAAAACTAACTCTAGCCTTGGATCTAACTGACCATATCCCTATCAATATCCCTGAATCGAACTGATCATATCGCTAATTTCTTTTGCCTAACCATATCTTCCCTAGTCCTCACATATCCCAGTCCTAACTGACCATATCGCTAAATATAACCCAGGATATAACTGACCATATCGCTAATTTCTTTGGCCTAACCATCTCTTCCCTAGTCCTAACTATAACCCTGTATATAACTGACCATATCCCTAACTATAACCCTTGATATAACTGACCATATCCCTAACTATAACCCTGGATATAACTGACCATATCCATAATTATAACCCTGGATATAACTGACCATATCCCTAACTATAACCCTTGATATAACTGACCATATCCCTAACTATAACTGACCATATCCCTAACTATAACTGACCATATCCCTAACTATAACTCTGGATATAACTGACCATATCGCTAATTATAACTCCGGATATAACTGACCATATCCCTAACTATAACTGACCATATCCCTAACTATAACTCTGGATATAACTGATAATATCCCTAACTATAACCCTGGATATAACTGACCATATCGCTAATTATAACTCCGGATATAACTGACCATATGCCTAAATAAAAACCCCGATATAACTGACCATGTCGCTAATTATCTCCGGATATAACCGATTATGTCGCTAGCGATATCCCGGATATAACTGACCATATCCCTAAATATAACCCTGGATATAACTGACCATATCCCTAATTCTAGCATTGAACCTAACTGACCATATAACTACACGTATTAGCTTAACTGACCATATCCCTAGTTAGGCTAATTATGACCCTGATTCAAACTGATCATACCGTCAATTATCCTAAGGAACCAGATTCCAAATTCTAGCCCTAGCCTTAATCCAGATCAAATATAAAATCTCGCCTAAGTCCTAACTGACCAGACACCAAACTATTAGCCTAGTCCTAACTTAAACATATCTGCAAGTATAGTTAGACCTGACCATTTCCCTAACTCTTGATCCTAACTCTTAACAAATCTCTAAATATACCTATAGCCCTTTGTGAGTATATCACTAACTATAAACCTGGTCCTAAATGACCATATAACCATAGACGTGGGCCTACCTTTGACCACATTCCCAACTATAGCCCTGGTCCTAACTCTATTCATTGACTAAACATAGCCTCCACCAAACGAACAGTGTCACCATTGGTAAACAACTATCTCTACACACATTGCTACCTAACGACGCTTTTATAAGTACCAGGTTAAAGCATTGTCATCGACTATATACCAGCAATCTGATTATGTGGGTACGGCTAATCAACAAGAGCTTGAGAAAATATTTTCTTTTTCATAAAAAATCAAAAGAATCCTCGATCTAGATCTTAACATGTAGGTCATACATGTACAATGAAGAGGCTGGAAATATCAATCTGCTTCCACACACGATTGTGCTGTCAATTGTAGCCTAAGTATTGACTAGTAACTGTATGAACCAGTTTTAGATGCAACATAAAATATTTCCGTAAAAAATTAATTTTGGAAGGTCAACTCAAATAAAAAATAAAAGTCACACTTCTAAAAATAACTTTGTAACGCGAGGAAATCCTTCTGGACAGTTTCGTCACTTTGCGAATGATGCAATTAGCATATATATTTAAACGATCCTTTCAGAAATTGAGATCGAGCTTCTAATAATACACCATTAGTAACGCTAACAAATTGCATCAGCCACCCTGATGTTTTATAACACGTCAAATATTCAATAAATTTAAACAAGCAAATAAAGTTAATGGCAAATGATTTGATATTTGTTGTCAGATGAAAACATGGCTGCTTTCGATTTTGGTTTGATATCTTGCTAACCATACAAAGATTTGGCTGGATATCTTGCTAGCCACACAAAGAATCTAGATCTACAAAGGGGTCTAGCAAGTATCCAGTAAGGCTAGCGATTACATTGTACCACTCTACACAAGAGTTTGGGTTGGACTGAAGATGTGTAACGTGACTAGATTTAACTCGTTGTCTGAAGGTAGAGCACACGACCACTAACCCAAAAGTCTAGAGCTCTTTTACTGTATTCGAGTTGAAGCTTTAGATCTAGGCGAATGAACTTACCGTGTGTAATAGATCTCATATGAATACTAGATTATAGATCTAGATCTACATCATGATTACTTGCCATTGTTATGCTTGGCTTCTATTATGAGTCATTTCAAAACACTTGTCTCGTGCCTTTGGTTAGGAGTGGCCAGGCGTTAGAGTATAACCTGCTAAACCTTAAAGTCTCGAGTTCAGATCCCGGACGTCTACAGAGTCCCTGGAGAACCTCCAGTTCCGAATAGCTACTGACTCACGTCAGGCGATTGGGCATAGAACTAAGCGCACTATCCCTTCATATGATGAGGTCATGGAAACATTTGCACTATTGATCATCAGGACCCACTTGCTTGTTTATTTTTATTCAAGTGCAAACAGACTCGAAATCTAGATCTAGCTAGACCAAGTAGTAATATGTATATTCTATATCTAAATCCACGAGAGTTGCTTGACGTAAAACTACCCGTTATACATAGATCTATAGATCTAGGTCTAGTCTACTAATGAAAAAGCGATGCCATTAGAAAAAGAAAAAGCTGACTTACTTTTAACTTGTTCAACTGCTGCAGACACACTTCCTAAAAGAGCGGAGGCCGCTAGCGCAAAAAAGGGCGCCATGATTATCCAGAGAGGGACGAAAGCGCCGTTTTCCGCTACTTTGGAAGACTTTTAGCGTAGGAGTACCTTCAAAAAAAAAACGCCAATCTAATCCGGAGGATGCTGAACATGAAACACAAGAATTAAGATGAAGCTCTACCCTTTGTTATTGGTTGCAGTGTGACGTATACAATCGACGTTGCTATGCAGCGCCATGAGGAGAAAATGACGCAAGCACTTTATGCTAACTTTTTAAAGCGCTGGTTCGAGAGTACTGTCTATTTTTTTTCCCCTCTTCTTCTTTCTGGGGCAAAACAAACCAAATTATTTTTTGACAAAAAGTAGTTAGATTATGTGGCAAATTCAGCATAGGCCAAAAGAGACAAAATAAAACGTGCTTCAATGTAAAGAATTATGTCAAAGTTATTTAACCAACTTGAATGAATATTGGATCTACAAATTACATTCAGTGTTTCTTTCAGGCATTTCTCTAGGGGGGGGGACGACGTCGAGACGTCTACGCGGTAATTTTAAACGAAATACACGAATCTGTTGAAAATTTTAATTTTAAAGTATGATTTAAAATAGGCTTATATGATAATTAACAAGTCATTCTTCTTTTCTTCTTAATTTTCTTATTCAAATTTTTCTTATAATGAATCAGCAGGCACAATTTAAATGCTAGGATCAAGAGCGAGATTTCGTTTTGCTTAGCAGCATAATTAAGACGTGTTTATACGATGGGTTAGAATAATGCAGTCTCTCTAGCCTCAAACTCCAAGGGACAAAACTCTGGAAATAAAATATGTACCAAAGCTTTATTTCCTCGCTTCATCAAAACAATTTCCCGTAACTCTTGTAGACGTAAGTCAACAGCAACTTTCCCGAGTTGTTGGTCTTGTGCCACTCTTTCCAACTAGATCTTAACAAGTGTGATGAATACAACATCAAATATTTTGTTGCTGATTTTTATCCATGTGTTTAGATCATATTCCGTTAAGGAAATAAGGATAATTGTATCTCTATGTAACTAGTGTAGTTACAAAAACAACGTAATAGCGTCTGTCAACAAGGACCAGGTCAAGGCCAGAACTGAACTGAGTTATTTATAGTTACTATGAAACTGTTGTGACGTAGATGATGAGACTAAAATAGAATTTTACTTGTCAACTTGAAGACAAATGGACAAGTTATTATAATAGAAACGATGCAATAGTTGGTACCGCAGTAGAATAGTTTGACCTTGATAGATATTGTTGACAACACCGGATGTACATCTGCGTGTGACTGTGTGTGCTTATAGCCTAAGAGCGATACTTTTGGGTATGAAGAGAGCCAGACAGAAGATGTAGATCGAGACAGATGTATGCAGAGGCTTAGCGACCCTACCCGGGGACAAACTTTCAATTTGGCGCCCCCTCCTCCCCCCCCCCTCAAACTTTCGATTTGGACCCCCCTCAAACTTTTGATTTACACCCCCCCCCCCTATAACTTTCGATTTCCACCCCCCCCCCCCCTCTTACTTTCAATTTACACCTAAAATTAGATTTTAATTTGTTTTTCCAACTCATTTTGGCGCCCCACTAAGGTCTGTTGAGATTCACGTAATTATCTAACTGTGATTATTCAAGAAGGAATTAAGTGAAGTAATATTGTGTGAGCGTGAATGTGAGCGTGTGTGTGTGAGCGTGAATGTGAGCGTGTGTGTGTGTGTAAGCGTGAATGTGAACGTATGTGTGTGTGAGCGTGAATGTGAGCGTGTGTGTGAATGTGAGCGTAAATGTGAGCGTGTGTGTGAATGTGAGCGTGTGTGTGTGAGCTTGAATGTTAGCGTGTGTGTGTGTGTGAGCGTGAATGTTAGCGTGTGTGTGTGAGCGTGTGTGTGTGTGAGCGTGAATGTTAGCGTATGTGTGTGTGAGCGTGAATGTTAGCGTGTGTGTGTGTGTGTGAGCGTGAAAGTTAGCGTGTGTGTGTGTAAGCGTGAATGTTAGCGTGTGTGTGAGCGTGAATGTTAGCGTGTGTGTGTGAGCGTGAATGTTAGCGTGTGTGTGTGTGAGCGTGAATGTGAACGTATGTGTGTGTGAGCGTGAATGTTAGCGTGTGTGTGTGTGAGCTTGAATGTTAGCGTGTGTGTGTGAGCGTGAATGTGAGCGTGTGTGTGAGCGTGAATGTTAGCGTATGTGTGTGTGAGCGTGAATGTTAGCGTGTGTGTGTGTGAGCGTGAATGTTAGCGTGTGTGTGTGAGCGTGAATGTGAGCGTGTGTGTGAGCGTGAATGTTAGCGTGTGTGTGTGTGAGCGTGAATGTTAGCGTGTGTGTGTGAGCGTGAATGTGAGCGTGTGTGTGAGCGTGAATGTTAGCGTATGTGTGTGTGAGCGTGAATGTTAGCGTGTGTGTGTGTGAGCGTGAATGTTAGCGTGTGTGTGTGAGCGTGAATGTGAGCGTGTGTGTGAGCGTGAATGTTAGCGTGTGTGAGCGTGAATGTTAGCGTGTGTGTGTGAACGTGAATGTTAGCGTGTGTGAGCGTGAATGTTAGCGTGTGTGTGTGAACGTGAATGTGAGCGTGTGTGTGTGTGAGCGTGAATGTTAGCGTATGTGTGTGTGAGCGTGAATGTTAGCGTGTGTGTGTGAGCGTGAATGTGAGCGTGTGTGTGAGCGTGAATGTTAGCGTGTGTGTGTGTGAGCTTGAATGTTAGCGTGTGTGTGTGAGCGTGAATGTTAGCGTGTGTGTGTGAGCGTGAATGTTAGCGTATGTGTGTGTGAGCGTAAATGTTAGCGTGTGTGTGTGAACGTGAATGTTAGCGTGTGTGAGCGTGAAAGTTAGCGTGTGTGTGTGAGCGTGAATGTGAGCGCGTGTGTGTGTGAGCGTGTGTGTGTGAGATCGTGAATGTGAGCGTGTGTGTGAAAGCGTGAATGTGAGCGTGTGTGTGTGAATGTGAGAGCGTGTGTGTGAGAGCGTATGTGTGTGAGAGCGTGAATGTGAGCGTGTGTGTGTGAATGTGAATGTGAGAGCGTGTGTGTGTGAGAGCGTGAATGTGAGCGTGTGTGTGAAAGCGTGAATGTGAGAGCGTGTGTGTGTGAGAGCGTGTGTGTGTGTGAGAGCGTGAATGTGAGCGTGTGTGTGAAAGCGTGAATGTGAGAGCGTGTGTGTGTGAGAGCGTGAATGTGAGCGTGTGTGTGAGATCGTGAATGTGAGCGTGTGTGTGAAAGCGTGAATGTGAGAGCGTGTGTGTGTGAATGTGAATGTGAGAGCGTGTGTGTGTGAGAGCGTGAATGTGAGCGTGTGTGTGAAAGCGTGAATGTGAGAGCGTGTGTGTGTGTGAGAGCGTGAATGTGAGCGTGTGTGTGAGATCGTGAATGTGAGCGTGTGTGTGAAAGCGTGAATGTGAGAGCTTGTGTGTGTGAGAGCGTGAATGTGAGCGTATGAATGTGAGAGCGTGTGTGTATGAGCGTGAATGCATGCACAGACGAGGGAGTTAGTATGTATAAAGTTTAGTAAAAGTAATATGACGTCACGTTGATTAGCAGAATTTTACCCCTACACATATAATCATTAATAGCTAGACAACCACAAATGATTTCAAATAGTTAAGTTTGCAGCCCCACTTACCCACCCTCTTTAATTAAATAATATTTTATGACTGCCTCCAATCTCAGACTACCTTTAGGAAAAAAAAATGTGTGTAAAATCGAGAGGTACACAGCGTCCAATAAAGAACAATAATTTTTTTAGATAGTCTTAGCACATTCGCACGGTAAGTTTACTTTGAAAGACTCCACACTCTTCTGCACATTACCACCCCCACCCTACCCTTTACCCTTTCCCAGCCGAATAACACAATTACTTTTGATGGAAATCTGTATATATAATTCTCTACGTGGGGACCATGCGAGACTCCATCAAGACGTAAACTCAACAGACCATATCGCTACCACCCCCACCCCACCAGTCTGGTGAGCTGTTTACAATCGGAGTGACGGCTAATAGGGGCAGATAATTTAGTTTTTAAACGATTTGAAATTAAGGGGAGGTAATTACATGTTCTGTTTGCTCTTTTCCCTGTCGTCAAAGTGAAATAATAAAAAAATTAACGGAATCATTATATGTTTAGTACAAAATAAAATTTATGAAAAACACAAAAAGTATTTTTTTTCCGTGTTGCATTGCCGTTATAATATAGTTGGACTAGGGTTAGGACCGTGGCGACAGTGAAGATAAGGCCTAGGAATGGTTTGTGTTCATACAGGGATTGTCCTTTTCTGGAAGCAGAGCGGCCAATTAACCTTCTGATATTACCCCATAAAATTACCCGCTGTAATTAACCTCAGGTGAATCACCGCTTGTCCGTTATCCACCAGTTAATTATCCCTCACCTCCCCCCAACCAGAAAACTTAAGTGACATTTTAATGTGTTCTAAGCTTTTAAAAGGTTTATAATTCTGAGGTTGCTTATATAATGGGGGTTACATTTTGTCATGAAAGTGTATTTTTTGTGCATTACATATCAATGTCTAATTAAACCGTCGTGCCGATGTCTGTATCTGTGTCGACCGTGGTGTCTGAGCATGTGTCTCGTCGAAACTTCACGACATCTTTGCTATTATAAATCGATGTTTTATTTTTGCTATTTATCCTCGTGTTGTGAGCTGTCTTTAATCACGTGGTGATCATCCGGTTTGTACTTGTTTTTGTACCTGTATAGAAATGACAGTGTAACAGTTCTTTGAAAGAATACTTACTTTAAAATATGTACACTTCAGTGCAGTAAAGATACATCTGGTTTCAATATTATTTGGTCAATGACGTCATGTTCGTAATGCGCTTCTGTCGATTTACTGGTGCGCTTTCATAACCTCACACTCTTGTGTATTTTTTTTACACAAACACTTATCTCTGGTGCTCTTAATCACCATCAAGCACAATATTTCCGGCTCATTAATTACGTTGATGATATATAAAATGGCGGGAGTTTGCATCTTTTAAGAATATTTTACATTCAATTCACGAGCAGCATATTGGCAGCGTACTAGACTTGGATATCATGAGTTTTAGTGGAGGTGTGTCCATCTTTGTCTGAGGTGTGTCCAACTTTGTCTGATGTGTTTGCAGCTTTATCTATGGTGTGTCTAACTTTGTCTGATATGTGTCGATTTTGTCAGAGGTGTGTCTAGCTTTGTCTGCGCTGTCCAGCTTAGTCTGTGGTGTGTCCAGCTTTGTCTGAGGTGTGTCCATCTTTGTCTGAGGTGTGTCCAGCTTTGTCTGTGCTGTGTCGATTTTGTCTGAGGTGTGTCCATCTTTGTCTGAGGTGTGTCCATCTTTGTCTGAGGTGTGTCCAACTTTGTCTGAGGTGTGTCCATCTTTGTCTGAGGTGTGTCCAGCTTTGTCTGAGGTGTGTCCAACTTTGTCTGAGGTGTGTCCAACTTTGTCTGATGTGAGCCCATTTTTGTCTGTGGTGTGTCCAGCTTTGTCTGAGGTGTGTGCAGCGTTGTCTGGGCTGTGTCTAACTTTGTATGATATGTGTCGATTTTGTCTGAGGTGTGTCCAGCTTTGTCTGTGGTGTGTCTATCTTTGTCTGATGTGTGTCCATCTTTGTCTGAGTTGTGTCCATTTTGTCTGTGGTGGGTTTATCTTTGTCTGTGGTATGTCCATCTTTTTTTTTTCTGTGCTGTGTTTTTGTCTGTGGCGGGTTCATCTTTGTCTGAGGTGTGTGCAGCTTTGTCTGTGCTGTGTCTATATTTGTCTGATGTGTGTCCATCTTTGTCTGAGTTGTGTCCAGCATTGTTAAAGATGCGTCCTTATTAGTCCAAGATGTATAAACTAGCTGGATAAACCTACACGATTCAGGCCTCCATTCAACACTTTTGACAAAAATAATCAGCCAATAGATACTTTAAATTTAAACAACACTTTAATTTCAACTTATGCCATGATAGTGTCTTTTATCTAAGCGAGTCTTTGTGTGGTTTAGTCGGTGTGTGTGTCTAGTTGTGTGTCTAAGTGTAAATATGTCTAAGTGTGTCTAACTGTGTGTCTAAGTGTGTGTGTGTGTGTAAGTGTGTGTGTCTAAGTGTGTGTGTAATTGTGTGTGTAAGTGTGTCTAAATGTTTGTAAGTGTGTGTCTAAGTGTGTGTGCAAGTGTGTGTCTAAATGTGTGTAAGTGTGTGTCTAAGTGTGTGTCTATGTGTGTGATAAGTTTATGTCTAAGTGTGTGTCTGAGTTGCCCTACCCTAGCTTCATCCCATATAGCTTTGCCTTACCCAGCCCTACGTAGAGACCTAGACTAACCCTTAAGTCTCGAGTTCGAATCCGGGTTCAAGTCAGTAGACCGTCCCTTAGCCAACCCAGCTCTAATGGGTACCCAACTTACATTAGGGAAAGTAAAGGCGGCTGGGCATAGTGCTGACCACATTATCCCTTCATATGCCGAGGTCACAGAAACAAGTGAACTACTTCACATGCTCCATAGATCGTCAGGTTTGATAGGAAGACTTTTACCCAGCCCTGCCCTAGCTTCACTCCACATAGCGTCCCCCTACCCAGCCCTACCCTCATAGTGTCCCTTAGCGAGTCCTACCCTAGCTTCACCCCCCATGGTGTCCCCTACCCAGCCCTACCTTAGCTTCACCCCTCATAGTGTCCCCCACCCAGCCCTACCCTAGCTTCACCCCTCATAGTGTCCCCTACCCAGCCCTACCCTAGCTTCATCCCTCAAAGTGTCCCCCACCCAGCCCTACCCTCACGCCTCATAGTGACCCCCACCCAGCCTTACCCTAGCTTCACCCCTCAGTGTCCCCCACCCAGCCTTACCCTAGGTTCACCCCTCATAGTGTCCCCCACCCAGCCCTACCCTAGCTTCATCCCTCAAAGTGTCCCCCACCCAGCCCTACCCTCACGCCTCATAGTGACCCCCACCCAGCCTTACCCTAGCTTCACCCCTCAGTGTCCCCCACCCAGCCTTACCCTAGGTTCACCCCTCATAGTGTCCCCCACCCAGCCCTACCCTAGCTTCATCCCTCAAAGTGTCCCCCACCCAGCCCTACCCTCACGCCTCATAGTGACCCCCACCCAGCCTTACCCTAGCTTCACCCCTCAGTGTCCCCCACCCAGCCCTACCCTAGCTTCACCCCTCATAGTGTCCCCCACCCAGCCCTACCCTAGCTTCACCCCTCAGTGTCCCCCACCCAGCCCTACCCTAGGTTCACCCCTCATAGTGTCCCCCACCCAGCCCTACCCTAGCTTCACCCCTCATAGTGTCCCCCACCCAGCCCTACCCTAGCTTCACCCCTCATAGTGTCCCCCACCCAGCCCTACCCTAGCTTCATCCCTCAAAGTGTCCCCCACCCAGCCCTACCCTCACGCCTCATAGTGACCCCCACCCAGCCTTACCCTAGCTTCATCCCTCATAGTGTCCCCCACCCAGCCCTACCCTAGCTTCACCCCTCATAGTGTCCCCCACCCAGCCCTACCCTAGCTTCACCCCTCAGTGTCCCCCACCCAGCCCTACCCTAGGTTCACCCCTCATAGTGTCCCCCACCCAGCCCTACCCTAGCTTCATCCCTCATAGTGTCCCCCACCCAGCCCTACCCTAGCTTCATCCCTCATAGTGTCCCCCACCCAGCCCTACCCTAGCTTCACCCCTCATAGTGTCCCCCACCCAGCCCTACCCTAGCTTCATCCCTCATAGTGTCCCCCACCCAGCCCTACCCTAGCTTCATCCCTCATAGTGTCCCCCACCCAGCCCTACCCTAGCTTCATCCCTCATAGTGTCCCCCACCCAGCCCTACCCTAGGTTCACCCCTCATAGTGTCCCCCACCCAGCCCTACCCTAGCTTCACCCCTCATAGTGTCCCCCACCCAGCCCTACCCTAGCTTTATCCCTCATAGTGTCCCCCACCCAGCCCTACCCTAGCTTCACCCCTCATAGTGTCCCCCACCCAGCCCTACCCTAGCTTCACCCCTCATAGTGTCCCCCACCCAGCCCTACCCTAGCTTTATCCCTCATAGTGTCCCCCACCCAGCCCTACCCTAGCTTCACCCCTCATAGTGTCCCCCACCCAGCCCTACCCTAGCTTCACCCCTCATAGTGTCCCCCACCCAGCCCTACCCTAGCTTTATCCCTCATAGTGTCCCCCACCCAGCCCTACCCTAGCTTCACCCCTCATAGTGTCCCCCACCCAGCCCTACCCTAGCTTTACCACTTAATCCGTCCTTGCTGATTTTGGCTAACCCATGCAAGAAATTAGTTCACCTTCTGATGCACGCAATATCAGTCTGGCTGTTACATAACAATAGCCTACGTTCATAAGATGCATGTGGGCTACTGCTCTAAAGCTAACAACAGTATTTTTAAGTAAAAACAAAATCGAGTAAGACATAAACCTATGATTCGTTTACATTCTTCATAGCAAGACATTCTTTTAAATTCAAAATGTATAAAGTATCACTGACACATTAACCTACATCTTGTTCATAGTTTAAAAGTTTATTTAATTTAAAAAAAAAAACAACTAAATAATTCAAGTAATGTCAATTTGAGGACCTGTGTAATTGTATTGTAACCAGAACTAAAGGTCAGCTGATTATTAGTGTTTATATGCTATTAGTGTAATTGTAAAGTAACCAATATAGATCAGCTGATTAACAGAGTTTTTACACTATGTGACATCTTGTTACTCACAGCAGGCCTTTAAATTAAGGCTTGATCAATATTCAAACATTCAATTTTAAAATGTTAGGTAGAGTTTTCCCCAGATTCAAGTTCATGTAACATATTGTACATTTTTTATATATTCTCATCAATGTTTTAAGTTTTGTAGAAAACTGAGTGAAGCTTCATGAGATTTTATCAATAAAAAACTGATGTATAGTGAACAACATTCTTGTAGTCACACAACATCAAGCCTGGCACACATGTATGTGCATGACTAATTTATGGATGACCCTCATTTATTTTCTATAAAACCAGTATGTCATTGGTAAACATTGTTGGCTACGTTAGAAGCTGACCTTTTACCTATAATACTATTGTTTAAGACAGCAGCTTTAAATGTAAGTTATTGAACACTTTTCTGAGATTAACTTTAGTAGCATTTAGTATAATTATTATGAACCACTAGTGAAAGCTCAGCCATGGTTTAAAGTATTATTATTTTGTTAGTGTACAATCTAGTTTACTGGAAGTAAATTTGTTTAATTGAACACTTTTCTTAGATTAACTTTGGTAGCCTATAATTATGAGCCACTATTGAAAGCTAAGCTAGGTGTACAGTACTACATTACAATTTTGGTAGTAAACAATCTAGTTTACTGGAAGTAAATTTGTTTAAGTAATTCAACACTTTTCTTAGATTAACTTTGGTAGCCTATAATTATAATGAGCCACTAGTGAAAGCTTAGCTAGGTGTACAGTATTACATTACAATTTTGGTACTGTACAATCTAGTTTACTGGAAGGCTGCCTGCTAACCTCCCAGCATTTCATATATATTCCATACTGATTTGAAAGTGACTGGCCACTTGCTGATTTCTACCAGAATACTTCATGCTATTTTGTTATCAATTACCTGATCACCTTGCATATTCCAAATGGTTCAATCTTGGTTACTAATAATTGCTTAAACCTGCTCCCTTAACCTAATTTTCATTTGATAATGGCTTAGTACAAAAGACATTACTAGCCTTGATACAATGTGCAGTCTCGTACACTGGGTACCTGTGTTAGTTACAATACAATCTATGACTTCAAACAATTATGTCATGGTTTAAGGTTATTTTTTTTTTACAATGGTATCTTATTGTCATACAGAACAGAATCAATAAAATGAGGCACTGCCTATATTTTTTTTACTTTCCTGTAATAAAATGTAAATTCAAATACTGCAACAATTCTCCTGATAGCTGTCTTAATTGTTACACCTCAGTGTTTTCACAACATGAAGCAATGTAGTATGCCATCATTGAAAAAACTAACTAGCAGTTGTTTTAGCAGATATTAATAAAACTTTAGAATCTGTTTCTTATATTTACATAATATTTATAAACAACTACTAAAGTGTTACTTTAAAGAAACTGGTCAAAAAACTTGAAGAAAAGCTAACTATTTTTTGATGACTTTATTCTGCAGCTGTGTTAAGTGTTGCAATGACATTAGACAATTCACAGCTTGATACACATTTCTTTAGTTCAGTTCTTTCAGCAAGTTTGACATAATGGGTAAGCCAGTCTGGAGCAGCATGTTTAGGGCTAACAAATTACACTAGAGTTCAAGGTTGTTCAACTGTGGGCAGCATGTTCAGGGTTTACAACTTACTCTAGAGTTCAAGGTTGTTCAACTGTGGGCAAACAAGGAACAATAGAGGGCATGCTCAAAACTTTTATGGCTCACAATTATCAATCTGAAATTTGGGAACGATTGTTCAGTTTTATAAACTTCTCTTTTTTTTGTGTGCCAAACTTTTGCTAAAAAAGTTTTGAGAAAACAAAACCTAACTATTTGAAAATGTATTCACAGAAGAACTTGAGGATCATTTCATTTGGGATTAAAAAAAAAATATAACTAGTATTACTAGTAAAATAAAACACCAGTTTATTCAACAACATAATATAATGAATCACATACTTCGTGGCACCCTAAAAAGTATCAAATAGGTCTTAAAGCAAAATCAGTTATCAAGATCACATTATAAAGCATTGCAAGTTTTTACTATAAAGTTAAGAATGGGGTTTTATTTTTGTATCAGACAGTACAAACTATACTGTCTTTACCTCACAATACAGGAAAATTGCCCCAAGAACTAGTCAATAAAACCTGTACTAATATGAGCAGATTGGTAATTTTCATTAAAAATTTCAGCCAAAAAAATTATTATCAACATGTTTAAGATAAAAAAATTTCCTAAAGATTGTAAACTGAAAAGAGACCTTAATTGGTGTTCGTGGTTTAGGATAGGATATTCTCACACAAGAGCTTCAGGTTGGGAGGATAGGACATTCACACGCTTCAATGTTCACATCATCAGTGTGGAGGAACTATTTAACTCTGAATTGAGGAGAAAAATAATAGTTTTAGACAATATTCACAAATAAATAAGAGTGATCTTCAAAAAAGTAACAGTCCCACAAATACTCAGATTAAAAGAAGACAACATGTTAAGTCCTTTTTGCAAAGCCTGCTATGTTAACATAGAAAAAATAAGTAGCTTTAGAGCTTTCTAATTTAAGTGGCAATTAAAGTTTTATACATATTTTTGTAGTAAAATAAAGAAAAAAAGGTGTATTAACCAAGATAAAAAAAATTTTAAAGTAAGATAAATGTTTTTTTTTTAAATCATGTGGTGACTTTGCAGGCTTTGCAAGTGCACACACACACCCTCATACAGAAAAGTGTTAATAATCAACATAATAATTTGGTTCTACAGAAAAGTTTTTAAAAGTTTTTAAATTTTTACTTTTAAATAAGCTTAAATCAATAAATATTATTGAAATCATGTGATTAATATATTTCTAATTATGTCCACATAGGTCATAGAATTTTTCATTCGTGACAAAAATACAATGTATAATGTAGGCCTATAGAAATAATAAATTGCATTACTCATATCAAGGAAGAATAAGGCATAATGCTAAATTCAATATCTGACAGCTTCAGGAGATTTTTATTTTAAATATTCTATATTTTTATGAAACAAACTTCCTAGCAGAGCTAATTAAATTATTTTAAAAATCCACCTTTGAAAATTTTCAGCTATCCCCCTGATAAGATCTTTGTTCTTGGAGAAAACCTACAGCTCAGTGCCCTTGTTAAACTTGTTGCCTCCAGTCTGTCTGAGAACTTCTTTCATGTTTGATACAACTGTAAACATCAAAATAACATGGTCAGAACACCTTGATCAGAAAAGCAAAACAGTTCCCCATGTTTATCAGCAAGTCTATATTGTTTTTTCTGCTTAGGGTTGTGATACTAGCAAAAGCAATATACAATATGGCCCCTGCTGTGTAAAGTACATTTTTTAAAAATATAGAATGGCCCCTGCTGTGTAAAGTACATTTTTTAAAATATATAAAACTTTGGGCAAGGTACTGAAAATACAAATTTACTTGCATAAAGACCCTAATTTGTAAATAATATCAAGACAAAAACATAAGTTGTTGGTTATTAATAATAAATTGCATTAAGCACCTAATAGATAGACTCAATAATTGCCTCACAAAAAAGTTGCTGTTAAAATTTTTTAAATATATTTTAAAAAGTAAACTTTGTTACTATTATATTATTTTATTTAATCATTTTTTTTTAATTCCTAGTCATTTAACTTAAATTAAAATCTAAAGCTATTTAGTTTAATCACAGTTTTAAAAAAAATCAAAACAGGAACACAAATTTTAAAAAAAGAACTGGTCAAAAATGAACAGCAAGCTAATGTTTGAAATTTTACTTGATGAAGGGTCAGGATAGTAATATTTATATCCACCACTCTTTGAGTATGAAATATGTTGCATAACTTTTCCATTAGGATCTGAAAGCAATCAATGTTCAAATTAACTTACTTGGTTCAACATCAGAATAAAAATATTTGTACTGTCTGTTACCCATTTTGTTGTATATGTTCTCCATCACTACACCATCAACATCTAAAAGTCAAGTCAAAGGTTAGATTATTTGTCTTTTTATCATATAAAATTATAACATTTTTCTTGAAAAAAGAATATATAGTATACAACTTGTTTAAAAGGTTTATAAAGACTTTCTACAAAATAAACTTGCAAAGCAATGATTAAAATTAATTTACCCAAAAACAGAATTCTAGGATAATAAGCACCATCCGGACGGAAGTCTACACTTTTTGGTTCATCATCATCCTAAAGCAAAAGTATTATTTTTAAATTTTGATAACATGTAATTGTTAACATTTAAAGGACAAAAAGTATATCTATAGAAAAATGATAAAAAGCGATAATCTGGTTTACCTCCAGATTGACCATAATAAAATTACTGCTAAACTTTTCAATATCTTGATTGCTGGCAAACTTGGGTCTCAATGCTGAAAGACAAAAACAAAAAATGACACTGTTTCTGAAAATCTGCAGCACTGCAAGAAAAAGTCATTCATTTTTTTTTTAAAATCCCCACATTAACAACATTTATGACAGTTATATTTTTTACGAGTTTGACATTTTACAAAAACTACTAAGAAGCATTACCTTTACAGGCTCTGCACCAGGTTTTGGTTATGACAACCATAGTTGGCTTCTTCCTGAAAGTGACATTTTATATAAGTAAACAGTTGAAATCATACATGAGTGATAACTTACAGTTCAGCTGTACTAAAATTTAAACTTCAACCAAAAATCAGTAAAATGTTTAAAATATATAAAACTTTGTACTGCAATAAAAACAAACCAGAAACAAACAAAAATTGGTATGTTTATCAAATCTTGTTAAGTAATCAAAACACAAAAACGTATATCAACATTTGGACTTACTCCTCCTTTGACATTCGTTGAGCTTCCCTTAGTGACACCCAGTGAATATTTTTACCCCATGCTGAAAAAATTCAAATAAATACAAATATACTTTTGTATAGAAAGATGTTTCATTTTAACTGAAATGCATGAAAAAAAATGATACTTTAAAATTAAGATTTCACTTCTAGTTACCGCTTGATTTTTCCTTCTAGACTATCACAATAATTTGTTTGCTGGTGATGCTGATGGTGTCATATTAAGTTCAGTGCTTGGGTCAGGTTAGTGTCATAGGAAGGATTATGGCTGAGTTTAGGCTAGCAACTTTTAAAAACCAAGTGGGAAAATAAACCTATGCTATATTGCTTTGCACAATTGGCATTTTAAAAGTTTGTTTCATTAAAATATTAAGCTGAAGAATAGTTTCAGTTCCATGATTTCCATGTTTTAATTACTTTTTGAGGCATAGGGATTTATAATTAACCATACCAAATCAATAAGCTAAGATGTTAGGGTAATCTTCAATTTGATAAAGTTGAAGTGGATCTGGCTCTCCCACTTAATATAATCACATCCAAATTACTGCTCAAATGTCAACTAATTCCAAGTCACCAATAAGGAATTAGGGATGGTGTGGCCTAGAGGTAGAATGCTAGACTGGTAAGCTGAAAGTTTTTATGAACTCTATTTATCTGCCACATGTGTCTTAGGCACAAGCTTGAAAAGATTATGATGAATAAGGAGTTAGCGTTCTTGATGAACAAAGGCTCTATGCCTAAGCAATCTAAGCAAAAGCCTATAAAATACATATGCTGGAACTGAAGTTTAGTCTTATTGTATTTGGCTTATTGTACTGTGTTTTGAAAAAAGGCAATACTTAAAAAACAAAATTTATTACCTCACTAAAATGACCTGTATGGCAAAATGTCTCTAGTAAGGTCCAACATATGTTAGCTAAGGTCTAGGATTCTTCTGCCATGGTTTACCGAGTCTTAATCTTAAGGGCACCATGTGTTAATCGTCAGGCTACAAATAATACTTTACTTTTCTGATCACCATCAGGGCAATACAACTTTGAAAAAACTTTAACTAGGTTACAATGTCTCTAAGGGTTTGTGGTCAAATCTGTAGCTAAATTTCAACCAACTCATCAGATACTAAATTAGTCATTAAAAATTAATTTAAAAAGATATTCAATATGAAAAAAGGAGATAATCATCATTCTATCCTTTGGGTTATTTGACAGGAGTTGTGTTCAAGGATGTTATTAGACTATATATTACTACTATATAATCTATAAGAATTACAGCTTTGAATAAAGGGCAGAAATTTGTAATTTAATATTTAAGGGTTAAGATTGCAAACTGATTGGGAGTGGAGAGAATAAATATTATAAGCCAACTAATTGTTTTTACTAGCTTAAAATTATCCACTTACTATTTTAATTTTTAAAAGTCATAACTTATGAACACTAGAAAAAAAAACCTTTATTGATCTTATAATGAAATTTTAGCGACCAATGCTTCTACTGAAGAAGGATCTGTTTTATTTAATTTTTAGTTCTTTTAAAAGGTTTTTACATTCGTTTTATTTTTCCTGATATTTCATTTCATGTTTAGTATAGTAATATCAAAATAAAAATAACTTTACACAGATCTATTTATAAAAACTATCAATTAACTACAAGAGTTAGCAACCTATTTTGAGTATAGGTAGATCGAGAACTTTTCAATGAATTATAGCTGCTAAGAATTTGTCATTGAAATATACTATATAGATCTAAGCACTGATACTTATATTTAATTGGTTCTTATTAAAACACTGGTAGAACTATTATTACAGTCATTACAATATTCAATGGATGTTTTCATTAGCTAGAAAATAATGGATAGGAATAGTCACGTGTTACTGTAAAATTAGTTAGGGTTTACAGTTACAGCAATGCTACTGCTAGCTAAAACTTTAAAAAAAAACAGTGTTATTTAACTTGCTTATCTTTTCTCAATAAAGTAGGCAGGCCTATACATATGCCCTATCTAGATCTATACCAAAGTCCAAACCGTTACAATGTGTAACAAAACAACTCAAAATAGTTTTTTTACTTAATACTTATCTTATGGAGTAGTCCATGGTTGGACACTGGTAAATGTAGCCTAATACTCCTCTACGCAATACTATAGTCACTATAGTGACAAGGTCTAGATATAGTCTACATCTAGATTCTAGTCTAAATATTAAATATAGATTTCCAGTCTAGATCTAGATTCTAGTAGAATCTAGATCTAGACTAGATTAGATCTAGATTCTAGTATACTTGTAGTACTAGTAGACAGTCAGTTACTAAAGCTGTAGGACTGTAGACATAGAGTGTAGACTGTGTAACTGTAGATCAGATCCAGAGTAGATCTAGATTCTAGATCTAGATATGATTTAGGCATAGATCTAGATCTAGTTAACTTAACTATCATTTAGATCTAGATCTAGTTAATTTAGTATTTAGATCTAGACTAGTACCTTACTTAATTATTAATACTTAACAGACTAGATCTAGATCTAGACTCTAGAAAACTCTAGATCTAGAATCTCTAGACTAGATCTAGATCTTGTCTAGATCTAACAACTAACACTAACAGCCAACGGGAGCTAGATCTAGTGACATCGAATTAATAAATAAATAATATCTACTGAATCTAGGACTAGATCTAAATCTACTCACTTTCTGCTGCTGCTGCCAAACTGCCGAGAAGTGTTGATGCTGCAAACATAAAAAACGGTGCCATTGTTGCTGTCAGACGTGTTGATTGTCAGATTCGTTCAAAAGTGACACGTTGTATTTCTTGTTTGATAACTACTGCAAGTTTATCGACCTGATTAGAAGAATAGTGTGAGAAGTATCCTACGGCGGTGGTGTAGTTTAAAAGTATTGAACTAAAGAATGTGTAAAGCGAATGTCAGTCTGCTCAGCTGTTACTAGCCTGTAGTGTTACTTTCAACACATTGCTGTTTCTATGGAAAACTTTGGTTGCGAAAATGTTGCGGTTTAAGAACCGTGACGTCATATAAGGTTGCAATCGTGCGCTTAGGTGTCTTCTTTTTAAATACCGAAAATTTTAAAAAGCAATAAACATTCATTTGATCTGTTTTAGATTCTAGAAAGATAGATAGAGACATTAGAGGCCTTTATTCTGAAAACCTCTTAGGATCACTGATCTAGAATCCACAAATATTATAAAGTAGGCCTATAAACTATAGGGCCTAAACACATTTTATCATTAGATCAACAAAATATAAATAACTATCGTACCCGTTGCCGCGGGAATAGAAGAGAGTCTGACGAAATATATAAGAAGGGTTTCATCCATGCGTTACTAATCATATATTCTTAGAATCGTGACCTTGTTTTCTAAAATTGAGTTATTTAAATGTAAACAATGTCTGCGCTTGGATCATAAATATCGGGACACGGGTTTACCTACACTACCGCATGAAAACATTGAGTGTACATTAATCACTCACCGAAATAATGAGGTAGAACACACTTCGCTGACCGCCCATGTTTCAGGGAAAGTCTACCGCCCCCCCCCCCCCCAACTAGATGGATTTTATATAGTAATCATATACTTTTACTAGTGTCCTCCCCCCCCCCGAAAAATATTGACACCCCCCCCCCCCGAAAAATTCAAGTGCCCCCCCCCCCCCCCCCTGAGAAAAAAGTCTGGAAGAAACACTGGTCTCCACTCTCCCCCACTTTCTCCCTCCACTTTCGACAACGTAGCTTCGAACATGTCTTGTCTTAGTTTTTATAAGGAACCTTCTAGTTATTTTATACCCTAGTAGAGCGTCCTATTACGAAGGGATATAATATAACTTATTTGGCCCTATGTCTAATAATATAAGCCTAGGCCCAAGTAAAGTTTGTTAAGAAGCTCGCCTAGGTATACGTGACATTGATAACAAATGAAGTGTCGATCGAGATTCTATTGGTTAAATAGACACGCCTTCGCGTGACCTTAAAGAAATTATGTTAGGGAGTAATACATTATGAGTATCCACTGTATATAAATGACACATCCATTATATTGCAAAAAAGATGTATTTCTATAGAAAAGGTTATAGTTTATCTTTTAAAATCAACCATTTATGCGTTTCTTTGTCAATAAAATATAATTAACAAATATGAAGGAAAAAAATTGTTAAAAAAAACGTTTTACTTTTAAGTTACGCATGCGCAAAAACAATAACAAAGACACGTTCCTTGAAATCAAGTATGTCATACTCAGGGTCATAGTTCGTTTTTCCAAGCAGTGGTCACGTATTTAGAATCAAAACATTGAGCCACAGTGCTGCGTTTATGGTTTTGTCCTATCTCTGGCATCAATAAATATTGAAAAAAACAACCTTAAAATGATAAGCGTAACCGCTTCCTTGCGCGCAGCCGTACCATCACTTCTATTTGCAAACCTGCAAAATGTCACGAAAAAAGCAGCTATAATAAACATTGGTACAAAACTATTTAGCTCCTGTACTAAAAGACAAAATAATCAAAGTTTGCAAGAAAACTCTAAAAAGCAATTATTGAAATTATCGGCAACTAGGATAAAAATGGATCGTCACTGTTGTTCACATTCCGGCCTCTTTGGTAATGACTTAATCTTTAGACAGGTAAGTGATAATATTAATTTATTAATTACAATTAGGCCTACTAATTTAAATTTAGTAGCCTAATAATTAGGGCCTATTATTGCCTATTAAAATTTAATACAAATTATTAGGCCTAGCCTAATAATAAAAAAAATAATAATAATATAGGCCTAATTAAAATTATTATTATTAATAATTAGCCTATTAATAATATAATTAATAATATTAATTAGTAATTAGGCCTAATAGGCCTAATTAATTAGGAATTATTAGGCCTAATTAAATAGTTATATTAGGCCTAAAATATATTAGAGGCCTAGATCTATATTCTATAACTTGCTGCAATGAAGTTAGTAGGCAAACTGTTAATTGCAATAATTATTAATTAGGCCTAACTTAACTATTTATTTACTAATCAATAATTTATTTTCATTAGGCCTAACCTAATAAAATTTGAAAGGTTTGGGGATGTGTGGCTGTAAGTGTGGATTCATGCGAGTGTGAGAAGGGGGAGGCTTTTGTGACTAAGAAGAAAAGAAATTAAAGATTAAAAGTAAAAGTATGTGTGTTTATGGATGTCTCTTTTAGATCTGAGTTTGATATAGAATAGATAGTTAATTTTAATTAGCCAAGTTAATCATATCAGATATAATACATTTACAAGCCTGAAAACTGAAAAGCCTGTAGAGATCTAGAACTAGTCTAGATCTAGATATCTAGATCAAGTTAAAGGCAGAGAAGGCTCTCTCTGGTTATATACTCTGTCTGTTGGAATAAAAGAGCTCTGCATGTTTCTTTTGGCTACCCCTGTTTTCTCTTGCCGTGTGATGGTGTCCTGAGAGCATAATCATTTTTTTTGTCCAGAGCATAGGGCCTCTATATAAGCTTTCCAGTCCAGTATTCACAGTATCCTGCCACTCTTTTCACCTGTTCCCAATTCCTTCCTATCCTTTCGGCCTCCTCCAGCATGCTACATAGTTATGTCTTTCTAGGTCAACCCCAGTGTCGCTTGCCTTTGGGTTTCCAGTTTCCACTCCAAAGCTTGTCTGGCTTTATTGCTTGCATCTTTCTTCAGGGTGTGCCGGATCAATGGCCATTTCCCCTACTTAATTTACTTTTTATTGTTTCATGTTTATACATCTCCCCCAGTTTAGTGCTTTTTAGTTATTCTTACCATGTTAATTTGTATATACTCCTTGGGCACCTGTTGTGAATGGTATTTCAGTGTAATGCATGGGTATGAGAGTATGTGTGCTGTGGAATGTTTTATATTAATAAAAGATTCTGAACGTGACAAGGCATTTTAGGATGTGACATGAGAGAGTAAGATTTTGTTGTTAGGGAAAACAGTTTAGATCAGTCTTCGTCCTGATATTTTAGTGGGTAGATGTGTTCGTTTGTCATCGTAGATAAAGTCATTTCTTGTAACAGTTGAGTGCAATAAATGATAATAAGTGAACTAATGCCGTTGTGTCCTTGATTTATATTGGATCGTCATCTCTGCATGTTGTCCTTCAAGCGTCGACCCTGTCCTCACTTCGTAACAGAACTTAATTATACAAATTTGGATTCTTTTTGTTGTTGACTCGTTTTGCTTCTTCCATCCAAGACAGTGGTTTTTTCCATGGACATGTCCGCCTATCACAAAACCACAAAATTTTGGTCCATCTAAGAGCAATCTTAGCCAATAAGTCTGCTCTCATTGGCCCAACCATCTCAATCTTCTGTTTGGTGTAGAAAATGTTACTAATTTAATTTATCATTTGTTTTGATGATTATAAAATATTTATCAATTGCAATGTAATCCATTTATTTATATTACTCTCAACTAGTTTATAATATTTTAAAATAGTGTATGTGCTAAACTCTACTTAACTGTCTCCTAATGCCAAGTACTGTAACAGAACATATTTTGTTTCAGTCATTGCTATATGCACACAAAATATGTACTACTAGAGATAGAACACTTTTTTTTTGTAGCACCTTGACCTTGGCCTAGTATTAATATCCAAAAACTGGTTGGGCTCTATTGATTCAAAACTTCCTTTACAGCTTGCTCCATTTCTATTTATAAATTAAACTGTAAGAACTAAATATGTTACACTAGGGGGTAATATTTAGATGTAAGGTACAAATGAAACATTAAGAGAGGAGATACAACTGGTAATATATATTCTGGTTCTTAATACCTTTTTTACTGTAAGAAAGAAAAACAGATTTTTGGTTGGTAAAACTTGATTGCTATAATAACTTGTTAGTCTGATGTTTTTATACCAGTCATCATCATTGATGTCTTCAAGTTTGTGATAGTAATAGTTGATTTTATCAAATAATTCTATCATTAAGTTAACACAGTTTACAACAAGTTTCGATACATCATCATACAAGAAATTTTTACAATTAATTACTTTAAATAAAGAAGTTTTCTTTAACATGTATGTTAAGTTTAAGGTGTACTTGTTTTTCATCAGCTTTTAGAGTACAAATCCTACACATACACCTACCTGTTAGCAGACAAAGTGAGCTTAGATGCTGTTATCATAGATCCTGTAATTGAGACTGTTGACAGAGATGTGCGACTGGTTCGTGACCTGGGTCTCAACCTGCTTTATGCTAGTGAGTTAGTTTTTTCATACAACAGTCATTATTTCATCCATATTGTATATTAAAGACTAAATGTTTTAAATCAACAAGAAAGGTATGCAAGTGCATTTTTGGTTTTTTAAGTGTGTGAGTTTATCCTATTCACCTATGTTTTCCTCCTCTTGACATTTTAATTTAAAGACCATAAAAATAATTACATTTCTGGATAGATATCTCTTGTTTACAGCTATTATAAACTCAAGCTTTCGCATATTAGTCAGGCAGACTGGTACAGTTGGACGAATCAAACATTTCTCTCTCTCATGTTACCAGCCACCAGACACTTATTTTCCACCATGCTTTTACTTCCTACCCCAGTGCACTGCACCACTTGATACAGACATATGGGGTGGTTCAGTCTGGGTAGGACCTAGGGTCTCAAGCCTTAATACCATACTTGTGACTATTGGGTCAGTAAGGGCATGGTCTATACCTAAACCAAGCTATCCACATGGTTATATATTATATAACATTATATTATTTCACTGCATACACATTTCTATTTTGAGTACTTCAGTCATTTTTTCTAGGATTGAGATTTTTTTTGTAATTTGTTGTTTCTTATAAGTGTATGTGTTTTGTTTGCTGACTTCAAAAACCAATTTACATGCTAATTTTTTTTGCAGTAAACACACATGTACATGCAGACCATATAACAGGAAGTGGCCAGATAAGAAATCGTATTCCAACTTGTAAAAGTGTCATTGCTGAAGTCAGCAAAGCAAAAGCAGATGTTCATGTAAAAGAAGGGGATCACCTTAAATTTGGAAAGTTTGAACTTGAAGTTCGCAGTACACCTGGACATACAGATGGTATGTGTTGTGCTGCTTTGTGTTCAAAATAATGCATTAAAAAAAAATTATCATGACTGATTTAAAAACAACTATGTTTCAAAAGTAAAATATTTAAAATATCTGTTTTGTTTTCTCTTGAGAAAAAATATAATGACCCTTAGTTTGGATGAGATTACCACAGTGGGTTCTCCTCAAATATTTCAGGATGCTTGTCTTTTGTTTTGCACGACAAGTCAATGGTGTTCACAGGAGATGCTTTGCTCATCCGAGGATGTGGGCGTACAGATTTCCAGCAAGGTAAATCTTGGTTTGGGTGGTTCTGTTAAATTGTAGTCTTAATTATTTTGGCAGAACTGGAAATTATCTTTATCAGACCTCTCCCCCTAAACCTCTTTCTTTGTGTACCAGGAAGTAGCCTGCATTATGAATAGCTGTATAGCAGAACCTGTTTGTGTATTACAACTATGATTTTGCCAAATTATGCAAGTCCATTGCTGTATCAGTGTGTTCTTTTTTATTTTATAAATATGAACACAGTTGTTTTTTTTTTTACAGGGAGCGCATCCACTCTGTATGACTCTGTTCACAAGAAGATCCTCTCCCTGCCTAAAAATTTCATGATCTTTCCTGGACATGACTACACTGGTAGGTTTAAAACATTAAGATACTTTGTTTAAACAGAGGTACAACTTTGATTGAAACCTTAATTTACTGAATGGCTAGCTAATGTTTTCATCACAATTGCTATAAATATTTTCGTTCTTACTGGGAACACTGCTTAAGTCTTTCTGAGCATAATTTTTCCAATGTAACTTTTATTAAGGTCAAACCATGTCAACTGTTGACGAGGAGCTGAGGTTCAACCACAGGTTAACACGATCTAAGAGCGAGTTTATCAAAATAATGAAAGAGCTTAATCTACCATACCCTTCACAAATAGGTCAGTTCCATCTCTTTTGTTATGAGTTGTGCTAAACATCTTTTCCCGTAACCAGTTCTCACCTTGTTACATTTTCTGTATTAGCTTTCCTTGTTTGATTTTATTAATTTGACAATTGATCTTCACTTAACTTTGTTAATGAAGTTGTTTTTTTTTTTCAGAGAAAGCTTTACCCGCCAACATGGTTTGTGGCTTGTATGAAGTGCCCAATTGAGGAAATATATTTAAGAAAAAAAAGGATCTCTCTCTTCATCTCATTGTCTACAACAAAATTTTTATGAAATTATGATTATATTTTCCGATTAGTATGCCATTATAGTTGAACTGTATATGTTTCCATAGTTAACATTTCCCAAATGCTTTCATATGCTTGTATTGAATATTGTGTTGTATTTTTTTTTATTTTACAAGGTTAAAATTTCAAGCTTTGTTTTTTTTTTCTCATATTGGTATGTTGAAAATACAATTTGCTTTATTTATTATGTGATTTATCACAAAAGATTATTTAAAATTTTTTACTTTCCATAAAAAATTAAACAAAAAAAAAACCAGGGAGTTGAGCTGTCTACATGACTGATATTGTTTTGTGCCAAAATAATCTTTGATTTGGCTTATCCGTTTGATTTATGTTTTTGAAAATCTTTTACTATTATGTAGTGTTCACAAAAACAATATTTTTTTCTAATTTATAGCCTTGTTGCTTTATCTGAAATATTATCTGTAAATAAGGGCTATAAGGTTTGTTAGGTATTTGTCCTATTGTTGAATACTAATAAGAGGTTATGATCAAATTTTAATTCAATTTTTTTCCATACTTAAATAGAATTTTAATATATTTTCTCTTTTGATTAATAAGTTTTCAACTAAGATATTTTTTGTATATTTATGCCACTTTATTCCTCATATGTTATGGTACTTTTAAATAAAATGGTAGTTTTGTCTATAAATACAACTACTCTTTTTAAGTTAGTTAGTGTATACTTCATATTTAATTAGAGGAAAAAAATCTTGCACTCATTTGTAAATATGTTTCTTAGTGTATGTGTAAATGTAAATAAAATTTTATCATTGAGCTAGTTAAAGTTTCCTTTTTTTAGTTTATATTTCCAATGAAAATTTAATTTTTTAATCCATTAATTTTACAAGTGCTTTAAAGGGCTAACGGTAGACCTAAATGACGTCACACTCGTAGGGGGGAAGGGGGGTCCGTAATGTTGGAGGGGTGTGTGATGAGGGGAGGGGAGGCAGATGGTCTGACGTCAATATTATAAAAAAAGCAATGTTAGAAAACGAATTTAGCCATTATTTCGCTTTTTAGAAAACTGCTTTAATAAATCTTAATAGGAATTGATTAAAAACTCTGTTGACAGAGTTCAGACAAGATTTTGGAAAAAAATATGGTATTAAAGAAAAATTCAACTTCAATTTTGAGGGGGGTTGTAGGCTAAGGTGTGACTTCATTTTAGGGGTGGGGTGACTTTTTGTGACGTAGGGGAGGTAAAAATCGTCCAAAAAAGCGTGACGCCATTTATGTGTATATTGATCACTTTCCAGTACAATTTACAATAAAAAATTCGTTAAAAACCCCAAAATAACGGCTAATGTATCATTACTTTTTAAACTGCAAAAGTGTGTTGCCATACTTTCTGAACCCTTTAACTGTCCCTCGTCACACATTCTCACAATAATCCGACCCCTAAGAATGTGCTGTCGTTTGCGACCCTTGCTCCAGAGTCCTCTATCCAGAGCCATTTTCTCAACTGGCGTCAGGTGTAGCCCATACAATCTATGGCGCTTTGTCTGGCCTCAGGTGTAGCCCATAGTCTCTATGACGCTTTGTCTGGCCTCAGGTGTAGCCCATAGTCTCTATGACGCGGTGTCTGGCCTCAGGTGTAGCCCATAGGCTCTATGACGCTTTGTCTGGCCTCAGGTGTAGCCCATAGGCTCTATGACGCTTTGTCTGGCGTCAGGTGTAGCCCATAGGCTCTATGGCGCTTTGTCTGGCCTCAGGTGTAGCCCATAGGCTCTATGACGCTTTGTCTGGCGTCAGGTGTAGCCCATAGGCTCTATGGCGCTTTGTCTGGCCTCAGGTGTAGCCCATAGGCTCTATGACGCGGTGTCTGGCTTCAGGTGTAGCCCATAGGCTCTATGACGCGGTGTCTGGCCTCAGGTGTAGCTCATAGTCTCTATGACGCGGTGTCTGGCCTCAGGTGTAGCCCATAGGCTCTATGACGCGGTGTCTGGCCTCAGGTGTAGCCCATAGGCTCTATGACGCGGTGTCTGGCTTCAGGTGTAGCCCATAGGCTCTATGACGCTTTGTCTGGCCTCAGGTGTAGCCCATAGTCTCTATGACGCGGTGTCTGGCCTCAGGTGTAGCCCATAGTCTCTATGACGCTTTGTCTGGCCTCGACGTCAGATGTTTCTTTTTGCGTTTTCCTTGCGGGCTTCCGTCTTATCTTAGTGCCAGCATTGTGATACTGGTTGGCGGTTTTTGGCTTCCACCACTCCCATCATATCACACATAATGAAGATCCTTCTACTCTACGGACAGAACTTATGGCTTGTTTGTAACTAGTTTTGTTTCACGTGGACCTCTAGTGGAGCATAGGAACAGGGGGGGGGGAACTAAAATTTTCTATATAAATTCCATTCTGTTCGGGGAGGGGGTGCGGGCAGAGACCCCCCCCCCCCCCCCCCAAAGAGATGTCTGGAAGAAACTCTGCATAGAAACGCAACCACACCTCTCCATCGTTCTCGGTTCCGTGCGATTCCTCCAAGTTGGGCCCACGATATTCCAGCTCCTTCTGCTTCTCCAAGTTGGTTTTGGCCTACCAACTTTCCTTGGGGATTCCAATCTAGTGCCTGTTTTACAGGTCCGGGTAGTTATAATTGCTTTTTAAAATCTAATAATAGATCGGGAAAAACAAAGTGAACGTACGAAGACGTTTAAAGCATTTGTTGAACAAGTCTTTAAGCCTCGGAGAAAATGTGTCCAGCATGAGACTACCTATATAGACAGCTGATGAGGTCAACGTAAGAAGGACAGGTTTATGACATCCAAAAATGACCGTAAGTACAAATGTTGACATAAGATTTTATTTCATCTCGATAAATTTGATACTCATGTAATGTGGTATGTGGGTAAATAGCAATTGGGATATAGATCTAAAGCTGATTCGGATGCTTCTCATTTGGCAAATAGGGGCAATAGGCAATGGCTACTCAATGGCAGTAACTATTAAATCGCTGTTTTAATGTATTGATATTAATCGATAACAGCAAAAATATCGTCGATATTGAATAGCCATGTAGGAGATATTATTTTATTTGAAGGCTTCCATTTCTTCAATGGTGATGAATCGTCTTTAAAAAGGGGCTTTTCTTTATGTAAAGCGGTTTTAATTTGTCTAGTCAATATCGTGTTTTCAGACAAGATCTCGATCTATAGCTATGCCGTCTATTGATGCCATATAACGTATAATAGCCTTGTATAATTATTTTTTAAAATTGCTTTACGATTTGCATCATTCATTCAAAATCACAGGGAGTTCAACTATCGTCGAAAACTTTGGAAAATAACACATTGATAAGCTTCATGGGCAAAACAAGACAATTTATTCCCCACAATCCCCCAACAATACACCAAAGGGAAATAAGCGGAAGGAAAAGGATTGACCTGCCCCCGTTTTATTTCGCCAATCACCACCAGGTGCGATGTTTTGTTTCTCTCTATATGCAATGAAATATTCTTCATTAATGTTCTAATACTGAATACCTTCCTAAGTAGTGGCGAGTAGTAGTATCATTAGCTAGTGAGACAGGCTTTTAAACATAGTTCGGTCACATGAATCGATTTGTTTGCATTGTAAAATGGTCGTTCATTAACAACTTCACGCTTTTATAACGATTTTTACTGCTTCTTTCAGAACGTTACCCCTCCCCCCCTTTAAAAATGTTGTCACCACCACCATCTTCCTAAAATATGTTCTGAACCTGGTCAACATTCAGTATGTTGATCCATTTTAGTCACAACTAGCGAAAAAGTCTTTTAAAACGCGAAATAACTGTTAAAATTCAGTTTAAAAAAAAAATTGTACAATTCGAGTGTGCCATCACATTTTTGACCCCCCCCCCTTTGTTGTCACAAAATTCCGACCCTCCACTACCTAGGCGTGTGACCCTAATTTAAAAGGACAAAAATCAACGCTGTAGGCCTATCTAAGGTTATTCTAACCTTAAGCGCATTGCGCTGATTCCAAAAGTGTTCTTAAACGCGTAATCCACTACCATGCATCTAACTATTCTAGCAATTATCTTAAGGAGACTTAACCAAAATCCATACTCTAAACCTAACTCTGATCCCCAACAGCGATACCGACGTAGATAAACTCAATACTGACTAATGCATTGCCCACTGGCATTTTTCCCCTTAATAAAACCCTCTAGATCTACGAGAGACAACTTTGAATGTATAGATATGTGCCTAAATGTAACCTAATTATGTAAAATTACGAAACTTCAAGCAATAAATTCACGGCAATCTACCCACTAAACTATTCAGGTAGCAGAATGGACAGAGGCTGTAGGCCTCGGCCATTTCTCTTCCTTTATCCGCCATCACCTGATCAACGGGAGGAAACTCTTGACACTAGACGCCCTGCAACTACAGCGGCTTGGTTGTGAGGACATGGCGGAGAACTTGAAGCTGGAGGCGTCTATAAAGTACGCACACAACTTGTTTTGTCTTAGTACTAAACGGGTCATCTATATACCACGTCCACACGGAAGATGGAATGTCCATTACAGTTAGCTTTGTCCATATCAGATCCACAGAGACGTCCATATGAATTTAAAATCAAAATACGTAATAATTCCTCTATGGTACTACCAGTAGGCAGTGTTTCTTCCAGACTTTTTTCTCCCGGGGGGGGGGGGGGGGCGACTAATATAAAGTTAAAAGTATATATTTTCTATATAAATTCCATTTCGTTGAGGGGGAGGGGGGCAGAGCCCCCTAAGAGATGCATGGAAGAAACTCTACCAGTAAGCCTATGCATAAATGCAATTTACAACAAAACTCGTTTCATATTAATCTCCACTGACTAATTGTTTTTTCCTCCCCTGGCTAGAGATCTGAGCCAAGCTTTGCGACACCACAGCAGCAGTTATGACGTGCTGCCATACTTCTACACCCAGTCCCTCAACTCCGGTCGGATGCCACCCAGACGTTACCACAGGGAACTCTTCCAGTTCACAGACCCCTGGCTCACGGAGACGTACAAGTTCGTCAACATAAGCGGGAACGACCTTCACCCGAGGGTCAAGGAACGATTTCCTAGAAAATACTATAGCAACAGTAGATCAGACCATAGCCTGTAGGCTAACAACATGGAATGGAAAGCGGTTACAGTTTTTAAAAAAAAAATAGTTTCCGTAAACTTAAATCACATTGGAGGTGTGAAATCTGGAAAAAAATAAACATTATTCGGGTCTATTCTTCGTCCGTTCACTTTTCAAATACCGATTTTCAACTGTCTTGACTGTTTGCCGTTGTCAGCATGTTTTTCTATACAAGCTACTGTACAACTGTACAAACAGTATGAATAATCAATACTGTGTCTTTTTAAACAGGCATTGTTAGAATGAGTAAAATGGACAGTTATTTAGGCAAAAAAAAAAAAACCTTTTTTTTTACAGACTCAAGAATGGTGATATCTTTTAAATCAAGTTGATCACACAAGAATAAAATGTAATTAAAATACTGGCATAGATTAAACTCTATGGATTTCAGTTGAACTCAACATCAAAGCAAACACAATGAGAATTATTTGAATGTTTTAATCAACTGAATTTGAGTACAGAATGAAAGTGAGTACATCACACTAAGCTTATCTCCTAACAAGAATTATTACAAAATCTGTTCCAATACCAAGGTCAGGATTTGAAGTTGAAATATATATTATATTGCAATTTGTTGGTAGAAAACCTGATTGCATAGAACAGATTGCTGGTATTAATTTTATAAAAAACAAAAAAAATCTTCCAAGTCACATAATAATTTCTTATTAACATGGATTTTGAAAAATGTAACCAGACATTTTAATTGAACAAGCTTTTAGTTATTACATTAGTCTTTTATGTGATGTAACATACAACCATGGTAGAGTATTTAGGACGGAAATTGCAATGTTTCATTACTAACTCATTTACCTTTTGTGAGAAAAGAACATTCCCTTTTAGAACTTTTAACTGCCAATACTGCAAAACAGCAATAAAAATCAATTTTCTAATCCATATGTTAATAATCACCATTTTTAACTGGACAGAGAAATGGGTTATTGCTGTTTATGTATGTATTGTGTCAGATAATTTCTATATTTGCTTTTAATTTGCATATATTTACAAACATATCACATGATTCTTACATATCACTTTCCCATGCCTTGTAAAATAAATAAACAATGTGGTACTAAGCATGGTTGAAAAACTTCCAAAAATACTATAGTATTAATAAGTTGACTGTAAAATTTTCTAAAGAAATTAAATGGTGAAAGAAACATTTATATACAAGTTATATGTGAAATTCATATAAATATTTGTAAATAAATTTTTGCTTTGTATAAATACTGTCAAATGTTATCAGAATGTACAAGTAAACTTAAATACCCTTGGGTTAACTTTTCCAACCAAGGGCCAGTAACTACCAAATCACAAGATATCAAACAACACCCATCAGCAGTTTTGGAAATTAATGGTTCCTCATTCACCATAACACACTAGAGATTTTCCCCTTAAATTAAAAAAAAATAAAAACATATTAAAAATATTACAGTGATTACTAAAACTGGAAACTCAAAATGATATGTATTACAAGTTTATAAAAAAATTGTAATAAAAAGTAACTGAACACAATAGCGTTAATTGAATGTACTAATTAATGGACAAATCCTTTAGCTAAATGGAACACAGCATTTAAGTTAACAAGATTGACATTGTCTCCAATTTATTTCAGAATTTTATGTTTTGATAAGGGTTCTTTGACCTGTAAAATTTGAAATCTCGATTCTAATCTTGGTCAAAAATTTAAAAGTGCAGCTACGCATTAAAATATATTATCTTGTTTCTACAAGGGACAATAGGTTAAGTTGACATGTACACTATCTATTAAAACTGCACTTAGCAAAGCATCTTTTTTTAACCATTGGTATCTTTTCTGTCACTTGTCACAGTACAGGCCAAAGACTGCAATTAATTTTGTCTTTATTTAAACAAACACTGCTTTACTTTGGATAAAAACTTGATGATAGCAGCAATAACTATATTTCTTTATCTCTGAGTCAGCTAAGGAAGTACTAAATTAAAAAGCAATTTTTCTAAATCTATAACTTTTCTCTATTAACTAGTTTTAAAATAATGTTCACTGTTTATGTACAAAGGTTGTGATTGATGCAGCTCCTCTAGACTGAAAAACACTGATCAAAGGCTTATTCATGGATCTTTACAATGTTTTACAACCCACACCTGAGAATTCCACCAAAGAAAAGTTTACTGTTACCATTGATGAATCATTCATCAAAGCATCTACACCACAGTGAAAATAAAATCAATTCAATACAATTTTAAAGTGATATTTTTCCACACAAATGAGAAGATAACAGAAGAGTTACAAATAGCTTTACTGTCCCTTATCAAAGTCACAAGATTTTTGTCATGTTTTTTCCTCCACTCTTGGTTAGTAGTGTCGATAGCCTCTCATCTCCTGTAGATGGTGAGTTCTTTGAGAAAGTGTCTTTGGTCGGAGTGGAGGAGATGGAGGGTAGTAGTACGGTTCTTCCATCATTCTTGGTGGTGTCATATAGTAAACCTGTTCTTGGGATTGGAAGTCCTCGTGTGGGTGCACTAGTCAAGATTTGCGTTGAATAGCAGCCAAGCTACTGGAAGATATCGTGCCATAAGCCTGAGAATAGCTACCAAATACAGCTTTGGGTGCGCCTGCACTAGGATTATTAATGGCGTTGTTAAACTGTTTACGCCCAAAAACTGGCTTAGCCCTGGTATTGGTAGCAGAAATAGGACGCTGTCCAGGTACCTGAAAAGAAATACATAATAAATAATTTTTTTTCTGCTATAAGTCACCTTGATTTGATTTATAAAAACAACTGTCACAAAAAATATTAAGTTTGGTTTAATTTTTACTTATGGAAATCAAATAAATAATCTTACCATACGCGAACTGGCAACCATTAAACCATTTCCACCACGAGTTCTCTCGTCACGTGTAATTGTTGGGTTATTTTGAACACGCTGAGCAACTACAGATCTTCCTTGACCTCTCATTGCTGCAGGAGCTGATGTGTGCCTTCCCTTAAATGTAAGAGTTCATAATTAGGTGAATCGTTATACCTGAAAATGTGTATGTATGATACATGTATATAAATCATCAGCAAAAGGTAACAGTATAGTCATTTTACCCCATTCATTTGTGCTGCTTGAACATTTTCATAACTGTTCTGTCGAGCGATTGCTTTTTGTCGATGAGGTGCAGGTTGTGAAGGATCATGTACTGTACGACCAAAAGCTGAAAAGTAGGTTATCATTTTCTGGTAATTCATTTCTATTGATTTACAAGCATAGGCTTCTTTGGAAATAATGTGAAGAGAAGGTAAGAAAAGTAACCACATCTAGGTGATGTAAAAATATAAATAAATACCATGCAGACGGTCAGTTGCTCTTATTTGTTTTTGGTTTTATACAACTAAATTTTATTAGCACTTGTTCCATCAAACTAAACAGTACAATGCTATCAGCCAATGTCATGATAGGAAAAAAACTATAAAATAAGACTATCATATTATAAAAATCCTAACACTGTCTTTAATTGATCCTTTAAAAATATTTAACTGAAAAATGCACCTTTCTGACCTATAATACATTGATATGTTTAAACCTACCAGAATGATGATAGCCGGCTTGGTCTCCTATATGCCCATATTTTTGTGCTACTTGTGGCGAAGGGCGTTTGGGAGATGTGTGAACATTTTCATTGACTGGGTGTTCTGGAGGAAAATCAGGTGGATATTCATCTGTTTCTTCTTTTTGTAGCGCACTACTTTTTGCCTCTGCTTTTCTTCTCCTTCTTCGTTCAGCTTTTTTCTGCATTATCATCTGTCATTCAAAGTGGGCGGTATGGAATTAGATAAAATAAACTATTGCGACTGATAAAGGATAGACATCAAAAATTAAAAAATAGAAGCATAAAAGTAAGAAAAAAAGAAAACTGTGTCAGTGAATACCTCATATAATTTACTCCTGTACTCATCTACTGTTAACTGCACATCATCACTTAAAGGAGGAACAACATCAAAATTTAAACTGATTTCAGCACTAGCATTGTGAAACCTGAGAGAACAGTAAAGAGTTTTTTTAAGCTCTGTAACAAAACATAATAACACTCATCAATCATTAAATATTTGAAGTAAGATGTGCATTACATTTTTTTAAGCAAGTTTTACATTTAAACAATATTTTAAACAGTACTTTGTATTTTTAAAATATTCATGGTCAATTCTTTAGTAAATATGGTGCACTTTTTAAATTGGTCATAAAGAATTAGTAATTTTTAAAAACTAGCACAAGGGAAATATAATAATAGGGCTGATAAGTAGGTCACCAACCAGTTCTATGGCTCAATAAAACCTGCATGAGCCATAGAATTGATTGGTGACCTACGTACCAGCCCTATTGCCATCAAAGATAAGAATGCCATTTAAAATTATTACAATGTGTTGATAACTTCAAACAATATATAGAAAGAGGAAAATCAGAATTTCATGAACAAGCATGCTACTGTTTTCTTTTTGAAGAAATGTAGTTAGAAAAAAACCTTTGGACAAATGGATGCTGGAGGGCTTCTTCTGCTGTAATTCTTTTATCTGGGTTAAAGTGCAGAAGTTTTTTCATCAAATCAACTCCATCAGCTGGGGCATCAGGTAACATGTCATCAAAGGATTTTCTGTTTCTGGATTACAGAAAAAATAGTTTGAGTGCCTATACCAATTTGGCCTAGATGTTCAGTGTATCCAAAAGTAGTGAAGGAAAAAAACAACTACACATTCTTACCTCCCAGCTGTGGAAGCAGCCTTCTCAAGAACAGAAACTCCATACAATGTTTTTAAACTATCAATATCTACCAACATGGAAACAAAAACATATTGTTTAAAATAAAAAAAACATTGCAGTATTTTATAAAATGTTATTATCATGCAAATAAACAGAATTATTAATGAACAGTAAGCCTACTGCAATTTATTTAAGATAATGCACAAATTGTTAACTAAAAGATGACTGACCTGCTCTTGATGGTGTTGGTATAGAAGCCATAATTCTCTCTATTTGGTTTAATGTTGATGAGCCAGGGAAAACTGGCTTTCCTAACAACATTTCTCCCAGGATACATCCCAAACTCCACATATCTACTCCTTTGGTGTACCTACATATTTTTATTCAAATAGAAAGAATAAAATAAAAACCTTTTTTTAAGGAAACCTTAATTTTAAGGCAAGTCTTTTACTTCTATAGAGATTATTCCTATAAAAAATAACATTTTGTTTAAAAGTTTCAGTACTTCTTTACCTGTGTGATGCAAGTAATATTTCAGGAGCTCTATACCACCGTGTAGCAACATATTCAGTCAAGTTGGGATCGCCTGTCTCATCCATGGAGATCTGGGTTAATGACCTAGCTAACCCAAAGTCACACAATTTTACAACACATTCGCTGTCTAATAAAATGTTAGATGGCTGTGAATAGAAAAATTATGAATGAAAGAATTTTTAAAAGTGGTTCAAAATGTATTGTCATGTTTTAAAGTAAACAAACAGATTTTAGTAATGAGAGATACAACTTAATGATAACGTAATATACTTTATAAAAAAATGCTAGTACATGTGAGAAGCACATATGTATTTGTATTTTTCTAATGGATAGAATGTAAACTGATTTATAGCAAACAGAAACACGTAAAATTATTTTTTAAAGTTTCTACTATTGATAAATCAAACAGCATATGACACATTTAGCATAATTTGGGGGAGGATGAATATGAGAAGAGTTTTTTTGTTCTTATGTTTATGACTAATATAAAAAATACACATGCAGATAAGAAGTCTAATGGGCAGGTGGCATACTTCATATTGATAAATGTAAATGTTTGTTGATGTACCAATAGTCAAGAGTAATTTTAAAATAACTTTCATTAAAACATTACTCACTTTAAGATCTCTGTGAATAACATTTCCACTGTGCAGATACTTAGTGGATTTAAACAGCTGATACATTACATAACGTTTATGAACATCTTTCAAAATATTGCCCCTTTTGATAACATTGTGGAGGTCTGTCTCTAAATTAATCAAATCAGAAGAAAATGAATGGTGAAAAATTACAGCCAACAAAAAATTAGAAAATCTTTGGCAAGTCGTAAGGAGAAAAAGAAAATTTAATTATAATACTATAATAAAAACATAAAACCTACCCATGAACTCAAATACAAGATAGATATCCTTGTCATTTTCAGCTTTGATTACATTGTGCAGTTTTATTATATTAGGATGATCACCAAACTCTTGAAGGAACATAATCTCTCTGAATGTGCGCTGTTAAAAAAACATTAATGATGTTAGACAGCTGATTTTAAAATAAATTTACAAACTAAGCTCGTAATATAAATTTAAACAATGTACAAGGATTTCACCTGAGCATCTGTCTGATTTCTAAAAGCATCAAATATTTTCTTGACAGCCACCACTTCACCTGTTCTACGATCAATTGCTTTCCAGACAATTCCATATGCCTAAAAGAGTAAATAGTAACTTTTGGATTAGAGTATGGTCAGAAAGTGTCATTTAAGATAAAAATATTAGCTCATTTATAGCTAATATACTTGTCCTGTTGTGTCCATAAAAAAAATGATGTAATTTTTTTAAGTACCTCATTTTATATGATTAGGGACAAAGAAGTATCTCTATAAGCAACATAATAATTACAAGAAACTAAGCTCAATGAGGTTGAAATCCAATTATTTAATTTTTTGGATGCCAATTGTATTACTCTCATTGTCTGATATGATCTCTCAGATTTCTTGAAAAAGTGTTTAGATTTTCTGCAAATGTTTTAATGATTTTCAAGTAAAACATGTCAGAGATTCATTAGGAGACCAGCCTGTCATTGATTGTCAAACTTATTTAGGCCTACTAATATTTACTAACTAAGTTATTAGGCTACTAATATTAGACTTAGTCTTTTATAAATTTATTAGCTTATTAGGCTACTTTATTTAACTTAGTAGACTTCTTAGACCTACATCTGAAAGTTGTCAACTAAAATTACAATGAAGTAGGGCCTAACATTTAATATTTAATTTATACTAAATTTTTAGGCCTATAATGCCCTCTTTAAATGAAGTTTCAATTATAATTCACTGTAACCTGTACTTTAAGCGTATTACTATACTAGTGCAAATAATTTAGCCAGTTTTCAAAGTTTGCCTCGGACTTCAGTACAGCTTCAGCGGTGGCAGAAGTATGAGGTAACTCAGAAAGCTTCCCTGACAACTAGGAATTGAAACTTACGATGTATGCTAGTTTCAAAGTACATTTTCGTTGAGTAAATTTACAGAAAGAATGCAGAGATAAAATAAACAAATCAATAGTCTACTCACCCCTTTTCCTAACCGTTTCTTAATCTCATATTTTTTTGTAATGTGAGGTTCGATTTCTGCATTCATGACGAACTATTTAGAGAATCTTTTCGTTTCATTAATACTGTCATGGATGGCGGAAGAACTGGTTACACTGAAAACTGTCCTTGTAAAAATATATTCCGAAATTTAAAAATCACAATAGAATCTATTTTCCAATAACACGTATTTTTTATATAGCTGACTCAATACATCCCGTGTTGATTTCTTAAGAGTTTTTTTTAAAGCAAACTTTTCTAAAAACTAATACAATACATTTAATTCACTGTGCGCAGTAATACTACAAAATTCTTGATAGGTCACAAGCTGTATACATCATCAAATTGTGTGTAATCACTTTATGTTTCCAAGGAGTTGAACTGGAAGTAATACTTTTAAGTTTCGCACTTAATTTTAAAAAGTTTATATTTGGACAGTCCTAGATTTGGCCTAGTCTAGACGAGATCTAGTCTAGAGAAATACTAGACTACTACTAGATCTAGACTAGTCTAGAGTATAGAAGTAGAGATCGACCCGAGTGATCTATCATCTAGATCTAGTCTACAAATAAATTAAACACCTTGTCTAGATCTACCTTAAACTTGAGTACCTACGAATCTAGATCTCGAGTCCAGCTATTTTGAGTATTTTAACATTTTCTAGATCTAGAGTATTCTAGAGTCTAGAAACTCTCAGTAGATCTAGATCAAGTAGTAGATCTAGATCTAGCTAGGCCCTAGGCCTCCCCCACTTTATACTAAGTTTATACTAGATCTACTATAATAGATCTAGTCTAGATAAGAAGATAATTCAAGATAGATCTCTAGATCTACTTAAATTTACTAGTTTTACTGGATCTAGATCTACTTACTACTTATTTATTAAATTATTATAATTATTTAATTTTATTATGAGATAAATGGCCCTGCGAGGAAGGATACAATGGGCGAGGAAGGATACAAAAAGAACCGGAATCGAAAAATGACATTAAAAAAGGATTTTTATCCAGAATCGGCACATTAATCGGATTTAAGCTTGATCTACACTTAGTTACTGCACATTGATAATGATACTAAATATATATATTTTTTCTATATAAATTATATTTCGTTTGGGGGGGGGGGGGGGATTAGGCGTTTCTACCCGGGGAGGGGAGGGATTAGACGTTCTACCAGGGGATGGAGGGAGGGGAGGGATTAGATGTTCTTACACGGGCGGGGGATGAGCTTCACCCCTACCTGAAGAGACGCATGAAAGAAACTGCACAGCACACAAACCACTTTTAAGATTAGACAACCATTAATTAGGCTGTAATGTCAGTCTTTTTATTATAGTGTATCGATGTATTTTCTTTTGAGGGGGGGGGGGGGGCAGCCTAGACGTTCTTACAGGGGGAGGGAGGGGAGCTTCATTGCGTCCATGATAAAAGTAATTTAGAAATTTAAAAAAAGGAGACTTCTGACTTAGTCACGGTTCCAGTTAGCAGACAGACTAGCTGGGACTAGTGACTTCATCTAGTCACTAGTCCTAGCTAGTCTGTCTGAAGTAGATCTATTTAATCTCGATGATATGTCAATATATGAATATTAGGATAATTGAGGATGCAGATGTCTGATAATAGACACACAGGTGTGTTAGGTTGGTAGTCTAAGTATTGTTATCTCAAGTGTAGTTTAATAATTATGGTTGGGCTTATGGTAGGACTTGGTTAAGGGTTAGCATTGACATCAGCATGTTAACTACCAGTAACCTAACACCCCTTTTTTAACAAGACTCTATTACTGTGCATTATCGGACACTGGTATAAAAAATCATCCCAATATTCATATATTGACATATACCTTCCAGATTAAATAGATCTACTTCAGATAGACTAGCTAGGACTAGTGACTAGATAAACAGGCAAATCCGTTAGGCATTTCCCTTTGTGGTCAGATGACCTGGTGCGCCCCAGGCTCCCCTGTGAGCAAATTGGTGCCCACATTCGTTTACAAAGCACCTTACTATAGTTACAAGATGGGACACTACATTCAATGACTAAATCAAACCAGGGGACACACCCAGCACCACTGCAGTAGTGTGAATGGTGGTTCCCTGGAGACCCAGTGATGCTCCTGACACCTGGTTGGTCGTCAAGATGTGATTAGTGTACATTTGAGGTTTTCATACAGCATGTTCTGGGGCATCTGGGCAGTAGTATGGTCAAACTTTCAACACATCTATGATCCATGAAATATAGTGCCAGCTTTTGTTACATTTAAATAACTCAGTTTAGAAAATAGGTCACTTGTTAAATATAAATTATTTGTATTAATGTTTTGGTGAAACCCTCTAATATGTAGCTTCACTCTGTGCGTAGAACTAGATCACAGCAACGCATTCACAAAGTATTCAAGTTTATTGTCAGACCTACTCATTCTTAATGTAATAGAGTAGGCCCACCCAACCATCATCTTTTCCTTTTTGTGCCCAAGACTAGAATATACACTGTCATACAGTTCAGTAGTAGAGTAGGCAAGGTCTAACCTAAACTCTCAAAATATCTTACTGATTAACAAATGTTAAACTATACTTTACTAGAGGAAGATTTTGACCCTATTTTAGATCTACTAAAGAATTGAAGAAAAGTAACAGGTTACTAAAGTGCATGACTGTCAATAGTCCAAATATTTCTTATGATTGTAACTAATATACTAGTAACTACTATTTTGTTTAGTAAGCTAAACTGCACACAAACACAATTTAACTAAATGATGCATCAAGGGTGAGGAATAAAGGTACTGGTGGATGAATAGTATGGAGGGAAGATGGGTGGGTGTTGAATATTTACTAGTATGTAGATACAGAAATGTTTACTTTTTGATGCCCTAACCTCATTTTATCAATAAAATAACAATATTTTGTTTTATTTGTATTTCATATTTTTACTACAGGAAACAAATAATGCTGTTAACTATATAATAAAAGAATGGATTCTGGTACAACACTGGGTAACTACCCACCAATTGTAAGTTGATTGTTTCAATGTTATCTGACCTGTTTTACTTGTGTTTCTTCATCATCATAATCACAACTTGGCATACATCAAATGGGCTTATTCCCCTTTAATTGACAAAGTTTTCAAAACAGGTGACTACCTGCCTTGGCAATTGTCACAGCTCATTTTAATTTAAGTCCTCTTACTTTTAAACTAAAAAATTACAGTTATTTAAGAATTCAGTTTATTTTAATTGGAATGATTTCTATTATTTCACTTTTTTATTTATTTAGGATTGGAAACAGGTAGCTACTTTTCCAAAGAAGGTCCCCCAGAAACCTGATATCGAATTTGAAAAGAAGACAGCAGAGGAAGCATTTGATGAATTCAGACGTTTGTCCCGTAAAGTTGCCAGCCATAGTTATGACATTCCAGAAGGACACAGTGTAATTGTTGCATATGCTAAATATTCTGATCCCAGTGAACCTTCAGAAGCCATAGGTGTAATAACATTCTGTTTGGCTGATCCTAGTGTAAATAAGCCTACTACTACAACTCCACAGACATTCATGGATGCATACTTCCACCAAGTAAGTGAATTTGTGCAAAAATTGTATACAGTAACAAGTTACGCTAGTATAAGTATAACTAGTAACGAACTTGGCCAATTATTAAAGGATAACACACAATTCTGCTTAGACTTGACTCCGAACAAAAACACTGACTGTATTGCTTTATTAATTTCAGACATTCTTTGAATATTCATCTTTAAAAGTAAATTACAATTTTTATCAAGTGCATCTAGAAATTTTATCTCATTACCATAAAGAGACTACTGTTGTTTCTTTTTTTACAAATTAAATTATTTCTTTTAGCTGTCTTTTTTGTTTGTGCATACGGATTATCAGAGAAGAGGTGTTGGGTCCCAGCTTGTAAATAAAGCAATAACAGTAATAAAAGACAGCAACATCAAAAGACCTGTCCATATAGAGGCTGCAAAATCAGCTGTTAAATTTTTCCGTAAAATGAGATTTATCCGGCGTGGAGAAGTTGTTTGCACAAACTCACGAAGAGGATCCAGCCTGTTTTGGAATTTTTTTTGCATGGAACTCTGTATTTAAGTTTTTAATTAAAAAGTATTCATAATGTTATTGCTTTGTTAGTCATCCTGTCTTCTTAAATGTATTGCATTTATTTAAATGGGGTTTTTAAAGTTCCAAATCAAACTTTCAACAGGACTTTTATTAATTTTTATACATATAGTGTGTTATCATTATTCTTGTTGAAACTGCTCACTAATAAATTTAGCATTTAAAAAGTAATATTATGCATTTGTGATATGGGTTAAATTTAACCATTTTAATAAGTTGACATACATTAGTAACATGAAAGATAGAGTAGTTCCATACCTTTGCATGATACTAAATAGATTGTCATGTACCCTGGCAAGGTTAACCATGTTGTATAAAGAAAAATTAAGTTTTAACCACTAATTTATATAACAGGAACAGACTGATGTTTTTAACTAAGTATGCAGATTGTGAAAAAAAATCCATTTAAAACCTCAGAGTAATATTTTAAATGCTTTTTATTGAAATGTAATGATCACAATATTGTATGTTTTGCTTTTTTGATGTATTGTAAACTTCACTTTTTGGAGGTTCATCAAATAAACTGAAAGATTAATTACTCTAAAAATTATTTGTCTCTGTCAAAAATAATTTGAAAGGGATTGTTAGCTAAATTTTAGTTACACAGCCAACCCATTGAATTGATTTTTAGCCTCACTGGATTCACATATTGATAGTCTGTCATTACTAAGATGAAAGAACTGCTGGTTATATTTAATATTTCACTCAACTGGTTTTCTCAATATTTAAGTATAGTATTAAAATAGCTGATAAATCTAATCTTATATTTCTTTTTTGTCTTTCATTAGATATTTTTTACTACCAATATAATTTTTAAATTTTGTGTCATATAAAACTTATTCGTACTAGCAACAAATACATTATTGAGTAAGTGAATTTTTTCAAAGTACATTATTTATTTTGTTTCTTTTCCTCAAGACATTTCCATTACCAAATTAAGTATGATTCTTTATACTTCAAGTTTTCAAAACTTTGATGGACTAATTTTAAAAAATAGATAATTATTCTTATACCTTTTTTTTAAAGGCAGCAAAACATTATTCACATAAATGGTACTGCATGTATGTAAGTTCAAAAGATTTTTAAATTGAGATATTTACAAATATTTAAATAAAAATATAAAAATAAACTTCTTTTTTGTGTCTGTGAAAAATTATTTAATACTGCATTGTATTAATTTTAATAAATGAAATAACTGATCTAAATGTACATTGATTTGCATTTTTTAAAATAATAGGCAATAAAAGTAATTTTTTTTAAATACTAAAAATGTCTTTGTGTCATTTGAATCACTAACTTTTATTTTCTGGGAAAATAATCATGATAATGTTTGTTAAAATGCTGTGGAGAACTAAAATTTTAAATATTCTAACATATTTTAAACTGGTATTAACAGTTATCATACATCTTTACATTAGTGCTGCTGTTGCAGTTTAATTATTTTCAACATCCATTCAATATGCAAAGGCATCACACATGATTCATTCAAAGATGAATTAACATGAATATTATAACAAGTTATGAGAACAAATAAATTTACATTTTTTTATTTTGGGCTTCAAGCAATTCATTTTCCTGCATGAGTTCCCTCTTAGCTCGCATTTCTTCAATCTTTTTAAGCTTGAAAGAAAAGTAATTTTTATTAAATTTAAATACAAAATGTTGAAAGAATAATGTATAATAATAATATCCATGTTTTTTTAACAGATAATACAATAAATTTGTATTATAATGTTAACAGATAACTGCTTACCATTTTTATTGAATAAACTTAAATTGTTAAATGTCATTTTTTTAAAAATTGTTACAAAATAGCAAATATATAAATATAATGCATTATATAAGTATAAGCTAAAATAATTTCTGCTAAATAGTAACTGGTATTATGAAACAATAAAGATACTCACTAATTTAGGATCATCTGGTGGAAATATCTGTGCCTGTGAAAAGGTTGAAATATTTAGAAAATTCAAATAAAATAGCTATTTAAATTAAACTTTTAGTATGGCGTGTTACACTTTACTTATTAATGGCCTGTCATCACTTATGGGAAATAGGCCAGAGACATAAGCTTTCAAGGCATCTTTATTCTGGGCTTGTCTCTCCAACAGTTCCCAGAGGTATCCAACCTTTGGAGTGTTTTCAGGGTTTTCTATTTGTCCTTTAGGCTCCAAGTGAAAGCGTGCCTTGTTATGCTGAGTGTGTGGCCAATCCTCCATTTTCCCTGTGTTCACAGCCATAGTTGCTAATTTCTGATGGCGTTAGTGATTAGAAGGATTTTTCTCAAGCTTGAGTTTATAAAAGAGTATATGTTCTTATTTGTGGCAGTTATTCTACATGTCTCTGCTCCATGAAGTAAAACATGTTTTACAATCATGTTGAAGACAGATATTTATCTCAAGAGTTAATCTCCAGATCCCCAAACATTTTTAGTTGCCTTGCCATTCTTCCTTTTTATGTCTGCTTTTGTTCTGCCTTACTTATCAACAATGTAAAGGTTGCCAAAGTAGGTGAATCTTTCCACTTTTTCTAGGGTTTCCTCTGCCAATATTATAATTTATAAGGTGGTGCTCCTTGATGCATGGATGTCCTGACCTTTGCATGTATAAAAAATTAGCAACACTTTAGGTTTTATCTAGCATTTCTGTTGTTTATGTCGTCAGAGAAGTGCTAGATCATCAGCTAAGACCAAGGGCTAGATCATCAACTAAGTCCAGGTCATCCATGCACTACTCTACATGTTAGACCTTCATATGAGGATTAATGATGTTGGGTTAGGGTACTGCTTCTTCAAATCAGATGGCTGAACAACATATAAGTTATAAGCCAAAGTGTGTCACTTCAAAAAAATTATTTGGAAAAATTCTTTATGAAATAAAAATAGTTGACTGGTAAATACACAATAGATACAAAAAAAAAAATTTTAAACAAAAAAAAAGGTTCTAATCCTTGACAAAGTTTTGGTTAATTAAAGTTGACCACTAGTTGACAATTAGTTTTGTATTGTTGGAAAAGATACTGGTGCAGAGAAATTATTCAATATGAAAATTTAAAAGTAAAATGACTGGTAGCACTGTTCTGTAATAATATAATTAATAGACGTCTATGGGGAGTATATAATTTACAGACTAGGTGCACTTTGTTTAAACTAGGTATTGTACAAGTCAAAATCTGGAAGTTTTTGCCAGTCAGTAAGTAGACACAACCTTGTGCTGAAAGGACTCAGCTAAAGTTAATGTCTGGGGCTTTACTTACCCTTTTTTCCATCATCCATTGTTCAAAAAATACTGGCTGATTAAACAAGTAAAATAAACCAACAGGAAAGCTGACATACATCGCCATCTGTGTAAAAAAATATCAAATTGTTACCAATATGTATTTTAAAAACTTTTCAAAATGTTTGCTCAATTGAAGAAACATTTTGAAAAGTTTTATAATTGCTGATAAAAATTTTTTTTTATTTAAATCTATACAACATACATTATATGATTATAATATGCTAACTTAAATTTTATTGCACCATTGTTACGATGGAAAACTGCGAAATCATTAGGCCTACGTCACTAGCTGCAGCAATTTTATTTTATGGTCCTAAAATAACAGATTAATCATAGCATATAACCATAGGCCATGGGGGAAGCATATGATTATTAATTTATTAGGGGACTCTAGCTTTATCCAGGGTGGTGAGAATTGTCATAAAAAGTTTGACTAAAAAGACAGGATTTTTCATACCAGTTGTCTGATAATAGGGGTTTTAGGTTACTGACTGGTAAAACTAATACACAAATCCAAATGGCTTCCAAATGTCAATGCTAACCCTAGCCCCAACCCTAGTCCTAAAGTGAAAGTCACACTAAAGTAATTTAAGTAGTAATAGCCTATTAATAAGATTCTAGTAACTTGTGTAGTCGAGATTACAAGACTTGAAGTAGCAATACAGAAATTACTAGGTTCTAGATCAAGATCTACTGAGTCTTAGTCTACTCTACAACTACTACTAGTAACTATATCTAGATCTGGTTCTATCGTTTTAGGTACATAAATTCGCCTGCGACTAGAAAATCTAGTAATGTGAAAAACAAGTGACTCCTTAAATTTTAATAATTATTTCACATTTTGAGGAGGATTTATGTTTTGAAAAATATTTTTTTTTTCCTTGTTTCATTTATGTACCTGTTTTTAAACAATTGAATTAAAACTTTTCAGTAATAAATGAAGACCAGCGATGTTTCCAACAGATGCAACCATGCTCAATTACTATATCAGCCATTTTGTTCAAGTTTTTCTTTGTAAACTTATAGCGTGAGATTCAGGGGAAGCCACTCTATTTTACAAATGGCTGCTGTTTATATAGCAAATCTTGCTTGCAAACACTGATGTTAAAAGTTAATTTCTGGCCTATATTGATATATTTATTTAGCCATTGATTTAGGTTTATTATTCATGTATCTATAATATTTGACACAAATAGGGCCCTATAATATCACAATATAGATCTAGATCTACTTCTATTATGTAATTTGTTATAGTTATAGGCCCTAATAATAATATTTATTCAGCTGAGTCTATTTTTTTTTACTAGGCCTATTTTTTACTATTTAATTTAGTCTATTAACTAATCTATTTTGAAAACTATTAGTATTATCGGACATGTGTAGATCTATGTATCCTCATTCATCTAAAAAGACTACTGAGATGTTTTGAAAAGACCAATGATGATTATCAGATTATGACATGAGATTTTGATTAAAATAGAGCTGACTCCACACCTCGCGTCAAGGTTGTGGGCTGTGGACATGCGTTTCGTCCGTCACTGTTCGTAGTCTCTGACTTAACTACTAACTTTACTTACTCTGTCACAGTTCTGTCAGTGAGTTAAATAACTAACTAGATTCTAGATCTAGTAGTATAGTAACTACTAACTAGATCTAGATCTCAGTGAGTAGAACCCTAGCCCTAACGCAACGGCCTAACACTGGCTAACGACAGTAACACTAGCTCTAAATCTAGATTCTAGATCTAGATCTAGAATAGATTCTAGTAAAAAATAAGTAATAATAATTAAATATTTAAATTAAATTTACGTACCCGAAAAACTTCCAACTTCCATCCACCCATCGTAATCTTAAGATCAAAGGATATTCAAGTGTTTTGTAGAATGTCTTAAAATGCCTGACATTTGATAAACGAAGCTAATAAAACACTCTACTGAATCATAGCCAGAGTCAAAAATTGATAGTGTTATTGAAATGGTTAATGGTTATTCGGAAGTTATGGTAAATCTGTGCTATTTTTGTTTTCTTAGTTATCTCCCGTGCCTTACTAGAAATAAGTAGGCCTACCTACTTGGCTGAAAGGATCGTTCGTAATTGGGGGGGGGGGGGGGGGGGTGTCCCCGTAATTTTGTGACGGTGTGTGATGAGGAGAAGGGGGGGGGGGGGGGGTTCAGATGGTTCGACGTCACACTTTTGCATTATAAAAAAGCAATGGTAGAAAACGATTTTTAGACGTTATTTCGCGTTTTAGAAAATTGTTATAATAAATTGTAATAGGAATTGATTAAAATACTCTATCTTGACAGAGTTCAGACAAGATTTTAGAAAAATATCGATGTTTTTTTTTAAAAAATGCAACTGCAATTTTGAGGGGGGTTGTAGGCTGAGATATGACGTAATTTTAGGGGTGGGGGGGGGCTGGCTCTTTGTGACGACGTGTGACGGAGGGGAGGGGGGAGGTAAAAATCGTCCCAAAAAGCGTGACGTCATTTATGGATGACCCCTTAATCAATTCTTATTACAATTTATTAAAACAGTTTTCTAAAACGCGAAATAACGTATACAATTCGTTTTCTAACATTACTTTTTTATAAAATGTGTGACGTCGCACCACCTGACCCCCCCCCTCATCATACACCGTCACTAAACTAAGGACCCACTCCCCCCTACGAGTGTGACGTCATATATGGACGACACCCTCTATGGTTAGACTACTTTCTAATCGTCCTGTTGCTGGTAATTATAGTTTTCAGTGCCATTTTGTCTGGGACACAATTTATTTTGGACAAGACAAATTGTGTTTGGTCATTTATTGTCTAGGTCTTGATCTAGAATCTAGATCGTATTAGGGGCCTACCTTTTTAAAACCTATTTAAATAATTACCTCTCTTTTACTTTATTTGGTTACACTGTCCAGATTTAGCGATTAAGCTTATATTTTTTAAATAAAAAGTAACCTGATTAGTGTGGCCAGTTATTTTCGCTGCTTAATTCATGTAAATAATCATGTAGTTTAACACATTGCTTCTCAAAAAGATAAAGATAAATGCTATACAAATTTTCTATTTATTTTCTTTAAGATAAATATAGACCCTACCTAGTGTACAAAACGAATTTAAAAACTGGAGATACGGAAAATTTTTATTTCGATGATTTCACATTGTATCGATCTAGATTCTAGATCTAGCTAGCAGAAGATGAAGGAAATGTTCTAATGTACTAGAGAGTCTAGATTCTAGATCTAGATCTAAAATCTAGTAATAATAGTAATAGTTCTAGACTTCTAGAAAACATTGAAATTACCATTATAAAATGCCCCGTTTTTTAGGAAAAGACTATTACAACATTGTAAGTGCAAGACTTCGGTAATCTATCGTTTTGGGTACGTAAAATCGCCCGCGACTTGTAATGTGAAAACCAGGTGACTCCTTAAATTTTAATAATTATTTCACATTTTGAGGAGGATTGATGTTTTTTAAAATACAAAAATGTTTCCTTGTTTCATTTATGTACCTGTTTTTAAACAATTGAATTATAACTTTTCCGTAATAAATGAAGACTAGCGATGTTTCCAACAGATGCAACCATGCTCATTTACTATACGAAGTGTCTACTCGGAATAAGATTTTTCGGCAAAAGATAGTTCTGCGCATGCGCAGTGACCTATGGCTAGGGTTAGGGCTAGAATGAGGGTTAGGGGTAGGATTAGGGATAGGGTTAGGGATAGGGTTAGGGATAGGATTGGGGATAGGGTTAAGGACAGGATTAGGGTTGGTATTAGGGTTCTGCGGTTGTAAACACACGCATGCGCAGTACCATCAAAAACATCGCCGCTAAGTCGTAGTTTCTCTCCATTGCGCATGCGTATCGCATGCGTATCTTATTCCGACTAGAATCGGCCTTTACTATATATAGCAGCCATCTTGTTTAAGTTTTATTTTATAAGCTTTTAGCGGGAGATTCAGGGGGAAGCCACTCTATTTTACAAATGGCTGCTGTTTATATAGCAAATCTTGCTCTCACTCACTGCTGTTTAAAGTTAATTTCTGGCCTATATTGATATATTTAGCCATTGATTTAGGTTTATTATTCATTTATCTATAATATTTGACACAAACACATGACAATATACTCCTATTAAAGCCTTGACAATGAGGTAACGTTTTCGTACATTAATAGCCGCGGGCGATTTTACGTACCCAAAACGATAGATTACCAAGACTTCAAATACTGACAAATAGTTGAAATAGTCAACTAACTTAACTTTTACTTTTACTTGTCTTAAGTCTTAAGTATATTAATAAAATTATTATTATATTAAATATTAGTATAAATAAGTAACTAGATCTAGAGTATAGAGAAGAGTGAGTAGAAGAAACGGTAATCTATCGTTTTAGGTACGTAAATATACTAAAATCGCCAGCGACTAGATTTTCTAGTAATGTGAAAAACAGGTGACACCTTAAATTTTAATAATTATTTCACATTTTGAGGAGGATTTATGTTTTGAAAAATACAAAAATGTTTCCTTGTTTTATTTATGTACATGTTTTTAAACTTTAAACAATTGAATTAAAACTTTTCAGTAATAAATGAAGACTAGCGATGTTTCCAACAGATGCAACCATGTTCATTTACTATAACAGCCATCTTGTTTATTTTATTATTGTAAACTTATAGCGCAAGATTCAGTTGGAGCCACTCTAACTTACAGATGGCCGCTTTTTATATAGCAAATCCTGCTCGCACACTGCTGTTTAAAGTTAATTTCTTGCCTATATTGATACATTTAGCCGTTGATTTAGGTTTATTATTCATTTATCTATAATATTTGACACAATATACTTCTATTAAAGCCTTGACAATGAGGTAACTTTTTCGTACATTACTAGCCGCGGGCGATTTTACATACCTAAAACGATAGATCACCAAAACTTTGAAAGTGTGGGGACTGTATGTAGTTAGTAGTGTAGTTGTAGTGAGTGTTGTTGTGTAACTGTAAGAGTAGACTAGAATCTAGACTAGTTAATTTTCAGTTTTAACCTCTTTTTACTCTTTTAGTTTTTGCCTACACAGGCCTAACTATTGTAACTAAACTAAATCTATAAGTCTATACTAAACTTATGCAACTATCTATACTATTCTATACACTCAGACACTGAGTTTACTTCTTATAGATCTAGATCTAGTACTGTACTCTGTACTAAGTAAACTGTGACTTTGACTTAGTCCTCTTTGCTCCTTATGGAACATAGGGCCTCAACCATTTCCTTCCATTTCATCCGATTCCCGGCTATTAATTTTGCCGTCTCCCAAGACATCCCTGTTGGCTTCAGTTCTTCAAGAAGACTCCGCCTCCGGGTCTGTCTTTTGCGCCCTCTCTTCCGATTTCCCTGGGGGTTTCACTCAAGCCCTTGGTGTGTAACATTTGGGTGAGCCTTTCGTAGCGTGTTTCCCACCCAGCACCACTTCCTCCTTCTTATTTGCACACCCATAGGCTCCTGCCTTGCTTTTCTCCTTAGTTTTATGTTCGACACTATGTCATGCCATCCTGATAGCACACCGCCTTAAAGTGGTGGGATGGCTTGTGTGCCCCAGCGACCCCCAGAGCTATGTCGACGGAAGCCTAGTGCTCCTGGCAGGTCTAACAAAGTCAGACAGATCTGCACGGATAGGGGCCAGACCAAACGTTGTGCCCTGGTCGTCCAGGTTGGGGGTTGTGCGATGGGCTAACTACTCGTCCACATAAAACAAAGTATAGTTACAGAAACCGGACAAGTAAACTGTACTTATCAAAATTAGTTTAATTAATTAATTAAATAAGTCTTTATGTGCCTAGTCATACAGAATATTATTATAGAATATTTCTAGTAGGCCTAGATCTACATCTACAGATATATTTTTTTATTTTATAAATAAAATCTAATAATACTAACTATAGTTACTAATTTAGTTAGGCATTATAGGCAGCCATTTCAAAGTTCTGTTGGATTTTTTCTCTATAATTAAATAATTTTTCAGGCTATTACAGAAAAAAATGCTTTTCTGTATAAAAAAATGCTTTATATGCCACACCATCTAACACAACATTCTGGGGATTGTTGCATTTCAAAGGATGATTTTCTAGCTTGTTTTTTAGGTAGGCCTTTATAAAAATTTGTTAATTTTTTTATTCATGTTAAATCAGCTACAGCTTATTTTTTATACATTTTTATAAAATACTAAAAATGTTTTTTTTCAATTGGTCCAACCATCACTTTGTTAAATGTTTTTTACAGACAAGTTTACAGAGGACCAGCTTCCTGATGATGAATTAGATACATTCAAACATTTATTTTTAAAAATAAATGTGCTCAGAATGGAAACTTTTGAAGAGTAAGAATAATTTCTTTGACAATGTATGGAGCTGCATCACTTTATTTAGAGTTTATATTCAATTGGAGCTTTTATAAATGGTATAAAAAAGGGGTGGTGTGCCCGGGCCAGGGCTAGAGAGCTAAACTGCTAACCCAAAAATCTTTAGTTAAAAATCCGGGTTCAAAACAATAGAACATCATTAAGTGCACCCAGCTCTGATGGGTACCTAACTCATATTATGGAAAACAAAGGCAGCTGGCCATAGTGCTGACCACATTATCCCCTTGTTTGACAAGGTCATTGAAACCAGATGAACTCTACTTCATCTGCCCCATTTGTCTTGGGCACAAATGGGAAAAGATGATGATGATAAAAAAAGGTGTTAATTTAGAAATATCCTATCTATTGATCTGTTCTATAAAACAGTAATTATTTAAGAATAAGATTAAACCTACATGTAGGCTTGTAGGTTAAGTGATAAAAACTAAAATTACTGTGTAGTTTGAACTCATAATTTAATAGTAAGGTGTGAATCTTATTTGTTTTTATAAAGATGACCAAAACTACTTTTTAAGGTCCACATTTTTAAAATTATCATTATTTTTAATTAAAGTGTCATTAGACATTTTCTTTTTAATAGAAAACTATTGAAAATATGTTGTTAATAGTTGTAAAGGTAGCTTTTGGTTAGATATTTTAAATGAAAAATGACTATTTAAAACAATGTATGTTTATCCTAACTTATTTGTGTTCTTTTTCAGAGACATCATGTTTAATTTAATTGGGGATGAGTTTTTTGAAATTATCCCAAGTTCTAACCCAGAATCTGAGCATAGCAACCTTTCACTAGACATTGATGGAGTTCTTGATTTAAAATTTATGAATGAGCATTCTGATATCAAACATTCCATATCAATGCTTAATGAATTTTTACCAAGAAAGAAGCTGAGTGGTACATAATTTTTTGAGAAATTATATTACCTGTTTTTCTTTTCCATTTACATGTCTTATCAAAAGCATAAGCTTTTTTTTACTCTGATTAATTTGCTCTAAATAAGGTAATACTTTTGAAGTGCCACTATGCAACAATGAACTTGATAAAGCAATTGTACAGCTACCATCCACCAGCTTTTTACTTTCAAGGTTGACTGCTGTTGAACTAAGTGATCCTCTGCTAAAGCAAGATGGCTCAGAATGGAAAGAAACTGATTTTTTCATGTAAGATCAGCTTATCACAGCCTTTATTAGATAAATGCAAACTTTACATACAAGTTTCTTTTAAATCTGTCATCAGCATCATCTAACTAGATTAATGTCAGTTGATAGGCCATGAAAAAATAATTTGAAAATAAATTTAAGTAACAAATGAGGGCAACTTAGCATTCTTGATTATCAGTTTTAAAATATGTATTATACATATAATTATATAAAAGTAAAAAGATTATTTTACAAACTGGGTGTGAGAGATTGTGTTAATGCGCCACTACCAGTTATATCATAGCAATTGAAACAAAAGAATGTAAACAATGATTCTAGTTGATGATCTGTAGATGTAACTTTAATATATGCCAGCATTCATAAATCATTAGACTGTCTGCTGTCAATAAGATGACAGGTTCAAGACTATCCTTAGCACACCTTTCCTCCTTGACAATGTAGAGCACCCATTTCTTTCACTTACACAATGTGTTGAACCCATTTAAATAGGAATACATCTTAGTTTTTTCAATTGTGAAATTTAAAGTATATTTATTAGTAAATTTTTAATTTATAAAACCTTTAGCCGTGATCTGACCTTAACAAATGATGATAAAGAAACAGAAGACCAAGCATTCCTTTTTAATGAGAAGTTCAAAAAAATGTCTTTAGAGAGTCCAAATAATGTAAGTGGCTCAAATTAGAACTTTTCAATTTCTTTATTCCTGCTTAATGAATTTTCTGTTGTAATTTAACACAATTTGCCATCTGTTTTTAATAAAGGGCTTATTGTTAAGTGTCTAAATGATCTAGGTGTTATTTTTTTACTTTCTTAACACCATTGTTTTCAGAATCTATTTGAAGAACTGCTCTCACCTAACATCATAAGTAAAGAAGATTCTGATCTTGTTCAAAGCATTCATCTGTTTGGTGTAGTTTTTAAAGAGCTACAATCTGACTGGGTTGACCAAAATTTTAATTTAACAGCTCAGGAACAATCTGAAAGTAAGATACATATTTTAACACTACTAACATTTTAAATTGTTTTAAAAGTAATTAAATGATCAGATTCTGTCCATAGGAGAAGGAGAGTACTTAACTAATAAAAATGTTCTATTTAATAAATAACTATTGAGGCCCTCATCAAAATTGTTTTAGCTATTCTCTATCAATTAGCAGAAAATATGATGCAGATATTGTCACAAGGAATGAACAGTGAAATCATAATAAGCAAACTGGAGGAGCCAATCAATCTAACTTTTAAGTCATTCTTGGAAATAAATAATGCTGGTAATATCAACTAATTCTAATTTTTTTTAAATATATCCTTAAAAAACTATTAGTAGTTCTTCATGGGATTAATTGTAATTTCTTTAATGATTGAAAGTGTTAGATTTTATATTCCTTATATTATAAAAACCTTGACAAATACTAATTGCTCTTTTTTTTTCTTCAGAAAACCAAAATGAGGACAGCTTATGTATGAATCTTCTGACAGATTCAATTTTAGAGTTGATACCAACCAAACTGGTCTATGAAACTGAGAAACCAATAGATTTGATACAATTCACAGTTCAGTCATTAGCTTTAACAGAAATAAACCTGGATTTAAATCATAGGTATTTTTAAAAATTAATATTAGTTAATACTAAATGTGTAATTACTATGACATTTTCTGTTTACTTCAAACTATTTGCTTGTATTTGAAGTTTTTGTAGTTTATCCCTAACACTGTTCACAAAACTAATGTCAGAAAATGTTTTTTTTTAGCCCTTTAATCACAAACAAACTATTGCAAGTTATGAATAATAATATTTGGGAAAAAGAAAAGCACTTTGATGAAATGCAAATTCCAGGTACAATTTTTAAATTATTTATTTCATGAAGTCACAAAAAGGCTCTAAATAAAATAAAGAGTATCTTAATTAAATATGTAATTGAAGTTATTTTTCTTTAAAATAGTTTAGTTTTATGTTTATTACATGTAATGTAATGCTGTTAAGAAAATTTTTGAGTGTTCCCTTGAAATCCAATAATGAATTATAGTTAATTCAGTAAATAAATGTGTTTTCTTAAGTTTATAAATGTTCTTTATTTTACTAAGCTTTTTGTTTAGATAACACTATGTATTTAAATATGGTACAGCTTGGTTGGATGGTAGAGTTTATGATTCCTAACCCAAAGTTTTAAGTTTGGTCTGCGTCTTTAGGACATGACTAAGTCCAACCAGCTCTGATGGGTATTTGACTCATGTAATGGAAACAAAAGCAGCTGTGCATAATGTTATATAAATTCTTAGCAATTTTAGTTGTAGAACTACAAAAATATTGTCATTTTCAGGTTCCAAAATTTGTTCATGTTATTAATTTTTGTGACAACTACATTTTATAAATGTATTAGAGTTAGTTATCAACTGTTAATTGCAGCTATACATTGCTTTCAGAGCCAAAGTTTCCTGCACCTACTCTACCAGATTTGATCAGCGAAGTAATTGAATGTCAAAGGCTTACACAAGATGACTGTTCAGCAGAGGAAGAAAAACTGCCCTGGTCATTTGATGTTGTCTGTGAACAGATTCCTTTTTTGCAAGTTTTACCTGAGATGACCATAGACCACCCAGCCAAACCTCCTGAATGTTTTAGTAAATTTTCTTTGTCAGATTCAGGTGACACAACAGTTGGTTTTTTTTTTTACTTTTTAAAAAAAAAAATCAAACTTCATATACTGTTAAATTGCCATATTTATGACTTAACACTTTGAAAAAAAAATTATTTTTAGTCAGTAAATCTTGATCTTATATACATTTTCTTATTTAGTTTTTTTTTTTTTTTTTTAAATGTACAATCTTTTTAAAATGAAAATTGCTTTATTTTTCAGAATTACTATATTGGTCGGAAAATGACACCTCTGAGGAAAAAGTAAATATATGTAAACATAAACAAGATTTTATAGGTTTGTGTGGCCTTGTATGACCAGATCATGATGTTATCTAGACTAAATTTGATAAACTATTTTCGCTTTGTAATTAATTTTTTTTTAATTTCTATGTGGCTTCCCAATTGAAATTATTTTTTTAGAGGATAAAGAAGTATACTTTCAAGAAACAATTGTGCTAGATCCCTTAGAATCTTTCATTCAAGTTCGAGCAAATGTCAGATTTCTAGATCTCACAGGTTTGTTATATTAGGTATTCGCACTCATTAGCAAAACTTAATGTTTACTTGACAAATATTTTAAAATCTAGAACTATTTCTATATAAACATGCTTGATTAATTTGTCCAAAAAATAAATCCTGTAATAATATTTAAATGAGAGTAGATCTAGTTTAAAACTCAAATGATGAATCTTATATTGGCTGTATAAAAAATAGTTCTAGAAACATATATTTTCAAAACTGTGTTGTATAATAAATTATTTAATTTTAAAGGTGCTGCGTTATCTGACGATATGAAGAAAGCTGTAGAGTTAATAGAGAACCAAGTGTCTAGTGTTACAACTGAGTTAGTCAAGAATAAAGTGGATACTGTCACAACTACAGCAAAAGCAGAAACTAATTTGCATAAAACTGAGAAAATTAAAATGATTGATGTTCCTATTTCAGGTAGCCCTACCTTTTTTGTTTTTTTTATTCTTACTCATCTATTCCAATATTTATTTATTTATTTGGGATAAAATATAATCATTAAAAACTGTTTAAATTTTATTCCAGCAGGAAAACTATTTTTTCTGCATTTGCAAAATGTAATTTTATCTAGAGAAAATATTATCTTCAGATGGCATGGATGAAGTGATTGACTGTATAGAAAGTTGTGCTGCCCCATACTTTGATCAAATACAGAAAAAGGGATTGGTATCCTCTAATGAGACATTTTTGAGTCTTACTGCTGACTATGCTAGATTTCTTTTAAAAGAAGATGAAAAGCAAAACTCAGAAAGGTCTCAGGGATGTGATAAACTAGGCGAGAAAAACAGTAAATAATCCTGCACTTCTTTTTACGTTTCTAATTTTCTGGTTCATACCTGCAATAAAAACCTAGATTTTTAAAATTACTTGTAATCCATTAAAATAATTTAGGTATGGAAAAAACATACTTTCTGTTACAATCATATTTCAGAAAATCTGACCACCAGCCTCAATGTAATATTCATCCTAAGATCTGCCATTGAGCTCCTGATTCACTCCTGCCTAGAGTCCTGTATTACCTGGATAACTTCACAGATAGAAAGTGGCCAGCTGTCATTAGAAAGTGAGAACATTTTATTCAGCTGTTAACTAGAATCTAAAATTTGTTGTTTAAATTTGTAAAAAAATTTTTAGAATCTAACTTATGACTTATATTTTATTAGAAACATTCCATGAACTTCGAGGTCAATTATTTGCTCTCCAATGCAATTTTTACCAAAATAAAAAATTTCATCCCAAAATGGAGAGCTTATGCCAAGAAATTAAGGACTTTTTGACCCAGTTTCCTGGAGCTAAGGTGAGTAAAATAAATTATAATTCCAAACATCCATATATATATATATATATATATTAGATTTACTGGTGTTGTTCAGAGGCTTAAGCAATTCAATCTTAAGCAACTGTTTATCAGTAAAAGTAAAATAGTTTGTTTTGAATATAAGAGGTATTTATGTAATGTTTAAATTGTTTTTTCTGATATATTTTTAGGTTTTGCTACTTGTCCAGAGAGGTCAGCCTAATTTGCTATCAGCTGTTCATGATCTGCTGGTTAACATCTGGCACATTGATGTTTCATGTGCCTCAGAAACCACACAGTGCCTAAGGTATGATAGCTGGGAAAGTAAAGATGATAAATATAATGTGGGGAGCTAAATTCTTATTAGCTGGGGTTGAAAACTTAAGGCTTTATCATGCAGACACAATGATCCATTTTGCTTAGGATCAAATATTAAAACTTTATTTTATTTCTTATTACCATAAAACTAATGTTAAAAGATCACTAAAGATTGGAAAATTATGCTGGCACGTAACATGTTATAATGTTCCACTTTTTAAAACAATAAAAGTTTTGGTTTTAAATATTTGTTTCAGTTTAATAACCAGCACAGTTTTGGTTACACCCTATGTCGAGTTCAAGAACATTGAAGATGTGAACCAGTTTTCTTTAGTCATTCAGTATGATGAACAGCTGGGAGATTTTTACAAAAAAATCTGCAAAGATCGCAATATTTCCTACATTGGCCTATCTATGAAGCTCAACTACAGAATCAAGGAGAAAGGTATCATATGCAGTGCAACGTAGACATATCCACACTATCAGTCATCTGTTTTATTTTAGTTAATGTAGCTATAAGAATGTGTACATAAACTTTAGAAGCTGTGTTATGTTAGATACAAAAAATTATTCTTGCAACAAAATAACTGTCATAATTTGTCTTTGCAGTACCATTAGCTGTACCAGAAGAAAAAACTGACATTGCATTGATCTGTTCAACCACTGTTACACAATATAAACATCTGGTGTATCTTTTAGAAGCCAAGTAGGGTTATCTTTTTAAAAAATATAATTGGCTCAATTTTTATTGCAGTAATAACTTAAAATATTAGTTTAATCAGGCTAACTAGTTTGTAAATCTAATCAGTAATAAATTTTAAATATTAACACCTTCTTTAGGTATATTAATTTTAGAACTTGAAATGCAGTATAAATACCAAATCATGTTGTTAGGTCCTAATATACTGAACATCAAATAATCCCTTTCAAATGATTTAAAGTACCTTTTTACCCTATAATTAACAACCCAACTATCTGAAACCCAAGTAATCCGAAACCAAATTATGACCCATAGAAAATATTTGTTAATATTCTTCCACATTATTAAGTGTTGATTTACATTATTTTCAGACACAATATACTAGTGATAGAAAGAGATTACAACAAACGTTGCCTTAGAGTTTGTTTCCCTGACATCATCATAAGTACTTCACACTGTGCTGTACTATTAGGGCTGAAGGAGATTGAAGGACAACTCAGTTTTGAGGAGGTGGTTCACAGATTTGTGGCCCTTGGACTTCAGTTCTCTCACTGCTATGTTCTCCTGCATGGCTTTGATTCAAACAACAGGTGAAAGCTGCTTGTGACTATATCCTAATCACTTTCATTTTTATCACATTTGTTATCTTATCTATTTGTAGGGCACTTAGCTCTAAATAAATCTCATCTTGAAATGTGGAAGGAAATTAAGTAAACAAAGAAAAAACCTTCTTTCTCTTTTTACCCAAACTAGTACTTCTATTATAATAGCAACATGTAACAAACCCTTTTTGTGACAGCAAGTGATGAAACTAAGGCTTTTTTTTTTTACAACTAACGCACTATACATTTAATTTCAGTTACCTGTTAAACAAAGAAACAGAAAACAACATTTACAAACTGAGAGCAGCTTTAGCCAATTTAAGTGCAGCATCAGAAAATTTTACGGTGCAATTTAAAGTAAGATTTTCTAAATCATAAAATAGTTAGTTTAATTTTACTTAAGTGTAAGCAGTTCTGATAGAAAGTTCAAAAACACATTTTTGTTTTCAGTTTTCATAAAAATAGAGAAACAACTGATGCAATGTAACAGAGATAATATTTGTAAAATAATGCAGAAATATTAGTTTTAATTTCTTAACTGTAAATTTAGTCTTCTTTAATTTCATTTGGTAAAACATGGTCCTACTAGTGATAGTAAACATGAGCTTTATATAATTAAAGTTTTAAAGTTGTGAGATTTCACATAAATGCCTGATGTGTTATAGGTGTTAATCACCCTGACTGAAGAGGATGCTGCAAAAACAATCAGAGACATAGTGAATATTTATATCAACACACACAGTAATTCAGATTTACTTAGAAATTGGCTAACCACAGATTTCTCAGAGGTTAGTAAATTAAGTTATCATTTTGAAATATCACATAAAACAAAAAGTAAACATTTACATAACACACACAAAATATGTTTTTACATCAAAATGAAAACTTATAATTTTTTGTTAACCTAGGATGAAGAGTTCCTTCTTCAAGTACCTTGCTTAAATTCCTTCAGGTTTTTATATTTTATATATTTCTATTTAAATATTATTAGTAAAGATAGAAACTTCAAGCATTGAAGTTGACACTTAAATTTTTATGTTTAAGTGCACAGCTGCTGTTAAAAAATTTTACCTTACAAGAAATACTGGAAAAAAATGAGGAAGATTTAAAAGCAATGGTGCCAGAAATACCTGAAAAAATAATAAAAGTAAGGTTAATTTAATGCTGCTTTTTATTTATAATATATATTTATAATATATATATTTATATATTACATTTGATAATATATGGTTGTAAATTATCTCCTGAAACAAAACAGGGATCTACTCTTCGTTAAAGTTCACTACATTTTTGTTTGTAAATATATATTTTAAACTTTAAAGAAAAAAGTGTTTCATTATTAATTTATGCGTTTGATTATGCATCTTTAAATTTGCTGTGTGTTTTAACAATAGCTAAAATATTCTCTTCAAGTATCTCCATTATTGTACCCTGGACTGGAAGGAGAAAAACTCTTTAAGTGGTTCTCAAGTCTCAGCAAATGGCAACAGTGAGAAATCTTTCAACAGTTACAGCTTGGCCTCCCCTACCTATTCCCCTTTATCAGACGTGGATCAGGACTCAACTGTCAGTCTATCACCTGCTGCCTACAAACACGTGTCTTCCTCCCCCCTGTCCACATGTGGACAACCTTACTGTGGTAGCCCACACATTAAAGACCAGGTGAAGAGGATTCCTACTGGCTCAGCAAATCCATCCTGCATAGAGAGCTGTGGAGAATGGATGAGTGTGGATCAGTCTAAGAAAAATGCACCAACAGATTCCTTGTCTCTTCATGAAAGTGTTGACCGTGATTTCCAGGCTCCAGAGACCCGATCAAGAAATTGTATGTCAAACATGGAAAATACTTCAAAGCTGCTACAATCATCCAGCATTGGTAGAACTTCTTTTGTAAATTTGTCCAAAAACCAAAATATAACATATCTTCAGAAGTCAATTAGAGGATTACAAGACACTCATGGCATGGGGAGGTCAGTCTTACAAGACACTCATAGCATGGAGAGGTCAGTCTTACAAGACACTCATGGTATGGGGAGGTCAGAGAGAGGATTACAAGATAATTTCAGCACGGAGAGGTCAGTCTTACAAGACACTCATAGCATGGGGAGGTCAGTCTTACAAGACACTCATAGCATGGGGAGGTCAGTCTTACAAGACACTCATAGCATGGGGAGGTCAGTCTTACAAGACACTCATAGCATGGAGAGGTCAGTCTTACAAGACACTCATGGTATGGTGAGGTCAGAGAGAGGATTACAAAACTCACATAGCATTGTTGTCTCTAACTTTGATAACACAAAAGAAGCCACTACTTATAAGACAAGTAAAACATTATCAGATGATAACTACCCCATTTACGAACTGGATGAAAGTGGCTTAAACTCTTATGTCTTTGAATGTCAAGATAAATCTCAACCAGTTATGAATCAACTGAATTTGCTTTCTGACTATCAAAACAACAGAAACAATTATAATTATACAGATTCTTCTAGATCTTTTTTCTCTTTAGACCCTGAGGATGACAATAGACATGAAGAAAGTTGGATGCTTCCTCAAGTGTCCAGAGGTTATGGCATCTTTTCATCAAAAGCCAGTAGAAACTCAGATCCCATTGACACCTTCTATAACACGGGATTAAACAAAAACAGATTTCTTCTTCCTGATGATAACACAGTGGGCAACAGCTCTAGAGTAAATATAGCATCTGATTTCTCTAGGCGGCCTCAACAATCTAATGTTGTATCCAACTGTGGCCCTGCACTAGATACAAACAGATGTTCATCTTATGTTCGTTTAAGTGCAGACAAGCAGAGATGTCATGGTGATCCAGGTCTCAGTGCCAATCAACTACTAGCACGCAATAAAAAATATTCTCCTGAACAGGGTCATGGAGCTGACCATAATAAAGTCTTAGGGGTTGTAAGTCCACTGTCTGCCAGTCATCCTCCTGCTTGGTTATACCCAGATCAGCAGAGCAGAAAACAAAATGCTACCACTACAGATGTGGAACTGTTTGCAAGAGGGTCTGTCCAAAGGTTGAATCATCTACCCAGTTCTAGAGAGCATGTCAGGTCAAGCTATGGTTATTGTTCAAATGAAAAACAGAATAGTGATAGAGTCAATCCAACATGTGCACAAAATAAAACACAAGCTGATTCAAAACACAAAGTGAACATTGGATTAGCACAGCCCATGTGTAGACTAAACACAACTGATGGTAAGTTATTTTTTTAACATAGATAGTGTTGAACAAAACAAATATGTAGTGTATAGTCCAGTCTATTGATGTCATAAAGGACATTTATCTGTCTGTCAGCCTATCTATGTCGATCTATCTCTCTCTTTATATATCTCTATATCTATATATCCTATAATCCCAGAAGAGTTATTGGGGTACTACTGTTGTCTCTTTCATAATGATTTACCATCATTCCCAATCCTCTGCTGCTTTTAATAATCCAGCAAAAGACAGTCTGCTCCAGTCCTTGATATCATCCAGAAATGTAGGATTGTTATATTGTTTAGGGTATGCCTTAATATTTCTGTAAAATTATGTTGATAGTTGAAATCCCCTTGTCTAAACAAATACACTGAACTTGTCCTTCTGGGTTCTCTATAAACTTGACACTTGATTTTAACAATTTTTAATGTGTTTTTTATAGATGTAGAACCAATAATTTTAACAACTCATTTTCATCTGTTAATTCCACTTTAGAAATAAAATATGTAACCTTTTTTTGTGTATAAATTCACAGCTCCTTCTAGTCTGCATTACACAGAATGTTGCACAACAGATGTTGTAAAAACAGTGTTAGACACAAATCAGTGTTAGACACAAATCAGTGTTAGACACAAATCAGTGCTAGACACAAATCAGTGTTAACAGTGGTGAATAATTATACACTGCTTGGACTGGCCATTGTTTTACACACAATTCTTTACACAAATCTAAAATTTGTGAAATGCAAAAATTAATTTACTAAACCTTATTTGTGCAAGTAGTTTTTAAAATTTGATCTTTCAATCAGGTTTGGAATGCTTTCAATCAATGAACAAAACAAAACAAGTGGATATGAGAAGCTTATATTCTGCCTCTCCACCAATGGACATGGATTCAGGCCAATCTCAAGATGGATCCTATACAAAACACTATGTATGTATTGTTGTATGGAGTTTATTATTAAAGTTGTTTGATAATTAAGCTTGAGATTTTAGGATTTCACACATTAGAAATAGATGACTGATTTAAGTGGAAACTTTATTTGTTTCTGTGTTGTTTTGTCATTACTGAAATTGCATTACAATATTCAAGAACATAATTTGTTTACATATCAGGTGAATGAAGAAAAATTAAAAAGATGGAATTCTCATTTATTGAATATTACTCACCAAAGTAAAGGTAAAACTAATTTTTAAAATTCAGACAAAATAAATAGTTGTTTTTGTAGTTGAATAAGACAGTTGCTCCTAATTTTATTAATATCTTTGACCTCTGGACAGAAGCCAATGTAGCCAAATCCCAGCCATTCAGTTGTTCCTAACTTTATTTATATCTTTGACCTCTGGACAGAAGCCAATGTAGCCAAATCCCAGCCATTCAGTTGTTCCTAACTTTATTTATATCTTTGACCTCTGGACAGAAGCCAATGTTGCCAAATCCCAGCCATTCAGTTGTTCCTAACTTTATTTATATCTTTGACCTCTGGACAGAAGCCAATGTTGCCAAATCCCAGCCATTCAGTTGTTCCTAACTTTATTTATATCTTTGACCTCTGGACAGAAGCCAATGTTGCCAAATCCCAGCCATTCACCAAAAGAAGAAAGCTGCAAGTTGAGAAGAAGCCTGGCAACAATGGACAAACTGTACTGGTTTTTAAATAAACACATTTTTGCAAGAAGCTTTATCATGAGATCATTCAATCATCAATGCTGATCATTTTTTTTAAAAATAGTTTTGTCTCACAACTGCTCATACATTGTTAATGTTGCTTGTTGTTATGCACTAATTACAATTCTTTACCAAACTTATAATTGTTGACATTTTTAAATGTTACAGTTGACTTGCATGTTGTGTGTGATGTTCAACACTCATCAGAAGAGATTTACTTATATTTTCTTTTACTTTGTGGGAGCTATGCTATGTAATAATATTTTCATAAGCTGTAAAAGATACACTCAACACAGCCATTAAGTAATTCATTAGGTAAAACATTTCCTCAATCATTAGACATTTACATAACCGTTTGCTGAAGGAATAAATAAAATAAGCTAAGCTTTTACTTTTAGATTGTTGGTACAATTCCTAGATCTAGTTTTTATTCTCGGTGATGTTGCTCATAGAAGTTGATGTCCTGTTTAAAATTTAGAGTATGGTGTAGAAAGAAAACTACCAGAATGATTGGCATAGTTTAAAGTATTATCTTACTATTTTTCACCTCATCTTTTTACTAAAAGTAACTTGTTTAGTAACTTAGTATAGTATATTAATTCAAATACGTGAATACAAAAAATAACAAATACTGACCTATGTATGTTATATTTTATTCATCGTAGCCTTTATAACATTTTTGGACGGGCAGTTAATGAAAAGTACTTGTTTTAAATAAGCTTAATGAGATGGGATTGTTTACATATTATTACATAATGATGAAAGAGACACAATTAAAAATGGTCTTAGTCTTATGAGCAGTAGTCTAGTCCTTTCCCTTCAAAGTTCGCTGTTATGGTGGTGCTGCTATATCTAAGATCCCTGCCATTGCCAAGTTTCTAAATGTTTGCATGATAAAAAACCAGGTCAGGAACTTGACTGTTACCTTGACCTTTCTAGCCCAACCGCACAAGAATGTTTCAATGAGATGACCGCAGAAGACCAGGAACATGGACGCCATACTGAGAGTGAAGATGAGGAAAAAGCTGAGGAAAAAAATGATTTTGTCAAAGTTCTGTAATTTTAATTCATTTCTTAGTCTACTGCACTTGGTATCAATAAAGTCTTGAAACGTATATTTGCAGAACTATATGATTCCGCAAAAAAATTAATTTAAATTTAAGCTGAAAATTGATGCAGAGTAGGCCAATCGTGTATATCATTAACCACCCTTACATTTTCATTGGAATCGAAAATGAACGTAGAAATTGATAGGTTTTTTTAAAAAAATTGTTCGATCATTTAAGGTAGTGAGTATTCTGTTTTTTAGTAGGCTCGCTGCATTGGCCTACACTACGTTTCCCGGTCTCTGTAGAAAATATGTGGCCTTACTTGTTACTAACACAATTCTGAAATGCGGTTTTCTCAGGTGATGATGTAACGGACGGTCTTTGGTATTCTTTGGGGTGAGGAGGATTATTGGCAGTTTGGTTATTGGTTGAGCCCACCACCCTCGAACTAGTGAAAGGACAGTAGGTTCGACCATGGGTAGAATTTGAGGTGGTGTTTCTTTAAGATATTCCCCCCCCCCCCGGGTGGTGGGGGTCGGATTCTGGTTTAAGTTAAAGACAGTTTGAGATTATATAAATTATAAATAATACATTCTAGATTATATATTATTCTGATATATTTTTTTCTGTTTCTTTCTGTGCTGGGGGGGGGGGGGGGTTGTGTCCCATGTCAGTAGCGTAGCGAGGGGGGGGGACATATGTCCCCGGGCGCCGACCTTAGGGGGGGGCGCCAAATCGAAAGTTTGAGGGGGGGGGGGTGTGCAAATAAAAAGTTCGAGGGGGGGGGGTGCAAATCGAAAATTTGCTCCCAAGGGGGCGCCAAATTGAAAGTATGTCCCCGGGCGCCGGGAAGGGTCGCTACGCCTCTGTCCCATGTAGAGATGCCTGAAACTCTGCCTATCCCTAGATTATACATAATCTAGGCAACACAAACATGACTTTACGATTATTATGTAGATTATCTTTTATCTAGTCAAGTCAAGGTAAAGGCCTACCTGAAACATCCTAGATCAATCCAGTAACGCTTCTGTGATATCATGTTATGTTTAGATGACGCAACAACATCGTGGAATAACGTTTCATTTTTCGATTTAAAGCTGAAACGATTTCAGCGCTGTTAACCTTCTCAAGCGCTGCTGAATGCTGGGTGGCGCGTTGCAGCACTGTGTCGCACCATTGAGAATCTTTCGTTCTATTAATAGCTTTTTTTTTTTTTGGATATTTGTATTTTGCGTGTGATATAACGAAACTGCTTCGTTACGATAATTAGGCAGTTAAAATAACGTAGTTTGAAAGTTTGAACCCCTTAGTTATCAT